TCTGTGTGCGTGAAGGGGCGTAGAGGCAGGACTGGTTCAGATATAACTTTTCCACCGATGTTTGCGGGTTCACAGAGCAGTGCTCGCTGATCACTGTAGTGTATTTTTTACGTCATAAGGGAGCCCTAATAGAAAAAATGTTGACAAATAGCACGTCTTAGATGTGTAACTTTCCTCTTCTTGTATAGTGCCAATGTCATATCTTGATTTGTTTACCATTATTATACCTATTAATATATAAATAAACACATGTACATTTTTTGTTATTAACAGTAGTCAGACATAGCAGTGCTTACAGTAAATAGGAGCCCACCCAAGCCCCAGGTGTTTTGCGCTGCATAGGAGAACTCAAAATAAGCTCGACTACAATAGTGTTGGGTTTCACCGGCGGTGCCAGGGTTCTTCTGCGTGCCTCCTGCAGATCGAGGAGGGGGGGTCCCGTCCGAACCTGGATGCAGCTGTCGCACGCGCAACATTTTCAGATGAATGGTTGACGCGTGGAGAAGCGCCGCGGTGCTACGTGTGGACTTTCTGTCACGTGTCGTCAGCCGTCGTTTTTGTCGTCGGGCTTTTGACCCCGCTGCTGCACGATGATCATTCTGCGCAAACGCCCAACGAGCAATGATGCTCCCCGCGGTTTTGAAGCTGGCACGGTCGCACGCGTTGCCAAACTGGGCCTTCACCTAATACGTAGATTAATCGATTGAAATCAATGCTTATTTACGTGCGCATACATGTCAATCTACTGCTGGATGAGGGCCTCCCCACGCCGTGCAGGTCATGAGGGCTGTTTGGCCGAAACTTCGCTACGCTGATCGGTGCGGGTTGGTGATGAATAATTTATATTTTGTACGAATTATATTCTACTATCACATTAGCATATCATGTGGAGGACTGGTGCGAGGGTGAGTGCTCTGTGCGATGAACCCAGCGACATTAGTTTCATTCCTGTCCACGGCTAACGTTGGTGGTGACTTATATCTGAACCAGTCTTGGGCTCCTTTAGCAATTTGCACCAACCAGCGCGGTGAAGTATGGTCAAACAACACCTGATGGCAGATACGGCTTGGGGAGGTTTTCATCCAGCCGGCAGTGGATTGACATTGTACTTTATGATTGTTAAGTTATTATTGTTCGCGGTGGAACAATTCACCCCATATCCCAGCGATTCATGGAATTTTTACGATTCAAGAATCTATATATTTTTGACAAAGCTGTGAATAGGGAGCCATTCTCTAGGAGTCGTATGACCTAGGGTTGTAAAAATGCATGTTATATAAGAAATTATGGAGCAAACAAAACTGTCTTAACAAGAAATAAAAAGTGAAAGAAGAATATAAATGAGATAGTAAAAATGAAACTGCAAATTACTCCACTCAAATAGTGGCAATTAATTGAATTGCCAGGAAAGGGTGACCCATTTCTTGCTTTTTGCAAATCGACTATTAATGTTATGCATTCCAAGCCAAGAGTGCAATCACGCCATTTAGCAGCAGAAATTTGACACTTTACAAACGCAATTCAACATCTCATGGTGGCTTGTTCACAGTATTAAACCTTTTCTCTTTGATTATTTTAATCTTAAATACCCCTACAGTTTCATAGGGGATTGTCATACAGAGAGACGAAGTGTGTTAAACGAGAGGTAAATATGATACCACCCATTTAGTCCTAAAGCAGTGCGATTGTAGCTTGCGGAATAGTCGCAAAAACGAAAACTTGTTTTACGTGATGAGTTTAGATGGTGTCCTGACCTCGACCAACACAGACGGAAACAATAAAATGATAAGTGACCACCCAGGACTGATTGCTGTTTTAGTGTGACCTACCACATGACCCACGCCTATTGGGAAGTTCACATTTTGTTTAATTTGTTTAGCAAATTGATTTAAAAGCACGGGAGAGCTTGTACGTCGAGACTTGTCCACAGTGGTAAGTGTGCCTTGGCCTGAGAGTATGAACCCTTGGTTTGACAATCGCAGAAAAAACACCGCAGGGCACGCAGCTGCATCAACACCCTGACACCATCTCCAGCACTTTCTGCATGCAGTGGTCACATTGCTACGTGCCATTCATGTATAGCTCCTCCGAACTGCAGCGTTAAGGAAATAAACCGTGGCTATTTGATGATTCGTGGAAGTAGAGGTGCAATGGTTTTTGAATCTGCAATCGGGGTACTCGTTTTGACATTGTTGTGAATTTAATGTCTGCAGCTGTCACGTAAATCCACTACAACATATACGAACTGAGAGGTCTAGATTCTTACCCACGTGAATCGATGCATGTGTCAATAAAAAAAAAAATTTCACTCAACAGTTATAATCTATGCATTGTTACGCTTCTGCTTAGGAGTGTTTGTGAGCTAATTTTGCTTTGGAAAATAGGTGGCACACGAAGTGGAGGTGGGAGGGGCTGTGGGGGGTCAGTGAAAGTGTACTCGAATTGTGAATGTTGTGGGTTTACTCTCCAACACACTGGTGCTGCTGTACTAGTAACAAATCGGCACGTTTGGTTTACATGACGAACCTCACTAATTGGCTGTCGGGTGGTGGCAGGTTTAACGAAACATTTATATTTACGCGATCTAAACCAAAAACCTCTTATGGAGTAGAACAACACTGCTGTATGAATCTAGTGACCCGAGTTCGATTCCTAGCAAATTACTATTATCAGCCATGAGTAATATCTGTGCTAGTTTTTCAGCCTGTCCCCCCCCTCAATCCTTTCACCAACTCGGTGTAGTTGGGTCAAACAACCTCCCACGTGACTGACGTTGTGTGGGGAGGGCCTGAACTGTCAAAGGGCCGTAAATTGTTATCACGAATACAACTTCATGAAAATTAAAGGGCAGTGGTTTGTTGCCTCCAACAGTAGGTCAACAAAAGGGGGCTGGAAATAATGATTTGAATGGGTGGCGTACAAATTAGCAAAGTGTGTGTTGGTGGGGAGGGTTCATTTAATTTACATGCTCAATTTCACTGTGATATACCGCGCAACACAATGGGCTGCTCATGTGAAGAATGTCGTGGGATCGCCAAGATGCGTAAGTAAACGGGACATCCGGCAGCCTCAGAAGGTTGGCGATCATGCTCGCTAGCCCCGAGCCTGCCTCGCTGCTACGTCCGCCCTGCGAGTTGTTTGTGCAGTTTTTTTTGCAGGAGGCTGTGGGTGGGTGGGTGGGGAGCGGTAGTGTGGCGGTTAGCACGCTGCTCTACGAACCCGGCGAACTGAGTTCGATTCCCACTCACGGCCAACACCAGTGACGATTATCTGAACCTGTCCCGGGCCTCCCCTAGGTCGACTCAGCCTCAAATGAGTACCCGGTGCGGTGTGTAAACATCGCCACTGGGGAGACAAAGGCGATCGGGCTTGGTGCTGGCCACCCACCCCCTCGTGTACCGTTCTGGCCTTCATAGTTGCTCGCTAACAGCACTTGCCCCTACAGTCTGTTAAGGCTATGCAGGGGATCTTTGTCTTTGTGTGGGTGGTTGGGGAGCGGTAGTGTGGCGGTGAGCGCGCTGCTCTACGAACCCGGCGAACTGAGTTCGATTCCCGCTCACGGCTAACATCAGTGTTGATTATCCGAACCGGTCCCGGGCCTCCCCCCTAGGTTGACTCGGCCTCAAACGTGTTGTGTGTAAACATCGTTGTTCGGGAGACAAAGGTGGCCGGGCGTTGTGTTGGCCACCCACCCCCTCGTGTGCCGTGCCGGCCTTCATAGGTGCTCGCTAACAGCACTTGCCCTAACAGTCTGTTAAGGCTATATGGGGGGTCGTTGTCTTTGTGTGCGTGTGTGTGGATGCATGTGTGTTCTTTTCAACCGGACTCTCCCCAGCCTCCGGTTGCCCAGAGTAAACAAGCTATTAAACGTTTCTTTCTACCTGTGATGTATTTTATGTGCCCCCTCCTGTCAGGATAATGGTGCAGATGCCCAGTTATCCGTCTGTTTTATTGGAGTTTCTGCGCATATTAGGTGTGCATCCCAGGGGGGGGGGGGGAGGGGGTCTTCCCATTAATGCAGCAGTCTCACGCTTCACATTGCTTCATGTTGAAGTGTACATGTACATATGTACAGCCAGCTCTTTTGTCAATCCACTGCTGGACGAGGGCCTGCTCATGCTGTGCAGGTTGTGGGGGGATTCTTTGATACCTCGCCACGCTGGTAAGTGTGGATTGGTTCAAGCACAGAGCATAGAAGTGGGGGTATGGAAGTACAGTACAGCTATGAATTTCGCTGCACTATATTAGTTCGTGGTAAAATGTGATTTTCAACAACCAGATGAGAGCCCATGGAGGCAACACATCTCTTTTGTTGCAATGAAGAACTGTGTGAGTGCATGCACACACCACACACATTCACGCAGTGCAGTACAATACCTGCAATTTGTATGTTTTAACAAAGAAATACTGGCCTTAGTAGGTCCTCACGAACAACACGCAGCACAGCAGTTTACAAGGCCAACAGGAGGATCGAGTTTTGCCTTTTAATGTTTTTCAACTAAGGTTGAAAGCGTTTACGCCAGGGGTTAGCAACCTGCGGCTCCAGCGCCGCATGTGGCTCTTTAAGGACCTGCTTCGGGACTTTATTTATTAATGACCACCACCGTCTCGTATTCACATTGCATTGCGGCTCTTGAAATATTGAGGTTCTTTTTACCGACTTCGAACATAAATTGCTCCTCTTGTAATTTTGGTTTATGCAATGGCTCCATCCGTCCGATTGTTCGTAACGAGGAGGGGAACTTTAACTCCCTTAATGATGGTTGCTTTTAGGGACTTACGTTTCTTGCATACTGGCCAAATTGTTCAAACTATTGCCAAAATCGTGGAGAATCATATCAGAGCATATCGGACTTTTTTCAAATAAGCAAACATTTAAACGTTGACAGCTACAGTACTGATAACTCGTGTTGGAAAGCGTTACATAATCCATGCTGTACGTGTGACTTTTTCCAACTTTTTTTTTATCATTGTCGTTTTTTTACGGGATTGGAACACAGGTCTGCAACGGCAACCGCTACATGAAGATTTCGGGAGCAGACATGGCCAAGGCGGCTGTGACGAGGAGGGAGCTGCTGCGAGCAACGACAGGACTGGTCGATCCCGAGCCGGGCTACGGCGGCGTACTCGGAGACGACCTCGCGGACGAGGCCCAGGGCTGCATCGAGCCCGGTGGTGTACGTTGGTCACCGGCGGTGGCTCCAACCCAAGGTGAAGCGTGGAACCCTGGCTCGCGTGTGTCGACGCTGTCAAAATAATTTCACAACATTTCAAGATCAGAAAGGTGGAGAATGAGCGCCGAAAACTTTGGCAAGCGTTTCGAGGTTACACTGCCCTCGGTGTTGTCAGATTTTAGTTGAAGGTTTGGCAGCTTCTTTGCTCGCGCAACGCCAATGGTACTGCAGGCAGATGTGGTGACTCTTAAAGTGCACGCACGCCTCCTCTGTACTTCTCACAGATGTGCAGAGGTAATTGTGTATAGAAACATAACTACGGTGGGGAGCATTGACACAACAGTTAGCATACTGCGCTGTGAACCCAGCGACTTAGTTTGATTCCCGGCATTGGCTACTATTAGTCGTGAGCGATATCTAAACTGGTCCTGTCCCCACCTCCCACCCTTCAGCATCCCACAATTACCAGTGTGGTGATGTACAACTAAACAACCCCTATAACTGCCATGGAAAAGGAATTCCTTCATACAGCAGTGGATTAACAAAATGTTGTACATTTTTGTTACTTTTCGATTTAAAGCTTTCGTGACTGCAGGGATTCATCTTCTTGGTTCTTTCGGTAAAGTCACGTAGAAGGGAAATAATAAAGCATTTTTATTATTTTATTATTTTCCTTCTACGTGACTTTACCGAAAGAACCAAGAAGATTTTTGTTACTGTCTAGGGGATGGGCGGAGCATTACAATCTAAGCAATTATGAGTAAGGAATTGTCTCCTTGAAGCTGTACTCCATGTTAGTGACCTAACTGAAGTAAGTGCCTCATCGTCTAATGTATCACATTTTACTGCAGGGAGTAGCCCAGGACCGGTCCATATATCACCCCCTACCAATGTTACCCATGAGTCAGAAATCAAACTTACGTTGCACAGATGCGTCGCGCAGGGCGCTAACCACTGCAATACCGTTTCATGTCACATTACCTTTATTACTGCCCCCCCCCCCGCCGAGTCGTGATTCCATAATTCATAAGCAAGTCGATAACTTCCTTTTGCCACTTTTTCATGAATTGCTTTTCTTTAATTCTCAAAAACGAAAAATGTCACCATTTGCTTTGCAAGATTTTTCCCATCGCCTCCCGTAGTGGATTTGGGCCTGAACGCCTGGGACACGCTGCCACAAACAGCAGCCTTAACAGAGACGTCTCTCGACTTTTGCCGCGTCAATATTTGTTCACCTGAGTTGCCAAAAAGCCACACGGCAAACACGCCGGGAGGAGGTGCCCCAACAGACACTCGGCTTCAAACGAGAGCCCTGTTTGGTCCTCCGGTCGGGCTGAGAGCTTGGGCCACAGCGTTCTCTCATGGGCGCAAAATCGTAGCACAGCTCAAGGCTTGCCTTGTTTCGCCGTAGACTTGACAGATGTCCACATTGGCCCCAGTCGTTTACTGACATGAGGGCGCGAACATCCACAGGTCTGATGTTGAGTGTGTTTAGCGGATGTCAATAAAAGTTAGCCGTGTTTGTCAAGAGCCTCTTGCTTGTTGAGTATGGTGGGAATTGGACTTGGGTTAACAATTTTCGTGACTGTGCTTGTATTGTTACATATCCATCAGTTTTTTTTCTGGATTTGAATTTTCTAAAAAAATTTCAAGAATAAAACTTAACATGTTTGACTTTCTCTTACTGCAAAACTTTAAAAAAAATTGTTATTTTTACAGAATAAAAGATACCTTGTATATAAAATAAATACTTCCATCAGACTTTTGGAATTACATTGAGGATTTTAATTCAAATGTTGTATTAACCTTCAGACATTTAGAAAAGTTTGGAAATTACCCAAAGCTAAGTTCAGTGTCATGCTATTTATTATGCTTATGATGCCCCCGCCTGTACCGTGTTTGTCTACTTTACATCTGCAGATTTTGCAGGGTAAAAGCTGGCAAGAAGGTGTGGTGGCACTCCCCGGGCCGGAGAAGACGATGTCAAGGGCGAGCGAGAGTTGGTCTTCGCGGACACCACGATACTACCCGGCCTGCTTCGTGGAGAATCAAGAACTTGATGCAAACACGGCATCATTCGCAAACGGAACCGCGCTCCTGGCCGAGGCAATTCCCCAAGGTGTCTTGGAAACTGTGCAGCTCTTTTACTGCTGCGTAGCTTGCGGGAAGGTGTTCTGGGAGGGGTCGCACTTTTCTCGCATCCTCTCGCAGTTTGCCGATGTGCTGTCCACGGAAGGCGACACCTCCACGTTTTACGAGTCGTAGAATTAGCCGAAAGGTGGGTGTTGCAACAAAAATAATTACGCTTAAAATTGTTCGATTGCGTTCAACGGTTGAAGAAATCTTTCTTGGTGTTACGTTAGTTTTAAAGTCTTAAAACTTACAAATTTTAAGGTCGTCTTATTTGTCTATTAAAAATTAAAGAATTCTTTCTAATTTTTTAAAATTGTTTAATATGAAACCAAAGTTTTGTGGGATGGTTTTAAGCATGGTTTAATCTTTATTAACAGTCGGATGTTTTGGTTTTGAGTGTAAAAGTTTTCCATAAGACTTAAGCAGCCAATGTACATCTGCATTTGCTTAAAGCTGTTACTCTAGGTTTATGGCAAACATCACAACACGATTTACATTGTTTTGTGATAAGAATCTGGTGGTGAAAATAAACGCTTTGGTGCTTTCATTTTGTTCCAGAATTCTGTCCACTGACACTGGTTGTGATGAGGTCAAATGTCTTTATCTCGACATAGCATATGCTCAGCAGATAAAGCTGAATCCACAAATGCTTTCTTGCCTGCGTTTTGCAGCACACTGATGTTTCAGTATCAGAGTTGCAAAAATTGCTAACTTTGGTTGAATTTCCATTGTGCTGTTTCGGGTCAAAAGGTGCATGCCCTGAGTTTAGTATTTCTGAAATGAAGGCTTATGCTAAACTGCAACGGTGTGTGTACATATCCGTTCTCTTTATACAGCTTAATGATTGCATCCAGTGTGCTGATTTTGGCTGCTACAGGCATGGAATATTATAAAATAATTAAATGTTAAAAGAATTATATTTCTTTACACGTGCAAACATTTTGCTGTATCTGCAATTTTCACATGCCCTGGATCATAGCAAATCACTCAAATGTGTTTGCTGAGAACATGCCTATATATATTTTATCAGCTTTATTTGGAAAACAGCAGCGCAGTGGTTCACACACCACGCCATAAACCCCCGGCTGCTCCGTTCGATTCCCAGCTACGGCCAATATCTGAACCGGTACCCACAGCCCACCCTACTTCACCGACCAGCATCGACCAGCATGGTGAAATATGGTCAAACAGCCCGACCAACGCGGAAGCGTTCATCCAGCAATGGTTTAACAAAGGGCTCCATATTGTCGTGTCCATACCAAATCCAGATGACGTGAATCAACCCACACCAGTCAGATTTTCAGATACAGCCCCTTACAAGGGCACCAGCCTGCAGAGGCACGCGCACTCAATCGGGCATTGGCACAACCGCAGCGGACCTTGTTCACTTTGCTTTACATTTGTTCCACATTCGTAAAGATAGGGCAGCCCTAAGGACCAGCACAGATGTGGAATGTTACATGTGGCAACGTCTCTTCCCCCCTCCACCCATGCAAACGCTTCAAACACTGCTGCTTCACAAAAACCGAGTGTAAAGACCCAACTATTTTTGATCTGCCAAGACCTCTGAAAATTATCAGCGTTCTTTGCTCAGCCACAGTGACTTCTTGTGTTTAAACTCAGCTGGAGATTTCTTACCCCCCCCCTCTACCCTACAGTAAATGCACATGTTGTTTTGGGTTTATAACTCGGGAGCTACCGAACAATTTTTCAAGCCATATAATACCCCATTATATTTATCCTTATCTCAATCAGGCATCTGCGCCGTAGTGCATTGTACAGTGACTTGCAGATGCAGCTCACTTTTTTTTTCACTTGCGTGACGAGTGATGAGCCGATGCAGCCGACTAGAGTTTGCTTAATAACAGGGAACCGAGGGGGGTGGGGTATTGTATTTCAAAAGGTTGCAGGTTTTAAAATTGTGTTTGTCTGTTTGTCTCATTATTCTCTGCAACCACAGAGCCACTGCGATTGGGAAGCCTTGGTTCTTCGTCTCTGTGAAACGCCTCGCCAATGGAGTTTGCGTTGTGTGTGTCTCTCTTTCTCTCCCTGGTGGCGTGGATTTTTCTCCGGGTCCTTGCGGGTTTTCTCTCCACATTTAGAAACATGTTTTTAGAGTATTTGGGCTGATATATATATTTCCACATAAGGCCACTTCGTTGAGCTATCATTTGTGATAGCCAGATCGCTTCTGAAAAATAGCTATATAGCTCAGTGGGCTTTACTTGTTAAAATAAAATAGAAAATAGTGATAATGCAAGCGGTGCGTCAAGGGACAACACCAAACTCTAGCCCACAACTACAATTTTTTAGGTTTTGTTCACCCCTTCTTCCCACAAAGCCTGCAAGTGCCCCAGCCCCGCATTACAGTGCGTGCCTGTGCGTTGCTAAACGTTGGGTGTAATTCCTCGGGTAATTAGGGGCAGGTTTATACCACAGTGCGTGCATTGGGGTGTAAAATACGACGTTTCACCCACTCCACCCGCCCATTCTCCATTCTGCTCTCTCCCCTCTTTCGACACCGGTGGGTTCCAACACAATCCAGCTCACAACCAGATCAGAAATAATGTGGCCGGTCCTAAAAGCCACAACATAAATTGGGATTTTTTTTTCTTTCGAAAATGTCCTACCAACCCAAAAAAGTTCAGTGGGAGGAAGTTTTCTCTGGCAACAGAGTCCGTCTAAACTCACGTTGGCCTCTATTGTGTGAAAACACCCCAGATGATGGATTCGTGTTGATTGTCAAGAGAAGGGCCCAGTCCAGCTCTTCACACCTTTTGCCCATCCCACTCTCTCCTTGCAGCCACCGCCGTATTGGAAGGGAAAGAGGGCCACAATCTTTGCCCACAATACCGCACTGAAAGAGCCCCCCTCTCATTCCTCCAAGCAGGCAAGGCAGGCGAGGCAAGGGGGCATCCTTCTTGTACTCACAACCCCGAGCACACCCCACCCAAGGCAACAAACAGCGTCGTTCGTGCACAACGCCGGGCAGCCCAACAGATGCGCGACCATCGTTCGGCGCGCCGATGGGAACCAGAGCGGGAGATTTTCCCACGCCTTGACGTCACCGCCGACATACCAGCAGCAGCAGCAGCGTCGTGCAAAGGGAGAGAGAGGAGAGAGAGAACGGAGGCGGACCGAGAGAGCGAAGAGTTTGGGTGGTGGGGGGGGGGTGCTGAACGGACGGGTGGTGGTGGGGGGAGTAAGGCAGAGGAGGTGGGGGGTGGAGGTTGTGGTGGGTGGGGGGGAGGGGCGGTCACAACCGCAGGCCACGCCTACTCAGCATTCGCTGGCGGACCAATGGGGTTGCAGAGTTTCACCGGCCGAGGGAGAATCTAGCGGAGCGACGCGCCCATTGGCTGCCGCGAGGGGAGAGGAATGCGAAGTTCCCACGCCCAGCGGTGAAATTCAACGCGGGGAGCGGCAACTCGATACAGTGGCCGTGGTGGCCGTGGGCCGCGGCTTCTGTCTTCATCGCTCTCTCCCGTGTTGCGTGTGGGTAGCAGGAGGTGCAGGAGGAGCGCCCGCGAGATGAATGAAATTTGGCGCTCCTTTTTTGTGTCCTGGGGGGGTGGGGTGGTGGTGTAGGATGCGTAGTTAAATCTTAACTTAAAGCTTTCGTGACTGCGGGAATTCATATTCTTTGGGTCTTTCGGTTAAGTCACGTAGATGGGTTCAAAGAAAATAACAACATTTTTTTTTACAAAAACTGCCCATATTTTTTTTATTTTTTGGTTATTTTCTTTGAACCTATCTACGTGACTTTACCGAAAGACCCAAAGAATAGGATGCGTAATTGTCAACCCGTACGGTTGAACCCCGTATTCTTGTACAGAGAAATATTATTTGGAGGTCCATGCGATGTGCAGCCGTTTCAATACGTGGCAAAAAACAAGTTTTTGTCTTGTTTGTGTTTCTTTGCAGGAGGAACGTTGATATTTATAAGGCCACGGGGTGACCAATGAGGTGTGAATTGTTCTGTAATAAGTAAGAGGCACTGACAAGGGGTTGACAGCGATGAGAATGTGTTGTGGTTTCAGTCGAGATGTTAACTCCATCGCCTGGTGCGCAGAAAGTCGTCGAGTCAGAATATTTGTAGCAGAGGAATCCGAAGAGCTGTAAAGTTCTTTTTCAGATGTCCAGTAGGGATGGGTAAGAAAGTTACAACAACGAACAACACAAAAACACGAAAAAATTCGTTTTAAAGCTTTCTTGATGGCAGGGATTCATCTTCTTGGTTCTTTCGGTAAAGTCACGTAGACGGAAAATAATAAAATAATAAAAATTTAACTATACAATTCTCACGACGTTTCGATTGCAACACAAGCAATCGTCAGGTGTGAAAACCACAGCAAAAAAACGCCACTTTAAAAAATATATATTGCTGTGGTTTTCACACCTGATGATGATTGCTTGTGTTGCAATCGAAACGTGAGAATTTTCTTGTTTTATTTTTATTATTTTATTATTTCCCTTCTACGTTAATTTACCGAAAGAACCAATAAAAAAACACGATAGTTTGCGTGTCCCCTCTTCCCGTGGTCGAGTGGATTTTTTTTCTTTCCGGGTCCTGCGGTTTTTGCTTCCACACATATAAAGACGCTTTTGGCGTATTTGGCTGCTATATATTTCCACTTTATAAGCCACTTAATTGCACAATAAATTCTGATAGACAGGTCGCTTCTGAAAAAGAGCAATATAGCTCAAGAGGGCCTTACCTGGCTAAAGTAAAAACAAAAAAAATGTGTTCGGTTATGCACTCCGCTGGTGTGCGAAGCAAACGCATCGGGAGCATATCAACGGGGCGATGTGCAAGCCACATCTCTCCCTTCGTAAATGGGGAAATTAAAAGTCACGATCTGCGGGTAGAGTGCGATTGTGGCCGTGCTGCCTAAACTATGGAACCATATTCAGCACTGCAGTAAACCCATAGAGGCACGTGGACTCGATGATACATTAAAGACAAACACCACAGTGCAAGTGGCCATACAACACAAACTCGACTATATTTAGTTATAAATCACCGCAGTCTGCGCTCCTTCATTGGCGGAATCGCTAAAACTCGACGAACTCTCCCCTCCCAGCCCTCTCGTGGCCAGCAAACCTCAATATTGGCGTTGACCTCCTGAACATTAGTTTTACACAGGACACTGTCAGCCTCCGATTACGGAATCAGCCATTTCATATCTTTAACTCGTAAGGGGACATCCATTCAGTACGCATGGAGGGGGGTGAAACAAAATGCGTACCCTTGTGTATGGGGGGGTCTACTGACAATGTACGCATAGGAAACGGGGTGGGGTGGGGTGTGAAGCCTCGATAATAATTTGTCTACATTGTCCTTCAAATGAGTTAGATAGTCCGGCGGTGGACTGTCTGTTTGCTTAAACACGTGAATATTATTCATCCTTGATCGCTTCTGCGTGGATTAAATATCGGCCGTTTATAGGATGGGGGGGTGTAAAAAGTCCGCGTGCATACAGGGAGGGGGGTGGAGGAGTCAAGTTTTGACAGATTTTTGCGTACGGACTAAATGGATGGCCCCCGACGGTTTCCTCCACGGTAAGCTTCATCGTCAGCCATGGTCAATCCACTGCTGGATGAAGGCCTTCCCAAGCTATTGGCCGTGCCTCATGGCCCAACAATGCAGCGAGCACCTTTCACGCGAAAGCCAATCTCATTGGCCCATCTCTGCGGGGGATTTATTCCTGGGCACTGTTTCCTGCTTTTGGTTGCTTCTGGGTTATTTTTGCCCACTGGCCATAATCACTTGGAGTGAGCTGTCTTGCTTTCCGAACAGCTCAGAATCAGAATCTTTATTCTGGAGGAATTCAGTGAGCGATAAAGCGCTTTTTCACACATGTCCATTTGACGTACAAATCTTTCGCTCTGAGTAATGTACATACATCACGAGCAAAATATATTAAAATGATGCTGGCAGACTCTCATAAACATAGCACAATAACACAAATAACGTTTTTATGTGCTATTAAGAAGGGCCATTTCCCAAAACGTTGCCTATTATATATTTACTGTTAAGGCAAAAGTGTTTTGACGAATGTGGAGTGAGCGTGTGCATCACTGTCAAAGCAACATCACCACATAATAAGTAAATGTTCACGTACCAGTGTTAATTACTGGAATTAACATTGAGCAATTCATTTCAATGATGCTATGAATTTTGGGATTAAACTCCCGATGATTGCACACTGCATGTTTAAAGTTTGAATTTTGATAACAACCAAACTGTTTCTGTAAAATTGGTATTTAAAAAAAAATCATGTATTATCAACACAATCATTGACATTTATATTGCCATCACAAAGTGCATACAAAGTTTATTGTTTAAGCACAAATGTACGTTGAGTTCCCCAATTTAAGGTAGGAATTGCTGAGCGTGCTTTTTATGGTTTTAGGAAACTAACCACTACCCTTTTAATGTATAAAGCTATCTTAATATAACAACATTCTAACAATGCCCAGTCTTCATGACAGGCTCCTCCCTCTCGTCTGTAACCTTAATGATACGTTAAGAAAATCCTATGTAAAATGCACGATTTTAAAAGACACTGAGAAGATGAGAAACGCCTGGATGAAAGTTTTAAGTGCAGTGCGCTAACCGCCGTACCACCGCTCTCTCCATACATTACAAGCTAAAGGTACAGCCCTGCAATTGCTCGCTCACGCCACTGCTGGCGGAAGGGCATCCACTTAACTGGATCACTGGAGAGCGCCTCTAGATGGTATTTGGCCTACTCTTCCACGTTGGCCACATTAAACCACACCGCACGCGAGTGTGACAATCACTAACAACCATCACGGTGACAGCATCGAACGTATTCATGTCGGGTGTTACAACGCATATCGGGTGAATTGACTAACTGGACAATGTGCGAATTAACCAACGTGTGTCATTTATTCAAACATAACTCCCACTTATTATTTATCTTATTAACATCGCCAGTAATACGTGTGTGCGGGTAGGTTACATACGGTACGGTAATACGCAACCAGTTATAATTTGTTAAGTGAAGAGGGGTGTGGGGCTAGTGCTGGTGGGGCTGGTGGTTGGGGCTGGTGGTGGTGGTTGGGGGTGGTGGGGCTGGTGGTGGTGGGGGCTGGTGGTGGTGGTTGGGGGTGGTGGTGGGGCTCGTGGTGGTTGTGGTGGTTGGGGCTGGTGGTGGTGGTTGGGGGTGGTGGTTGGGGCTGGTGGTGGTTGTGGGGGCTGATGGTGGTGGGGCTGGTAGTAGTGGTTGGACTGGTGGTGGTGGTTGGGGCTAGTGGTGGTGGTTGGGGCTGGTGGTTGGGGCTGGTGGTGGTGGTGGGGCTGGTGGTGGTGGTGGGGCAGGTGGGGGTGGTTGGGGCTGGTGGTGGTGGTGGGGCTGATGGTGGTGGGACTGGTAGTGGGGGCTGATGGTGGTGGCTCGGGGTCTCCGCAGCACGGTTTAGAAACAGCGACGTCTGTGCGGCGTGCGACAGAGGAGACCGCCGTAGGGGGTGGCTGGGGTGAACCTCTTCTCCATTGAAACCCCCGACCACCGCCACCACCCCCCCAGCGTTAAAAAGCCCCGCGTCTGTCTGCGGAGTTCCCACAGACCGCAGTGCACAGCGAGGCGCCCTTCACGCACCGCCCCCTCCTCTTCCTCCATCTCCCCACGTTTTTTGGGGGGGGAATTAAAAAATCATAAAGCGCGCTACTTGTGAAGTGGCCCAGGCGGTGAGGAAATTGGCGCCGGGAGCTTTGGGGAGGAACGCTCAAGAAGTCCACCGAAGTCGAGTGAAGACCGAGACAGAACCGAGTTAAACGACGCCGCCGCCGGACAACAAGGACGAGCGAGTGAACTGAGAGAAGAAGAAGGAGGAGGAGGAAGGCTTGGACGAGAAAACAAGAAACTCAGAGCGACTCGGCACGTGTGCGGCGGTGCCGGTGGTGGTGGTGACAATACTGGGGGTGGTGGTGGTGGTGTGGGTGGCCCCGTCCATCATTTACCAAAAACCCAAGTGAGAGAGGGCCACCAAAAGCCATCTCCTCGTTCGCTTCCGACCGTGGGTGAGGTGAGCGAGAGGGCCCACGCACACGTGTGTGGTGGGGTGGCCGTGGCGACCATGAGCCAAGCTGAGATGCCCTCCTGCTCCTCATCCTCCTCGTACCAGCGCATCTTCCAGGAGGCGGTGAGTCGAGGTGACACCAGCAAACTCCAGGCCCTCCTGCAAGACGCCACGGCCGGTGCCGGCGAACAGTTCAACGTGAACTCGTTTTTCGGCCCCGAGGGTCAGACGGCTCTTCATCGCTCGGTCATCGCGGGCAACTTGGAGCTCGTGAAGCTCCTCGTGCAGTTCGGGGCTGACCCCAGGTTGGCCACGCGTGACGGGTGGAGCGCCCTGCACATCGCAGCCTTCGGAGGACACCAGGACATCGTCCTGTACCTCATCAACAGCGGCACGAGGCGACGGTAGCGAGGGGAGAGGGAGGGAGGGGAGAGGGAAAAAGTCGTCTTCCTTACCCCGAGCTCCTTGTCCTGTTGCCGTACGGTTTCGCGTCGGTGCCATCGCTCGTTGTTGTGTGGACAGGGTGGAGGTGGTGGTGGTGGTTGTGGAGCGACCTCCTTCAAGCTGCTGCTGCTGCCTCTGCCATGTGGACATCAAACCCGCGACTGGCGACTGAGCAGCGCCACCAGCAGCAGCAGCAACATCATCGGTGGCGGAGGCAGTAAGCAAGCTTAGCACTACGATAAGCTGAGCACCACGACAAACAAGCCACCACCACCATCTCATCAACATCATCATCGTCGTCGTCGTCTCACCCAGGACAATTTCACTCGAGCGCCAAGCTTTCGTTCAACGCGTGTTGTTGTTGTGTTGTTGTTGAAGTTCGGCTCCGTCTTCCCCAACCCACCGGCTGCCAACTGAAGTTGAAGCCGGACAAGGAGCGGACCCACGCCTGGGTAGGTGGTATCGAAGCAGCCTAAGAGGCCTATTACAAGGAAGGGGGCCAGCACCTACAGCCGAGAGAATATGCGAGGTATCTCTCCGTCCCTTACACGTGGCCAGCGTCCTGCAAGACGGCGGATACAGCCAAGCTGTCAATCGTCTCGGTTCTGGGGACGGGGGCCTTTGTGTACCGCCGCTTCCAGCCACCAAAAGAAAGACCTCATCGGTGACAGTGGCGGTGGTGGTGTTCGCATTTGAGATTTATTTAAAAACGTGGTTAACGAGTTTCGGCCAGAATGTGCCGATGAAAGGTGTTGGACTTCCTCCGGCTGGCGAATAATGATTTGTTTTCTGTTTGTTTAAGACTTGTTTTTGTTTTTCCGATATCTTTTTTTCAAGCGGACCAGCCTCATCCCCTGCACGCTATCTCGGAAAATCTGCACGACCACATCCTTCACAAGTGGCTGTATAGATGAACGCGATAGAATTATCCTGGGTCGGAATGTTAGACGCGACTTGGACACTTGCGCGGACCAATTGCGCCACCTCTGAGCGAGAAGTCCTCTTGCCTGCAACGCAGATAACACGAATAGGTGTTTAGCCTTTTAACTATTTAAAACAAAAAGTAACCTTTTCCTCCATCCCAAAAGTGTCAACGGACGGGACTTTGTAATGCGTAGGCAGTTTTGACATTTCGCGAGCATCTCTTTCCGAGCCGATTTCCCAACAACTCCCCAATTTTCCCGATCACCCCCCCCTTTCCAAAAAAAACCTTACGATAGCTGCTATTTGTGTGCGAAAACTTAACAGAAAGACTGGCCTTAAAAACACGATCACTCTACCTCGACTTGCGTATGGTTGTGATAAGGAATTGACTGGGCAGTGTGTATGTACAATGCTTATACAAAGTGACCAGGTCACGGATGGGTGTTTGTGTGCACAGACACAATATGTTGATTGACATTGACTAAATCTCAAGTCGCGGAGGTGGTGGCAGGGGGGCACCTGATGTTTTTTTTACATTTGTCCGCTAATAACAGAAAATTAAATGTCAAACGAAAGCCTAAAACCTTTAAAACGCGCAACTTTGAATGCAGTATTTTAATTCAGCGCATAATCAAATGTAGGTTCTACCTTTCATTATTTTTTGTGTTGTTGTTCACACGGTAAATAAACATCCGTAACATATCTACAGCGTGCCGAAGAATGTGTGTGTGTGTGCGTTTGAACGGCCCGTGTGTTGTTCCGATTCTAGATTTGAAGCTTTCGTGACTGCAATGATTCATACTCTTAGTTCTTTCGGTAAAGTCACGTAGGCAAAAAATGAAATTAAAATTAATGTTGTTCCGATGTTCAGGTCCATGCAGCACCGTATTCTCCGGTTTATAAGACGCACTTTCCTCCCCCCTGTATTTTAAAAACGAAACTTAAGGGATGCGTCTTATAACCCGGCAGGTGTGTGTGTGTGTGACCATATTTGCAGAACTTTATATTCACACCCGGGCACGTGGTTGGTTTTTTTTGGTGCGTCTTGATTACTTTCCGGAGAATTTGGCAGAACACATCTGGGTTCATCAATCCAATGGACAGTGGCTTGTTTTTTTAAATAAAGTAACCGTAACTGGTTTTTTTTGCAATACAGCAAAAATAATCAATAAGTGGCGGCATTTTTGTGAAATGCTCCTTTATAGGAAAGGATAATTACTGTGCCGTGCCACCCCTGATTTAGTGCCCCCGTTTGAGTGAGGTCGTACGTGATGGTTTAATTTTTTACACACACTGCACACATTGATCTTCGTCCTGTAGATGCGAGATGCAGGATTTGCAAACCTGACGACATTGCCGTGGTTAATGTCTCGTTGTCATTGATGCTGATTGATGTTTGCAGCGAGCACGTACCTTATAACACATTGGATAGGATTTGTTTATTTTGTTTTGCCAATGCAAAGAAATGTATAGAATTATAGAGCATTATTAAAAAACACAAAGAAATGCGCTTTAAGCGTTGGTGCACGTGTGGCGGTAGCTTTTTTTTACGCAATGCAAAAACAAATGATGTGCAAATTGCTGTAAAAGAACAACCGTATAATACATTCAATTACTGTCATATTGCGGTTAAATACACAGACACAAGTCCCAACTGTTATGGACATTGCTGTTGCCACACCGACACAGTGTATGTTTTACTTGCGTATTGTATAATGCTATACTGTGTATCGCTTATTGTACGACACCTTGAGTATATTACATACCGTACTTATACTTCCATTGTACCGGGCTGCGTGCAGATTTTGTGAGCACATGCAACAACAACAACAACCCCTGAAGTTTCACAAAAGTTTTCACGCGCAGTTCGTTGAATGTGCAAAATGTGTCATTTTTTTGTATATGAAAGGGATGCTTTACTTTTTTTGCGTGTGTGGAAAAGGGAGAGACGGGAAAGAACCGCCCCCCCCCCCGTACGGAATGATATTGAAACCTGAGACTCGTTAAAGTGTTTCATTTTATATATATAAAAGGTGATTTGAGAGAGAGAGAGAAACAACAGTAAAGTTGACGCAACGTTGCACTGACAAGTTGAGCGGTGGTGCTTGATTACGGGAGCAGATTTTGTGTGCGTGTGTGTATCTTGTGTGTGTGTATATATACATTGTACCGTCATAGTTACGGCGACCCTAACTCGTGTTTGCGTAGAGAAGAGAGAGGTGGGCCTTGACGGACGGCTATACGGGCAAATAAAAATGTGCCTTCCAAAAACAACAACAAAAACATGCTTGAACATGGGAGGGTTTTTTTGTTATTTAAGAAAAAAAGTAGTGCGTGTATCGTTTTCACATCCAAGAATGCGGTGTCACGAGTATAGTTTAGCCACAGGCAATGACTGTGCTGCTTTGAGTTCGCATGGGGTTCAGTCAGTGCATGGTGCACAAAGCCGCCCCCCGCCAAAGCAGCCTCCCCCCACGTGTATAATACGGAGTGATCCATTTACAGAGACCCCACAAAAACATCAACCCTACTTTTCGTCCGATAGATGAAGACGCGGAGCCAACGTGTCATTCCACCCTCATCCCCCCCCCCGGCTAATTTTGCCGCACCTATTAAATATGTGAACGCTCTGCGAGATTACGAAGACGTCGCTTTCACGGCGTTCAATCGCCCGTTTAAAAATAAAAGGGGAGATCAATTAGAATGCCGTGGGGATATGTTTAAATTGATCGCCCTGTATATCCGTGCAAGCGTGTTTCGATCCTGTTTCGACGGCGTGCATGCCGAGTTGGTTGGATTAATTCGGATGCACGTGGCAGAATTGTCTGTGCACACGTACACATCACACTGGCTCACATCCCGTAGCTGTCACTTGTCAGGGCAAGGTATACGAACAAAACAATCGGCCACGATTATGCGTAGAATGTACAGGCACTGCCCATCTTTGTCAATCCACTGCTGGATTAGGGCCTTGCCCGTGCCAGCATATAGGCCGGGAGGGTTGTTTGACCATACTTCACCATGCTTGTTAGTGCGGGGTTGCTGAAAGCGGGTGGTCATAGGCGTCGGAGCATCGTTCAGGACAATGGATGTTGTTGCACTAACCTTGGCTGGAAAAAGTAGCCCCACAGGAGACTTATAACGCATGTTTCATGCATAGTGGCCACCCTTCCATGCATTATCTCGGGTCAACCTTGCCTAACTTTAAAGATCATACATAACATACACCGACAAAGTGGTGGCATACACTATACCACCTTCGAATACATTTTACATAGTTTAATAGCAATAATTCTTTGGTTCTTTTCGGTTAAGTCACGTCTAAAAATAAAATAATAAATTAAAATAATTTAATTTTAGACGTGACTTAACCGAAAAGAACCAAAGAATAATTCCTGCAGTCACGAAAGCTCCTAAATTAAGATTAATAGCAATACTTAAAAGAGAAATGCAAGCTATAGTCTTTTGGGATGTTGCTCATTTTCAAAGCAATAAGGGAAATCGATCTGTGGATGGGCCGTGAACCGAAACGTTGGCGTGTTTTACACAGTGTGTCAAGGTAGTGATTAGGCGTTGATTGCAGTCAGCAATGTATGTCTTAGTCTACTTCAAACCATATGCCAAGGCGGTTCCTTGAGTTTAAATCGAGGTTGAAAAGAACATCTATAGAATTGCACTGAAAACCTATACGTTTAAGTAATGGTTGCGTGTATAGTTTCACACTTAGCGGACTTCACGTCCAATAAAAATCACGTAACCTTTAAATGCGGCTGCATTCCCACCAAACAAAAACACGTTTCTCAATTGCACGCTGCGCACAATCAATTCTCCCCCTCCCGAACGAAGGCGTGCTCACAATCGCGTTGTGTTCATCGTGTGCCCCACGGCGAGATCTAGGTTTTTAGAAAGCAAAAGATGAAATTACGCGCTAATGTTCAGGAAAGGCATTTAAGAACCGTACCCCTAACATTTATATATTTAAAAAAGCTAAGCTAATTGTGAGTCCGGCGTAACCCTTTCTCCGGTCATTACTGTTTCGGGGAAAACGTAATTACGGTAACTAATTGTCGGTTCAGCAGAACTAGTTTCTATTCACATTCGATTAAGGGAACGCATAATTACGGGCGTATTAAGCTACACTCTTGTTTAACGCTACCTGCAGGTGCACTATTCTATCAGCCAACCAGCCTGCCACACAATCTACTGCTGGATGAAGGGGCAGTCCGTGCCGATGACGCCCATGCACGCTCACCACGTGTAATGCACCGTACACTAAAGCACGTGGCTGGCACGCCCGCGTGTGTACAACTTGATATATGAGACACCCGCAAAGGTAGGCAGGTAGGCAAGGCAGTAAGCACACGTGTGGCATTTTGTCCAACTTAGTATAGAGTGGAGGCGAATCACAAGGCAACTCAAGGTAACTCATGAATTGGCAGTCTAAGCCACGGAGTTGCACAATTAACCATTTATTTTGTTGAGAGGTACGGACTGCACGATTGACACTGCGTGCCAACTCCAGTGTGTGTATATATCCTGATCAATTTGCCAGCGCGAAGGCCACGGGCTAATACGTTCAATTGCCTTGGGGAGAGGGAAGTCCTTCCTTCCCGTGTAGCCCTATGCAAGTAGTAGTAAGCGTGGCACGGGAACGATGTGGAAGGAACTTCCCTTTGAAAATTTCACTCGCCCATGCTGTGAATAATGATAATAATGGACAATGCAGTATTTGTGAACACAATGCAGCATTGCCTCTTAGACAGGTAAATGAACGTGCACATCTCATGACGTTTTAAATATCGCTGAGATTTGAGCGTTAACGTCAAACGAGTCGACATTTCCACGAAGTATGTGATGTTGAACTTCTTTCGCACCGTACGTAGCCAACCGCGGTAATGGAAATAACAACAACGCACACAGATGCGAGCACAATCATTCAGTCACAAACTCGTGAGTCATTTGAGTCTTCTCATTTCGTTATGGCGGGGGGTGGGGGGGTTGATGAGAAATGTTTGTGTCGAGGATGGCGAGTGAGCCAGTGAACGGCTTCAGAAACAAGCAACGTGGTGAATATCTGAAACGCTGCCGGAGAATGATCGAAGCGGTGCAATGCGGTCTATGATTCGAGGCGGGTGACTGCAAGTCACACTGCGGGCTATTCTTGATTGTCCTCGGTTGTAAGTCTGCCGTGCGATGTTCTGATGCCGTTCAATCTCGACTCATTGTTTACGGCGCAAGTTGAAACCCGGGGGGAGTATCTTCCTTGCGTGGGAAGTCGGCAATTCCACTGGCGTGCATTTAAATTCGAAAAGTGACTTTAATCCCACAGGGGTTGACAGTGCTTTGTGAGTGACGGAAAGCGAGGAGCACGCCCTGCTCATTGCAGTCACAGCGAAAGACATGAATTATGACATAATTATGATGAATGTGCTCATAAGTGAGTCTTTCAGTTGATGTCGTGTAATGAACTTGAGAAGTAGGCGCACAATGTTTTCAATTAGGACACGTTCATAGCCCCATTGCGACGAGCAGTAAATTACTTTCTCATCATGAACAAGGCTTTCTTAGGCAGCCCGTGTCATTTGCTTTTGTTTACTTTTAAATTACTCGACAAAAAATGTATCTGTAGTAAGTGTATAGGACTGAATTTCACTCCAGTGGTCATGAATGCAATACAAACCAGCTTTACCAAGTGTACGCTCAGCCAGCAACAATATTGTTTATCTAACACATTCAAATAATGTGCAGTCCTATGTCAAGATACTGTTGGACAAAGGTTTACGCACACCGTCTCGGTGATGGCAATAATTTGACCATACTTCACCACGCTGGTCAGTGGGGCTTGGGGACAAGACCAGTTATATCACGCAACCGATGTTAACCGTGGCTGGGAATCGAACCCGGGAGTGCCTAGTTCATGACACCGTGTGCTAACCACTCTTCCCACCGCTCTACCAAACACTATTGCACAATGGCTTGCATTCGCATTGAAGGGAAACGGCTGCTGGTTTTCGTAGCAATAAAGAATTTATTGAACGATATTAATGCCTCAGGCCAAGTCTGTATGAAGCTTCTTGTTTCCGTAATTGCTAAATAAAAAGGAATATTGTTTATATTAACAAGGTAGCGTTTTGTTCTTCATGTGTCATGTACGTGAAACGGGGATGCTGCCATGATGTAAACGGTGAGCGCACCTGACTTGCCATTCGGAAGTCGTCGGTTCAATTCAATCTCCCGGCGCGGCAGTTTCAACAATGCTGCACGTCTCTTAAATCCCCCTGCCACCTCCGTCTAAACTTTTTTTTATTTTACCAGGTAAGGCCCACTGAGCTATATAGCTCTTTTTCGGAAGCGACCTGGCCACAAATTATAGTTTAGCAAAGTGGCTTGTCACGTGTAAATGTATAACAGCTTTAAATGCACGTTGATTATAAATGTGGAGGGAAAAACCGGAGGACCCGGAGAAAAATCCACGCGACCACGGGGAGAGTGAAATGCAAATTCCGAATATACAGCAGCAGGCGTCAGGTTCGAGATCGAACCCACGACCTCCTCTATACCGGGCGAGGTCGTTAACATCTCGCCACCGCGTTATGAACTTTTAATAGGTACATCACTACACTATGGGGACCTCATTTGCCAGTAAAAATATGATAATTGGTTCTTTACCCTTCTATCTGGCAACAAAACTGACACCTTTTTACAAGGAGTCATGTTTGCATAGACCACAATACCTGCAGTCATAAATACAAACAAAAGGACAGTGCACATTATCAGAGTTATGTCTTTTGTTTGTATTTATGACTGCAGGTATTGTGGTCTATGCAAACATGACTCCTTGTAAAAAGGTGTCAGTTTTGTTGCCAGATAGAAGGGTAAAGAACCAATTATCAGGTACATCACTGTTTTACAATCGGTAGGTTCACTGGTGGTGGGGTAAAATGTAGGTCCTTCCATCTTTAGCAAGAAGTCTGACCCGTGTGGAAGAGTAGACCAAAATACCTTCAAGAGGGATTCTCTCGTGCTCCCCTCTAAGTGGAGGTACTTCCAGCAGCAGTGGCGCAAGTAGGTCATTGCAGGGTAGCACCTTTAGAAATGTGATGACACATGTACATACACACAATTCTATGCATGGATGTTTACCGCAAGCCAATATGAAATGATGCTAGGCTATTTCATACCAACAAGTTGTGTTATTACAATCAATAACGTGGTACAGTTTCATATGGTTGTTGGTTTTCATATCATCTCAAAACACGCTTAAACATTGAAAAATTGTGTAAAATAGTATGTACATATTTAGCATGATGACAAATTCGTATTACGCATTGTTAACGCGCATATCTGTGATAATGTCTGACAATATACAGGTAAATTATAATGCTGTGTGCATTGTGTGCCTTATATTCTGCGGTGGTGACTTTTAAAGTAACGTATAGTTGCTATATTTTACAACCAAGTACAAATACATGGAGGTGCATATTACGTGACATTGACACAATATTCAGTAAGACCAATAATGGAAGAAAAAATAAATTAATTTAAACGCCACAGCGCTCATGTTCAATTCTTTGCTGAGTTGGTTCGTTGTGCTATAAATGTTATAATATATTACACTGTATTGCAGCAGTCACTTGCTGGTCACTCAAGTCCTGCCAGCAGTCAGTCGCCTTCTGATCACTCTTCGGTCGCTCCTGCCATGGTAACACTTTCCCCAATGAACTTCGCTCATGTATTCCTCCATCCACGTTGAGGACTCGGTCTGACCAGACTCTTTCGTCTCATTCACACTGTTCGGCCACCCCACTGCAGGTCACAGTGCTTACATCTTCTTCAATATATTACAAATAGTGCTGTTTGTTGCTGACCGCTTAGCGTTGTGTGCCTATGCTCAGCAACTGTGATTTTTATTTTAAAAAACAATTGCAATCAAGACTCGGAACATTGCAGCGCCACATTGAATCGTATTTCACAGTCATACAATGCTTATCGGGCCAGTGAACATTTGAATGTTGCCTATAATTTAAGGCATAAATGAAACATGTCATAACAATAATGTACCGCCCATTGTCAAGTCACGAGAGGATGAAAACCTCCCTACGCAGTGGCGCTCGTTTTGGTCTTAGTGCAGCACGCTGCTCAGTTAGGTTTATGAAGGAGAAGAGGGGGATAGCAGATCAGAATCAAACTCGGGCCACGTGGTAAATATCAGAGTGCGCCAAGTACTGTGCCACCAATTTATTTCAATATCATCCCTGTTGTATATCTCAAACCACGGTTCTTCACGTGTAGGGGGGTGCGGTAAAATATTTCAAGCCGTTTACATTCGAACTCATAATCACTGCCCCGTTAACCGACAGTCGCCTCTAACTCTACCGTCAGAGAGATTTGACATGGATTTAAAGCTTTCGTGACTGCAGGGATTCATCTTCTTGGTTCTTTCGGTAAAGTCACGTAGAATGGAAATAATAAAATAAAATAAACATAATAAAATAATTCTCACTTATTTTATTATGTTTATTTTATTTTATTATTTCCATTCTACGTCACTTTACCGAAAGAACCAAGAAGAAGATTTGACATGGTCTACGTCAATATTTGTATGTACGTATGTTGAACTTCTTTCGCACCATACGTCGCCAAACGTGCTAATTGGAGGTGCAGGGGACGTACAACGTCGATGAAGGAATTTAGGTTATGAAGAATTGCGTGAGGTTTGCGTCTACGTGAAGTAATTTCGAAACAACTCGTTTTGAAAAGCTTTCTGAGCCATCGTTAAAGATATATATATATACAATTAAACTTCAAGGTTACTGATAACCTGGGGCAGAGGCCCAAAATGCTGAACGGCTAGCAACAAACTGCACTTCTTGAGAAGGTAATAGAAAATCGTCGATGGGTTTCTTGAACTGAGCGATGTTATTTTAAGTTGGACAAAGAGACCATAGGAGGGATTTTCAAGATCCCTTGTCACCTGCAGTGTGATGGTTGAAGACAATTTATGTGAGATGTGTATTATTATTTTTTAAATGCAAGGCAAAATGTTTAATTTCACTCTTTAAATGTGTTTTTCCTATTCCATCCAATAGGGCGATTTACGCATGTCTCAATGGCTGTAGAATTAATATGTCTTTCATCTTTATAAAGTATGGGAGCGGTGGTGCAGTCGGTTTGGTGAAATTAGTTCGATTCCTCGCCAAGGGTAGCATCAGTGGCAAAGTGGCATCTCCAGGTGCTACGATTTCGTCCCACACGAATGAAACCACTAATTATTGGCCAAACATGCCCATGTAGAAGGTCGCTCGCGATTATTAGCTTTTGAAACTCATTAATCTTTCGTGAGAAAACGATGTCATCGTGAATGCCCAAACGAACGAGTCAGGGCCTGGATCATTGTAACTGACACCTCCGATTAGCACGGTTGGCTGCGTACGGTAAGAAAGAAATTCAACATACATACAGTTCCAGTTGTTCAAGATCATCATTGGTTTGACAGGCCCTCGGTATCACAGTGTACAGTTGTTTTGACCATTAAAAACTTGCTCAGAAACATTTAAAACATGTCATTCTCATCAGGATCCATGGTGCGAGAGGCGAAATCTCCAACTCTGATGAACTCAATCTCTCTGGCCCATCTGTGCATCTCCTTTGAAGAAGGGCCATTGCGTAAAACGTCGCCGATTTTCTATTTCAGTAACTTGAAGGCAGCGTTGTTGGCGAGTGTGTTGAGCTTATTTTTTAATCCTTTATATTAAGTTCACTGGCTTGCTTGCTTGCGCGCTTACGACCGTGCAAATCTTACGGTCGTTTTTTAACCCACTTCCCGTGATCCAATCGAGCTGACATTTTGCACACAGACTCGTTGTGCGTGACAATTTATTTTCGTGAAAAAAAATTCCAAAATTTTACACTTTTTAGGAAAAAAAACATTTCATATTTAATTTAAAATACCAATGTGATAAAAATGAAATTCTTACTCAAGAAAAACAGAAATGAATAATAAAATAAAACCGATGCCACGCATATAAAGGATTTTACGGGTTAATTTGTTGTTGTTTTAGCCACTTATCAGCCAAACGAGAGTGCGTCAAGGGACAGATTAAACGATGCCAATTAATTGACGCTCTCGCTTGGCGAAAACGTTGGGGGCATTCGTTAGCATGCAGCTGTGGATAGATCATGGGTTTTTTTTATCATCTCTGGACGGTCGTTCTTCGTTTGGGGGGTGGGGGGCACTTCAACTGACACGTGGGGCGAGGAGGGGGCTTCCTCATTGCAATGTGAAACCATTCGTGCTTTGGTGAAAGGAACGGGAGAATGCGAATATCAATCTCGCGTGTGTGTGTCACAAAAATTGTCCTCCGCCGCCATCTATTGGACACACCGAGCAAAAGCCACACGTTTGGCCAGCCGAATGCATGCAAACAAAAAAAACCACACACGCATGTCTAACGCAAGATTACACAACAACAAGAACAAACGAAATACACTTCTTGTAGGCCCACGTCTCTCGTGCGTGAGTGTTCACCCTCGACAGAAAAGGGCCATCGTGCTACCCAAGCTGACACCGTCAATCACGAACGCGGTGCCCTCGGCATTCATTGTCCGTCTCACAAAACCAAATCGCATCAACCATCCCCCACGCTCACCATCCCCCAGTTCTTCCGGGTGAGAGTTTAAAGAAGTCTCGCCCAATCATCATCATCAAACACACACACACACCATCATCCGAAGCACATGTTCGTCGCAGCGTGGAAAGGGGAGAAGACACAAAGTTGGACGTCTTGAGACTTTGTGGTGTGATAGGGAATTAAGTTCGCGATGGCTCTCGAAGCCATCAAATACAGCCGGGGGGAGCTGTGCATTCTAAACCAGCTGCTGCTGCCACATCTCACCGTGTACGAGGCGGTGAAGACCACGGATGATGGGTGGAACGCGATCAAGGACATGAAGGTGGATTTAAAGCTTTCGTGACTGCAGGGATTCATCTTCTTGGTTCTTTCGGTAAAGTCACGTAGAAGGGAAGTAATAAAATAATAATAATAAAACATAATAAAATTATTCTCACGACGTTTCGCCACAACGCAAGCAGCCGTCCTCAGGTGAAAACCAGGTCCGTCATTCAGACGCTGTCGCCTCGACAGACCTGGTTTTCACCTGAGGACGGCTGCTGCGTTGTGGCCGAAACGTCGTGAGAATAATTTTATTATGTTTTACTTTTATTATTTTATTACTTCCCTTCTACGTGACTTTACCGAAAGAACCAAGAAGACATGAAGGTGGTTGGCCCACTGCTGAATTCCCCCCGAGATGTTAACTCCCTCGCCTGGTGTGCAGGAGGTCGTGGGTTCTATTCCCACTCTGACGCCTGATGTTTATTTGGAGTTTGCGTGTCTTTCATCACTGTGGCTAGGAGATGTTAACTACCTCGCCTGGTATGCAGAAGTTTCGTTGGTTCGATCCCCACTGACGCCTGCTATGTATTTGGAGTTTGCGTGTCTCTCATCATCACGGTGGCTAGGAGATGTTAACTCCCTCGCCTGGTATGCAGGAGGTCGTGGGTTAGATCCCCAGTGACGCCTGCTATGTATTTGGAGTTTGCGTGTCTCTCATCATCATCATCACGGTGGCTAGGAGATGTTAACTACCTCGCCTGGTATGCAGGAAGTCGTGGGTTCGATGCCCACTCTGTGACGCCTGCTGCTGTATGTTTGGAGTTTGCGTGTCTCTCATCATCATCACGGTGGCTAGGAGATGTTAACTACCTCGCCTGGTCTACAGGAGGTCGTGGGTTCGATCCCCACTCTTACGCCTGCTGCTGTATATTTGGAGTCTGCATGTCTCCCCGTGGCCTTAAATTCGAGATCTTGTGTCTATGTGTGTAGATGTGTGTGTCCTGGGCCTCCCCTAGATCGACTCGGCATCAAATGAGTACAGTACCGGGTGCGGTGTGTAAACATCGCCACTGGGGAGACAAAGGCGGCCGGGCGTGGTGCTGGCCACCCCACACGCCGGAGTTCGTAGGTGCTCGCGAACAGGACTTCATACCTGTCAACCCCTTATCAGTGCCTACCTTATGGGGCCGTCCATAAATGACGTCACGTCCCATAGGAGGTGGCGGGTCAGACATTTGTGACGTGTATACGAGGGCATGACAATGAGATCTTGTGCAAAGGTGAGTGTGTAGGTGTGTGTTCCACGTGAACGTATTCGAGCACGTATTACTCAATAGCTACTATATTAGGTAACTCCATATGACACTTTAAAAACTGGTTATCAGAAAACATTAAAAAATGTTAATTACAATCAGGCCCCACGGCGTTCAGTGCAGTCTCCAAACCCTCATTACTTTGTGTGTTTAGTTTGTTGTCCTTCCCCCGCACCTCTAATGAGCACGCTTGGCTAAGTACGGCATGAAAGAAGTTCAACATACATACATTATCCTCTGCTTGCTCATGAATACCTACCCGTCAACCAAGACCTCAACAACATAACTCGCTGTCAACTCAAGTCCAGATACCCCTTCAGGGATCGTGCTGTCAACATCCTATTGTATCACCCAAATCTGGATGAACGCTGGCTAACAGAGTAGAGCCATGTGGATGTCCACCCCATTCGAGACTCGAATAACGCAACTGCTGGCTTTGACATTCCTCGAAGACACAGGTGTCAGCATCAAGCGCATCAGAACATCAAACGGCCGATGCACACGTCTCCTTCATGAATGGAACATTTAAGACAAGCCACAGCAAGGCGAACTATGGACCACAGTGTAGACCACTGTAGCCTGCGCTCCGTCAGCGGAGGAATGGCAAAACTACACGAAGTGTCTACTGAAGCCCTCTCGTGGCCAGCAGACCTCGACATTGGCATTAAACTCCTGAACATATCCAAGAGTAGAATTACCAGAGGTGTGGACTCGAGTCATGTGACTTGGACTCGAGTCAGACTCGAGTCATGAATTTGATGACTTCAGACTCGACTTGGACTTGCATAACAATGACTTTGTCCCACCTCTGAGGTGTGGACTCGAGTCATGTGACTTGGACTCGAGTCAGACTCGAGTCATGAATTTGATGACTTCAGACTCGACTGGGACTTGCATAACAATGACTTTGTCCCACCTCTGAGAATTACCCACTCTGTCTCTCTGGCCACTCTATGAGCTTTGAAGAAGAGCCGTTGCCTGAAACGTCATCTATTATTAAATATATATTTTTTATTTCGAGGCCACACACATTGTTGTTGATTGACTGTGTTGCGGTTTTTGGGTTCTGAATTTAAATCGTCTCCGTGTCACATGCGGCTCTCGTTTAGCAATCATCAGAAGGGGCAGGGTGCAATCACTCAATTCATATTTTGATATAGAAGGTTGGTAAACATGGGAAGGGGCGGACAGGAGTGCGTCTCAATAACCGCAACTCGGCAGTGGGAAATACGTGGGTGTAATAATTCATGAGAGAAAGCGCATAAATATTGTAAAGTCCTTTACCCATGCATGAATCTAAATTGATTCTCAAGACTTTTTTCAGGAGGGCACTTCTTTTGGATTGCTATCTATGGCTAGCTGTTGTTATTTTACTTATGTCGTAAATTTAAAACTGCCATGCCCTTTATTTATCCTGGAAAATTTCCACTGGATCCCAATGCTCCATTTCAGAAAGGCCCAGCCTGCGTTGGGAGGTTTGGCCATTTCCTTTATTATTGAGTGGCGTGTTGGAGGAAAGTGGATTACCCGGAGAAAATACGCACGTAAGAAATGATTGCACTCGAAGCACTGAACAGATAGATTCAACAATCCATTACTGAATTATCATGTCCTAGGGACTTTTCTGGTGGGTGTAAGCAGGAGTAAGAGACTATACCTACGCTATCCACACAACGGTCAGTAATCTACTTTCCTGACTGCTGCAGACACTGACTGACTTACCTCATCAGAAGATTAGCAGGTTTGGGCCTGGACAGTGTTTGTAAGGTAGACCACCATACACGTAACAGACGTTATAGGCTGCTTTGAGGCTATCTTGTGAGCAGCAGAGGGCAGTGGAGAGAAAAACACATCTATTTTGTGCTGTAATGTGTTGCCACATCTATGCACCTCGCCTTCACTGACCTGCTCGTGCCAGCGTGGTGAAGTACGGTTCACAGCGTGGGGTGGCCCTCATCCAGCAGTGGATTGACAAAAGGGCTAGGCGTGTACAAGAGCTCTTGTCCCAATAGCCTATACGGTTTTAAGGAGATGTTTTCATCTGTGTGTGCATCTGTGCTTTTGTCTGCAATGGATTGCCACAAGGGCTGTACGTGCAAGCACCTTGCTGCCCATGCTGGTGCCTGTTTTTATGCGGGTTATGATAATAATGTCACGTCTTCATACAGGGAAGCCTCATTAGTCTCCAATTCTGCCAGGAGGGGCCTGCATTGGGACGTTTGTGGCAGTTCCTTTTTAAGGATTGTTTTGCATGTGGGAGGTAACCGGAGCACCGAGAGAAAACCCACACATGTGTAGTGAGTGACTTCCGAGACACAGCGTGTAGAGGGCTTCTTATTTATTTCTCACATTTCAGGCGCAATCACTGGGCGACATAGCCGACCCATCTACACAGCCCCATCGTCGGCATCTAACTATATAGGTGGCTGACTAATGTAGCGACGACGACGACGATGGGAGGCGTGCAGAGGATCAGCCATGCGGCCAGACGATGAAGAGAGATGACGGTGAAGACAGTGACGGCAGCCAGGACCCGGACCCCCATGACAGCCTCGAACCTTCAGTCACGTGCCCCTCATATACTTCCCGGCATAGCCAGGCTCCGCCTCCGGACACGCCCCCTTCTAGAACCTTCAAGCAGGTTCCCGGAGATTCCCGACTGACCCCGCCTTTGACCTTCAACCCAGTTATGCCCCCCTTCTAGTTGGTTATTATATAATGTACCCATACTCGTGATTACCTCTCCTGGTCAACAGATGGCTCCCTGTCATTAACACGTGTACGCACACGAATCCCACTTGCTGCGCTGCCATCAGTAGGTTTCAGAGGTTCACCAATCTGCATGTGATCCGCTAACCCTTGCCTCCGAAGTGGTGGATCGCGGGTATGCGCCATAATATTAAGGCAAAAAGAGTTTAAATAGAAATGTAGAATTCATTATTATACGACAGTAAATAAATTATTGTAGTGAATAAAATAGTGCGGAGAAGTGCACACTTAGAATTAACACCGAGAGACAGGAAGAAGGAAAAGTGCATTGATCAGGGAGCAAACGCAAGTCCGAGGCTTCTTTGTGACCACTAAGAAATTATCAGTGGGCTTGAGCAGCACGCATCATTCTCCGCGAGAAGGGATGATGGCTGACGGACAAGACTGGGAGACAGAGTGGTAGCCAGGGGTCCGTCACTCTTGCAAAACGGAGACTCTCCTTGTCGCTTTGTGTCCTCGGCTGGATGAGCGAGCTAAACGTGAAAGGAGGGAACACGCACCACCGAGAGGACGACCGTGCCGAGACAGAGCGAAGGAATGAGCGCGTGCGCCGGAGCGAGATGGATCGTGCCATTCGCGGGACCGCGGCAGATGGTGACGGTGTGGATAGGCTTTCATCGAGCAGTGGATAGAACGTGGTTGATGGTGATATTTTTCTCATTTAAATTTCGGTGGGGGAGAATAAGTTGTACTATATTATTATAGAAACGTTAAAGCATCATCTTGATGTTCCCCCATGAGGAATGCAAAATTACAGTTAATCATCTTGCAACTCTTAAAAACGCATTTAACCGTGCTGTATTTGCATGCCCTACAAATGAAAGAAGGCACAGTTTTTAAGCGATTACAGTTAAGCAATTAAATAGGGTTATTTTTAAGTTGTGCAAAAGTTGCAGAATCTCTTGGCAAAAGCTTAAATGTTTCTCATTATCTGTCAGCACACCTTGAATTGTACCCAGGACTTAGTTTCTTCTTCAATATTTTCACAGCCGTTGATTACTCCGCTTGCCCAAATGCTGGGAGGTGGCAAGTGACCAGTAGCCACAGCCAAGAGTGAGAAGTATGCTGTATTTGATATGCCAGGCACAAACATTATTTTCATTTCCCCGACGCGAATGGGTAAAGGTGCGGCCCTGCAATGATTTGCTCATACCACTGCTGACAGAAAGGACTCCCCCAGCGGGAGCTTGCAGATCCCGAGAGGGTATTTTCACCGACTCTTTCACGTTGGCGCAAGCTATCTTACAAATGGTTGGAGAAGCTCACGCACTTTAACCCACCACACGTGGCCTATCGAGTGACTTGACCCTATCCCGATCCGAGACGTGTGCAAGTTGCAGGGTGAGTCTCGTTCACCGCTGAATCTGGGAAAGCGGTTTGGCATTAATTTTATTTGGAAAGGCGTAGCGCCGCTGTTTTTATAAACATTGTACCCACCGCAGAGAACTGTAGCGACACGACCGCAGTCTACGATAGCTGGCGCCTAACTGTGCCACACGCTTTCCCGCATGGCCCTGTGGGAGCCTCGGTACCAATAGTTATTTCATATTTTTAGAAAAACTGATGACGTACACGTACGTCATTGGAACAAGAAAGGGTTAAGTATTTATACTTCTAGGTGAACAGCGAAGGGGAGGGGGGATTTAAGAATATTGGCCATTTTTAAAAATCTCAACTGCCACGCTGGGAGATGGCTTGAAACTGGCGACTCCTGGATTGTAAGTCCAGTGCGCCAACCATCACATCACCGTGTCAGCATTCCGACCGGGGCAGACCCGGCTGAAATTGAGCCGTGAGTTTTAACCCCTGCCTTCTGCCACCCGCCAGGTACGCGGCGCTCCAGCCATAGCGATCGTGGGCTGCCTGAGCCTTGCCGTCGAGATCACCAAAAGCAAGTTCACCTCCATGGAGGCGCTCGTGGAGTTTGCCCGGGAGCGGCTCGCGTACCTCGTGACGGCGCGCCCCACCGCTGTCAATATGAGCAGAGCGGCGACCGACATTGGCGCGACGCTCTGCCAGCTGGTCGCTCTGCCTGGAGCCACGATCGACAGCGTGGAGAAAGGGTGGGTGGTGGTGCTGGTGGTGATGATGGTGATAATGGTGATGGTGGTGACGGCGGTGGTGGCAATGGTTGGTACAGTAAGGGGCGCAGTTGGTGCGTCTGCCAGTCAGCTCAGTCAACCCATGACACCTGGGTCAGTCCCGTGACCTGTCGGCGAGCCTTCGACACTTCACGTGGCCTCAAAGTGCACCTGGCCTGGCCCAGGTGCCGTGGTGACGTCACCGTCACTTAGTGGTAAATGGCAGGTATTGGTGGGTGATGGTGGTTGCGGTGGTGGTTGCGGTGGTGGTGTTGATAGTAGTAGTGGTGGTTGTGGTGGTGGCAGCGATGATGGTACCAGGTGATCTGTGCCGGTTCAGTTCCACCAGTTCGGCAGTTGACACTTGGTTTCTTCAGGGCGTTGGCGGATTAAAAAAAAAATGTTGAGGCGGCTTGATCCGTTGTCCGCTTCATTTCACACTGATCAGGCCACGTAGAGGGAGGCTGGCATTGATTGGCGGAGGGGATACGGCAGCAAGAGCTCACCCCACCCGAGACGTTCTCATGGCATCAGTTGTGGAGGATTATTCTTTTACAAGACATCGACACGCCTCTTTGTTGAAAGTTATTGACATTTCCATATCCGGTGTCTCGTAAGATTGAGCCATCAATATAATCGGAGTCCTTTTCATCTCGGCTTCACTCCTACCGCAATTTACACACGGTAACAAAACTCGTGATGACCTTACTGCCCGCGTTTCACATCCAACACCATTGCATTTGAACCGATTATGAAAGACAAGTTAGGAATTTTGACAGAACGAAGGGACAGGATTTGAAGAGTTTACAGACAAAACGTAGCAATGTTGTCGCCTGCTCTTGCTTGCTTGGTGCCGCACCCTCTCCTGCGTTGTCCAGACTCTTGGAGGCGATAGAGGCCATGATGGCGAAGGATCTGAGCGACAACAAGAGCCTCGGCAGATTCGGGGCCGAGCACATAATGGCCAACAGCCAGAAGGACAAGGCCATTGTCCTCACCCACTGCAACACGGGATCGCTGGCCACGTCCGGCTATGGGACAGCTCTCGGTAAGCCGCCGCACGTCTCAAGAATTTTAACGGTTTGCTCCAGGGGGAGCTTTTTGTTCCTTACTGATGGCCGAATAGGACTTTCAAATACCTTTGGCGAGGGGGAGAAGGACGGGGGTCGCACGGGAACGCACAGACGCGCACAGGCCTCTGTTGCTGCGTGAGGCCTTCGTACTGATAGAAGTGGCTGAACGTTGCGGAAATGAGAAGGGCAGTGTTGCCGCGTTAAAAACATGCCCCTCCAGTGCCTGATTGGTGCGGCCGAGATGGTCGCAGTTTACGGATAAATATTGTTTTGCTGGCTGTTTTGAATCGGTAGGCCTCATGTGACCGCAGGCCACATTTCATACGGTACGCGGGCCATGCGATCCGCATCCCTGGTTTACCCGCTGCAGATTTAAGGGTGAACAGAGCGATGTGATGGCAACTGGGGCAGTAGGGTGGCAGCACAGTGGTAGACACGTTTGCCTCGCAGCAAGAAGGCCCTGGGTTCGATTCGGTTTAGAGTTTGTACATTCTCTCCTTGTTCTGCATTGGTTTTTCTCTGGGTTCTCCGGTTTCCTCCTAGAGCTAAAAAAACCTATCACCATGTAACTGGTATTGGCCAGAGAGCCCAATGCTGAAAGATCGGCTGCAAGTTACTCGATTAGAATAACGTGTAGCAACATCGCCCCCCTCGACCGCACAAACTTAACAGCACCCTCCAGCAAGTGAGCCTTGACACTCCTTAAGGTGTTCCTGGGTAAAGAAGTGGAATAATAATAACAACAGCAACAATGATAATTAATCATTAGATTAAACCAACAGATTCCCATTTTTTTTGTTTTCTGCACCAATCGCTTCACCAGGTTGTGAACCCCCGGAGCGCCGAGACGTTTGAGCCCCGCTCCGCTGTGTTGTTTTTCACAGGAGTTGTTCGCTCTCTGCACGAATCCGGATGGCTGGAGCGCGTGTACTGCACAGAAACACGGCCGTACAACCAGGGCTCGCGCCTCACGGCGTACGAGCTGGTGAGCGACGCCATCCCCGGCACACTCATCACCGACAGCATGGCAGCATTTGCCATGAAGGAGCGGGGCATCACAGGTATTTCATAATTTTTACATGTGTGTATATATATATATTTTTTTACTAGACTTTCCCACAGAGCGCTACCTATTTTATCTACCCTTGATCGGGATTGGAACTGCTTCAGGATTCACCAGCTGGAATAGTAAATGCACGCATTAATTTCCTTGTTGTAAGGAATCACTTACGGGCCCGCTAATAAAGTTTACTTTTGTCAGGGTGTTCACTAGAACAGGCTGAATGGCAGTTTGAACTAGGCGTTCGGAGAGAAATAAAAAATTAACCCGTAAAAACAAAGTTTTTCACTCTAAATCCTTTATATGCGTGGTGGCTAGAGTCCTCTCGTCCTCTGGCTTGAGATGGCTGCCACCTATGGGTCAGATGATTGTCTGCCACCATTAAGCAATTGGTAATTAAATATTTTTAAAAAATTCCCTAAACAGTGTAACATTTTGGAAAAAAATTTTCACGAAAATTAACTGTCACGCACAACGAGTTTGTGTGCAAAATGTCAGCTCGATTGGATCACGGGAAGTGGGTAAAAAAACGACCGAAAGATTTGCACGGTCGTAAGCAAGCAAGCACGCAAGCAAGCAAGCAAGTGAACCTAATATAAAGGATTTTAAAAAAACAAGACGTGATAAAAAATGTACGCATTGCCGCGTATTCGTGAAATTGCATTTGCACGGGTCTCCTTGTCAAACGCGAAATGAAAACGTTGCATATAATACGCGCAGGTACATGTGTACGGCATTCACTCGGATAGACACACTTCCCTGCAAATGTGCATTTTGTTCACGATTTGTTTAAATCGTCAACAATTTGCAGCTTCGTTTGCGGCGATCAACTCGCTCGATCGCCAAACGTCGCCACGGTTGACTCTCAAGAGCGTGCAGCAGTCGCGTCACATCTTAGCCGGTTGAACGATTGCTAGCAGCCGAACGAGCGAGCATTGGGTGCTTGGCAGAGCGTGCAATGACTGTACACGGGGCCGCTAATGGAACGCGATCGCTGTGTAGAGGTAGAAATCAGCACGAGAAGGCGGCGTTCCTACAGCTACGTTCGAAATAAACGGGGGTATCGTTGTAAGCACGGTCCGTTTGTACCAAGGTCATGCTGTAGGCATCTATATGTTGCTATCTTGTTTCAGAATGTTTTGATCGTAGCCGCTTGTCAATCCACTGCTGGATGAAGGCTACGCCCACACCATCTTAAGTCATGGTGGGGGTTTACCTTTCCCTGTTTCACGTTGGTCAGTGCAGGCTGGTGAAAGGGTTCCCCAGCACTTGTTCAGATAACATTGTCCACGGGGGGGGAATAGCTGTTTCCTGGAACCGAACTGTGGTTGCTGGAATATTGGTGCGGCGGGTAAACCCCTGCACCTGCACTCCACCCCCATTAAAATATTTTCGTCGCACGTTAATTCTTCTTCGTGGAAATACGTGAACGAGGTGGACGAACGGGGAAGCGACTCCAAACCGTGAGGGTCGTGGTCACCTCCGATTAGCACGGTTGGCTACGTACGGCACAAAAGAAGTTCAACGTACGTGCGAGCGAGCGAGCGAACCGATAAAAACGAGGCAAGGGGAAGCGTTGAGACAAGCCAGGCTGTTGTCGGGATGCGCGTTGCCGCCAGCGGTGGTGGTGGGTGCGGACCGCGTGGCCGCCAACGGGGACACGGCCAACAAGGTGGGCACCTATCAGCTGGCGGTGGTCGCAAAGCACCACGGCATACCGTTCTACGTGGCGGCGCCCAGCACGTCGTGCGACCTGACGCTGGAGGACGGCAAGCGGATCGTAATCGAGGAGAGGCCGCACGCGGAGCTGACCGAGATTAACGGGACTCGTGTTGCCTCTCCAGGCAAGTCGTTTTTTTATTTTATTTCTGCCGTTGCCGCATTTAACCTTTGGAAGTTCGTCGCGGTTCGCCGCCCACGCGTTTTACAAAAAAGTTAAAAGAGCGGGCAAAACGTTTGTAGAACTGGTGCACAGCGGATGGCGAGAACGTGGAGAATTTAACGGCGCTGGGTCGTATCATCACGGCGCGAATTTTATTTTGCAATTGTGACCCAAATATTGTGTTTTTGTCGTGACCGTCTCATTTCGCAGGAATCGATGTTTGGAATCCGGCGTTTGACGTGACCCCTCAGGACTTGATCACGGGGGGCATCGTGACGGAGTTGGGGGTTTTCGAGCCGCGCAAGCTGAAGGAAGCTCTCCAGGCCAAAGAGAAATAAACGAGAGCCGCCTTGTGCGGACAAGTGTCCATCTGGGAAAACAAATAAAAGCTGTCCCCAACAGAAATAATCCTGAGGCTCTCACGGGGTATAGAGGAAACGAAAGAAACAAACATTCCGCATGAATAATTGTTACATTTGTGTGTGTAGTTCATTAACAAGAACAAAAATGACATTGCAATGCTTAATTTTAGCGTATAAATATATACGGTGCGTTCTTGTTACATTTCTGCTCTGGAGCACAAGCAGAAGTGGTTTCCGTGTTATTAACAGAAAGAGTTCACGTTGACAAAAGTCTTTATTGATTATATATGATTTACACAGCTAAAGATACTGTAACCCACAGACAGTCTGTAATCACTGCTGCTTTAATCACTGGTGTAACATATGCTTAACTGTGTAACTCTTTGCCAGCAGGCCATGAACATAATACAAACAGTCAAACAATATACATGTACTGTGTCTCTATATTCAGCGTTTGAGCATTTTTTTCTTACTTTTAAAGCTATGCCAGCATTACATTAAAAGCACTTCTAGAATTGAAGGCATTTCGATTGATTTAAGTGTGAATAAAAAAATGTCTTCAAGACCGCCACGACCACAAGGACCACAAAGGACACAAAGCTTCTGTCGAGTCGTTCGCGATAAACGCACAGCCACAGGCTCGCGACGAGCGCGTGTTCGAAAAAGTAAACTACTACGGCAAATCTTCTTGGTTCTTTCGGTAAAGTCACGTAGAATGGAAATAAAAGAAAACATAATAAAATAATTATCACGACGTTTCGGCCACAACGCAAGCAGCCGTCCTCAGGTGGAGAACAGGTCTGTCGAGAAAGAGTCTGTTTTATTTTTATTTTACTATTTCCATTCTACGTGACTTTACCGAAATAACCAAGAAGATGAATCCATGCAGTCAAAAAATACTACGGCAAAAGTAAACGTCAGCTGTGAAATAAAGCGGCCCCTTGCACCACAAACCAACGGGTTGAGAAAATTGGTGAGTTGGTAAACCGTGGGCCACGGAAAAGGCAAGGGCCCCTTTGTCCATGGCTCTTATGATGAATCATGGAGGGCGGCGGGGGGGGTATCGTGCACGGCGAAAGTCGTGAGAGCGGCTTTTTTTGCTGTGAAAAGTTCCCGGCAGCCGCGATCGGCTTCCCCCACCTCCCTGGTGGCTTCAGGATGGCCAAAAGTAGTTTGTTGTTTTGTGTTGTTGCCGAAGGGGCACAACTGTAGTGGACGAGGGTGACCGTGCACACACCGCGCGTTTGCCAAAAATATTGGCAACCCGAGGTCGCGTCGAGGCAACGTTTTGCCTCTCAATCGGTCACCTCGCGTTTGTGCAACACTTTACAATACCACCTTTTTTGTTTAAAGATTTTCCCACCCCCCTGTGCATTTTTGTCAGGCGCTTGCAGATTTGGCATGAATGCTAAACTCGCCGCTACAGGCGTACAGTCTTTAACATGAGACCATCGACCATTAAATCGGTACACGCTCCAAAAGCAATACTGCTGCTGCTGAGCCTGGCAAATGCCATGTGAGCACGAAGGGCATGTGATGACGTACTGGATGCTATGATGGCATGAAACCTTCCCCAATACTCAACCTTCAAATGGGTTTTGCAACAAACAAAATCGTCTCATATTCTGCTCAACATCTAAAACAACTACGGTGCGCTCTGCGGAAGCCCACAAGCATTTTTGCACAATCTCCTATTTTTGTTCTTTGCTCCAGAGAGAGAAAAAAAAGACAAACCCCCTCCGATTCCACGCTCCCTCCCGATACAACATCACACCGTGGCAAATGCAATCCCAGCTACGACAAATCTCTCCCATGGCGAGCAGCAGCAATCAAGCGTCTTGCTCAGGCCCGACGCCGTAACGAAGCAGCAGCGTTCGGCGTGAAAGATGAGCCAAGGTCAAACAATAAAAATGGGGGGCTCCCGACAAAGCCGTCGATACACGGCGGACAGAGAGAGAGAGATGGGGGGCAGAGAGCGTGCGAATGGCGCACGACTTCTTAGCCGGACGTGTTGATGTAGAGCTGGTGTTGCAGGATGTAGTCGATGACTGGCTGAGAAAGGTACTCGCTCACTCGGCCGTCTCCCTTCTGCAACGCGAGCCTGCGGGGGGTGGGGGAGGTTGGCAGAGTTTAGGGCGATAGAAGATGCTCAATTGCAAAAGCAACGGATGTGCATATTCATCTTCTTGGGTCTTTCGGTAAAGTCACGTAGAATGGAAATTATAAAATTATAAAAATAAAACATAATAAAATAATTCGTTTCGGCCACAACGCAAGCAGCCGTCCTCAGGTGAAGAACAAGTCTGTCGAGAAGACAGAGTCTCTGTCTTCAGACGCTGTCTTCTCGACAGACCTGTTCTTCACCTGAGGACGGCTGCTTGCGTTGTGGCCGAAACGTCGTAAGAATTATTTAATAATGTTTTATTTTTATTATTTTATTATTTCCCTTCTACGTGACTTTACCGAAAGAACCAAGAAGATGAATCCCTGCAGTCACGAAAGCTTTAAATCGAGATGTGCATATTCTTTGTGGCTTTCGGTAAAGTCACGTGGAAAGGTTCAAAGAAATAACAAAAATAACTAAAAACTACGACGTTTCGATCGCAACACAAGCGGTCGTCATCGGGAAAAGGGGAGCGTTAAGTGAAGATTCAACGGATGAATGTTGGCACGGGTCCCGTATCGCGTTGTAGGAGGCAGGCTGGCTTCTTGGTTGGTTACTTGCGGTATATTGTTACACCTCGACCCGTTCCTGTTAATCACTCGGTACTGGGCCACTAAATTCTGCGAAGATGTGAAGAAGAGTGGCTTGTCAAAGAAGAAACGATGAGATGTGTGCAACGATGATTCGCCCACGAACCCAAACCGACGGCTGTGAGAGTTTGTAAATCTACTGCGGTTAAATTCGTGGACTTCTTACAGGGGGTGGCAAAGTGAGGCCAACTAAACGCCCAGGATCCGCACAGCGTGATGTGCAGGGATTCCTCATCCAGCAGTGGAGTGACAAAAGGCTGCTGTTTTCCATGTGCACATGTGCAATGCTAAGTACTCTGGGTTTTTCGGTACAATCACGTAAGTAAAAAAAAATTAAATCACAAATTAAGTAAATAAAATAAAAAATGAAAAAACTAAATAAAATCACAAATATTAATTTATTTAATTTGTGATTTTATTTAGTTGTTTTCAATTTTTATTATTTTTTTACCTACGTGACTTTACCGAAAAAAACAAAGAGTATGGATCCTTGCAGTCACGAAAACTTCAAATCTAGAATACAATGCTAAGCTTATTTATTTTGGAGGCGAACATTGGTGTGTAACTGAAAGTGTACTTTAAAAAAAAATCAGAACACGTTGACTAAAGAGGTTATTGAAAACGACGTGAGTGTAATATCAATAAGAGAGCCTGGTAGCATTGCTCTTACCATCCCGCAAAGGTGTCACCACCATTACAAGAAGCCTTTGCAAAATGCCACTACAGAATCTGCTTTCGTTCAACACCGTACACCAAGGCCGTAATTATAATATAATTTTGGGGGGACATATTCAAATATTCTCAAAATGTCCCCCCAAATATGATTGTGGTTATGGTTGTACTTTATTAATCCCTAATCTCTGCCATTACATACAATGAAACAAGAAAAGGTAAACGAAAAAAACAGAAAAGTAATACATTACACTATTAGACATTTTTGTAAAAAATTAATAGAAAGTCCATCCTATGTCTTAGTGATTTTAAATATTTTAGGCAGGAAATTTGTTTTCAAATTTAGATTTTTTTTCTGGGGGGGGGGGGCCCATACCCTCTGGAAGATGTGGTCCCCCCCAATGTTGACTCCATGGCTACGGCCTTGCCGTACACAGTCCAGTATTGGTATTCAATTTCAGTCTTCCATTTTAAAATGTACAGCCCTTACGTCAATCCACTGCTGGATGAGAGCCTCTCCACACCCGGGTGCCTTCCGTGGCGGTTATTTGACCATACTTCACCACGATGGGCGGTGTGGGTTGAGTTGAAATGCAGGGGAGCGTAACAGAACTGTGCAGTGTAGCTGCACTGCCCCCTGCTGCCCGCTAGCCCCGTGACACCCTGTTAACGAATGGTGCTCGGTCACCATCCTTTGCATCATCCAGCCGTAATTCTGCTTAGCTTCTGAGATTTCACAATATCGGGCACACACTAGGAATGAACGATTTGGGGAAAATATATAATTGCGATTTTTCAGACATTGCGATTTGATTTGCGGTTATTTTTTTAAAAGTCAAGCTTCAGTTCAATATGCACTGTGTAATAGATTTAAAACATGTGATGGAGCATTACCACATGATACCATCAAAACATGAACTGCTCTATATATTCTAATGCAAGGATGAGAACTTAAAAGATATGAATTGCTTCCAACATGTATTTATTAAAATGTTTTAAATGAAATAGAACAATCAAACATAGAACAATTGTTAAGTTAAATAAATAAAGTTATATATTTTTTCCATAATTCCAATAAGAAAGTAATAGTAGGACTTTTCAAATCGCAAAAAATCGCATCCTTTGCAATTTGCTAATCGCATTGTTTCAAATTGCGCTTTCGATTTGAAATCGATTAATCGTTCAGCTCCAGTATATACACACACACTGGGTGATTTGGTCACAGGTGGGAGCATGTTACAGATTTTGCTCCACTGCCCTCTGCTTACAAAGTAGTTTCGCGCAACGTAGCCACTGACTCTATGTTGTTTATTTTACCAGACACTACTGGATGCTGTAGAGACAGATATTTGCGTTGGTTCTTCTTACCTGCTTTTAGTTGAGCTTATGTGCGCCGTTGGTCCATCCACTGCATCGCTGACGACGTTTATGTTTTTCTGTACAAAGCAACACATTTTATCGTCGCCTTTTTTATTATTATGGCACGAGAATTTCCGGTGTTTAAAAATAAAACCACCACTCTGGAAATAAAAATCAATAGCTGAGAGAAGACTAATTGCAACCTTTTTGTTTTACGTCCTGCCTGCGGATTTTTTTTTTGTAACAGCAAGCGCTCGGCACATTTAGTCAATTAAATATTCACGAGAGTGCCCGCCATGTGGTCTGACCCTTGACCTTGAGAGCACCGCCGCGGTCTGACCTTGAACTTGAGAAGGTGGCGAGATCGTCGGATGATGCGTTCCGAGTCGGCGCAGTCCCGGGGCACGCAAACGACGCCGAACTCTGCCAGGATCACTTTCAGCTGCGACACGAGTACGGCACGGTGGTTTTTTTTAGTATTTTGTTTACATGAGACGCAGCATCCATTTCGGTAAATAAGCGGGGGGGGGGGGAGTCTGTAAAAGGGACAATAGAATTTGTGGCGGGGAAGAATAGGTGTTGATGTTTTACTGTGACTGCCTTGGGGACCGGAACCAGTCAGTGCCGGTGGGGAGCCATGATGGACGGGAGCACGCTTCTGTATGTCACATGTATGTCATATGTATGTCATATGTACACGGAAACGTGGGCGCCACTGTGGCGAGATGTTAGTCACCTCGCCTGGTATGCAGAAGGTCGTGGGTTCTCAATCCCGATCCTGATGCCTGCTGTGTATTTGAAGTTTGTACGTTCCCCCCGTGGTCGTGTGAATTTTTCTCCGTGCCCTCCGGTTTTCCCCTCCACATTTAATATCAACGTGCGTTTCGAGTATTTGGCTGCTATAAATTTCCACGCGACAAGCCACTTCGTTGAGCTATCATTTGTGACCAGGTCGCTTCTGAAAAGAGCTCAGTAGTAGGCCTTACCTTGTAAAAACAAAATAGTTAATTGTATGTTGAACTTCTTTCGCGCCATACGTAGCCAACCGCGCTCATCGGAGATACAGGCGAAGGCCGACAAACTAAACACAAAAAGCGATTCTCAAGAAATGAGCTTTGAATCTAGATTTAAACGTGCATAACTCCAGCGGCTTCCCAATGCGCCGTATGAATGGAGGGACCGAGTTGCGACACTTCTCGTGTGCAGGTTTTGAGTTGGAGTTTGAGAAGAATAAAAAAAACCTACATGGATGAAGCCGCCTTCACGTCCATCGTGTGCATGCCGACACCCAAGTCCACTGGCATACTACTGTAATGACGACTTGACACACTTCTCTTGAGATGGCGTTTTTTTGAAGGCACGTTCACTTGACATCAGGCGGAGACCCCCACTGTAACAGCCCCGAGTCTCCCACGCTCCTCCATTATATACCAACCGAGGCCACGCCCCCCTTCTCGATCATTCTCGCAGACTCTGGACGCTCGCTGTACCTGACCGCGCTCCCTTCTCGATCGTTCCCGTAGCCACCGGTCCCTTCGCACTTACAACTGACTCCCCTGTCATGACCTCCCGTGGCCACTCGTCCACTCACAGCCCATGTAGGCTCTACTTTCATGACACTATCGTTAAATCAATGAAAATGTGCAGCCACCGAACTGGGAATGCGTTCTCCACTTCGGAAGTGCTCACAGTGCAGTGCATCACTCTGCGTGTTAGATATCAGCCTGCAGAAGCAGAGCTTTTGAGAACTGCTCATGAATATCGCTGCAAGTAATATTGCAGAGAAGTCGCTCTTTCCCACACGCGCTGTTGCAGGGAGTAATGCTCACCACATCGCAGTCAATCGGATATTTTAATCCTCGGAGATGAAATTAATTGAAATAAAAAACCAAAGCTAATGTCCTTTTTTTGTTGCGTGCAGTAATTGATGACCAGACTGAGACAATCAACTCATTGCGCTTGAGAACCTGGTCTAATCAGAGAACCAGACCCAGATTTTAAACTAAGGATATAAGCTGTGCAAGCGGAAAAATAAATAACTGAATAAATCATTGGGGGGGGGGGGGGGGGGGGTGGGGGTTAGGGAAAAATCGGGTTTAGAGTTTGGCAGGAGCAACATTCGCCACTCAGCTGCCTCACTCAAGGACAAGGAGGGATGTTCCTTGTTATTTCGGATCGAGTAAGGTGGAACACGACAGATCGAGGAGTGAAATGAGACGAGGGTCTGGCAAGAGTGGTGTGAATGTGACTCACGTCATCGTCATTCCAGAGGCCGGGGATGCTGAAGGACTCAAGGAGGTCACTCCCGCACAGCAGCATGATCCGCAGCTCTGCCCACAGACACACCCACAGGACATCTCGCTTGCCTGGTCTCCCGACTCAGGCTCCCACATTTATGGGAGGCTCAACCAGGACGCATGGCGAGCTGATAGCCCTATCCCTCTGTCAGCCTCGCCTACTTGTGCATAACCATGCCCACTAAATCACCAGCACCTGCCCAGTGAGTCGCCTCAAATCTGACATTGGCCTGGCCTACTTTTCTGCCAGCCATGCCCAACTACTCAGGTAACACTTCCCTTGGCTGCTATACATTTCCACGTGATAAACCACTTCGTTGAGCTATCATTTGTGGCCCGGTTGCTTCTGAAAGGAGATATATAGCTCAGTTGGCCTTACCTGGTAAAATACAAAGTTTAGTTTTCCTGTATTATGAGTCGAGTATGAAGTTAGAATATTTTTTTTAACTGAAAATGTTTTTTTTTCACAAAGCTTTGGGGCTCGAGGATGGCCTTTCTGAAAGCCACTGGGATGTTCCGACCAAATAATGACATTTACCGTGGGTCGACAGTGTTGAATCACTCCCCGGCAGGTATTGGTTCAATTAGACTTTTAGCCTTAATTAAAAAAAACACATTTGAATAAAGCTTTCCTATTTTTCTGAGCCAGTGTGAATAATGTTGGACGACCACATTGCTTTTTTTTGCAGTAAACATTAATGGCCTTTGCACGATTACAAACATGTCATTATTGATTTTAAAAAATATTTTGTCACTGCCTGCAGCCTGATTTTGGTATTGCTAATTACCATTATTCATTTCCTTTGTTTGGCCTTGATTGTACACATCTTTGTTTAATGCCATGGTGGAAAGAGGTGGTTATTAATAATTAATAATGTAAAGAATAAATAACTTACAGCCCTTTGCCAATTGACTGCTTGGATGAAGGTCTCCCAATTGCGTGAAGGCCAAGAGGGTGGTTTGACCGTACTTCACCAGGCTGGTGACTAAATGGTGGCATAGGACCGGTTTTGGTGTCAGCTGTGGCTGGGAATTAAACTGACCGGGTTCATTTCTCAGTTGCGCTAACCACCGCTCGGCCCCAGGTGTGAACAGTTAAATTGCTACACGCTTGACAAATTATCATTCCATTTCAATGTTAATCGGTGCTTAATTTCAGCCGGAGCAGATGAACACCGTGCCAGGAATTATTTTGGCACGCCACATGCAGCTCGCCTTATTTTGTCCGAAACTTGCAACATAGGGTACAATGATGTAGGATTATTATAGAGAGGCGTGTATTGTAGTCTAGTGGCAGTGCCTTATGCCAATGACCCCTACTCAAGGCCCTACGTCAATAATTTATAGTCCAATGCCAGCTTGGCAGCGGGTGAAAAATTAAGCCGTGATTTTAATGCATGTCACCCTGACGATAATGCAGAGTATAATACCTCCTTTACCACCCATACCGTGAATCACACTCACCAATCTCTTCATATCGAACACTGTTGCCAAGGTTGGCATTCTCGTCTGAAACAAATAACAACAACAGCAAGAAATATTTGCAATTGAAACACTTCAGCAAGTTCTGGGTGTAATAACGATTTGTGCAAATGCTTAAGGAAAGGGCCGTTTGATTGGTCATGCTAAACTAATTCTGGTCGGGCTCATTTCCGTAAATCAATCAATATTTAGCTTGAATTTCACTCGTGTTTTTTATAGGACAAATCACTCTTAAAGCAATGAAATCAGACTGGGATTTCATCCAAAAGGATATGTAATATATGCTCCAAGGGCGACTATCACTGCACCACGCTGTTAGATTGCGGTCGTGAAATTTATTTTTGGTACCAATTTTCTCAGAAAGTTTAAACTTTCTTTTCATGTCCTACTATTTCATCATTGTCATTATCAGCGATGATCATTCCACTTCTGGATGAAAGCCTCCTCTATCCGTCACCATCTCTTGTAATCCCTGCGCTGTAACAATCCACCTAGCACCTCCGCATGGCCTCATGTCATCACTCCATTTCTCCGGTGGATGTCCTTTCAGGCGTATTTCCTTCTTGTTTTATTGAAGGTATCATTAACATTAAATACGTACGCTCAATTAAATACATCTTTAGATTTTTTTTTCGTGTGATCATCATCAACAACCATGTTCAATCAATCCGCTGCTGGATGAAGGCCTTACCAAGCTGTCACTGTCGTAAATCCGCCAAGCACCTGCACACGAGCGGATTTCGCCGCTCCATCTCCTCCCCAGTGGAAGGTTTTCCCTCGTGCGTGCTGTTGCAATATCACTGATTCATTTCCAACATTTGCCGCAGTTAATTTGAAACGTATTTATGCACGGCGCGTCCACCGCGTTTCGTGTGGTTGCCTTTACGAGGCGGCCCGGTCCCCGCGGGAGGAGAATTTATTTCGTGAATTAGCCGTTTGCAGGGGGGGCTTGCAGGGGCCATTTTTCCAGACAAGAGATCTTATTGAACTGGAAATCCTATTGGGAACCTCGCCAAGACAGCCGTGATTAACGCCGCTCTCCTATTCAAGAGCGTCGCGGGTTCATTAAACTTTCACGTGGCTGACAGGGATCTGGGGTTTAGCGTCCTATCGAGAAACACCCCGCAACTATATTTCATCACCGCTCCTTCGTTCACCACGTTAACAAGAATAACTAGAGTCATGGATCATTTACGGCCCTTTGTAAATCCACTGCTGGATGAAGGTCTCCCCGTGCCGTGTCGGTTACGGGTGCTGTTTCGCCGGTATTTCATCACGTTGGGTCAGTGTGAGTTGGTGAAGTCCATGAGGGACGAAGGACCGGTTCTGATATCGCTCGCCACCGATGTTAGCCGTGGCCGAGAATCAAACTCAATTGGCAAGGTTCATAGCCCAGTGTGCTAACCACCGTGCCACCGCTCCCCCCCCCCCCCCACCCCGCTTCCTCGTGTTAAAAAGTCAGGAGCATAATTTCCCAGGCAGGAGCATTGCCCCTACTAATCATATGATGCCACTTTCACCAACTTTCTCACTCTAAAGTATAGGCGTGTAAAAAAGTAACAATTCAGCCAATAAAATAATTCTTAAGCTCACAACATTTGCATCGAATTGAGCGTACAGTATAATAATTAATTCTGTATACTTTATGCTATTTACGTGGAAATTATATTCCAGTGTGACATTTAACTCCTCGAGCTAACAAACCCCTGTGCAGATGAGATGCATCAACACATTGCACCGTTAGATAATTGATTTTGAATCGATTCGTGACCACACCCCCCCCCCCCCAAGTGGTAATAAATTATCGAATCGGTTTCAGGAGGGTGGATTCACGAGTCGGGGGGGGTGCGGGGGGTGAGGGGTTTACATGCAAGGTACAAAGCTCTCGGCGCGCGTGTGGTCAGGCAGAGATCGCAGGCGATCGGTCGTTGTTTCGCGTGCCACTGCGGAGACAATTAGCGCGGGGGCCGTGCGAACAACGGTCCCAGCGCATCTCCACCGGGGGGAATCGACAAGAAAAAGAAACGTAAAACGTGTGAGCGCCGCCATGAATCCTGCTTACCGATGTACGGAAAGAGATCAGCTTTGGGACGAAGGCAGCACACCTTGCCGATGCTCTCTCCAAACTTACTGATCAGTTTTCCTTGCAGGCACGTAGACAAAAGAGCAGACACGCACGCGCACGCACACATGCACAGATGAAGGACTGGCAAATAGCCGTCTAGGTTGTTTGGGGTAGTTTTTGATTACATGTACACACACAGCTCGTGTGTCGATCTATTGACGGATGAGGGCCTCACCACCAAACCGATGGAGTTGGCCAAACATTCCAATGGAGGACCTTCCTGAGAAAAATAGTCCTAAAGTGAGGCTTTCCTGGGGAAGCAAACGCCATTTATTGACGCAATCCAATGCTGCGGCGGCAGGCGGCACAAAGCAGTGCAGCAAAGGTCATAACCGCACCGCACTTCTAAGCTCGCACATTTACGCCCGTCGCCTTCACAAACCGGCCGCCACCAGCATGGTGAAGTATGGTCAAATGACCCCCCCCACCCCCGACGACCCACACGGCGTAAGGGGGGGGAGGAGGGAGGGGAGGGCCGTCATCCAGAGGTGGATTCACAAAAGTTGTCTCTGCAACAAACAAACAAACACAAAAACGATGCAGATTTTTCGATTTCAAGCTTTCGTGACTGCAGGGATTCATCTTCTTGGTTCTTTCGGTAAAGTCACGTGGTATGGAAGTAATAAAATAATAAAAATAAAACATAATTATTTAATTATAACATAATAATTTTATTATGTTTTATTTTTATTATTTTATTATTTCCATTCTACGTGTTCTTTACCGAAAGAACCAAGAAGATGATGCAGATTTTGTCGAGCGGACTTCAAAGCGAAGCGATTCGGGCATTACCGGGCGTCGACTTCTGGAGCGGCAGCGAATTGTCGTCCTGCGTGGCTGGGCGCGTCTCGTTGTGCGGCTGCTTGATGACGGGAGATGATGGGGAGTTCACGTTGGAGAGGATGCATCCGGTCACACGCTGTGCGCACGCACACCAGACGCGTCGTCAGCGCAAGTTCACCGTCGTCACTATGGGAACCTCATTTGCCAGTAAAAATATGATAATTGATTTTTTACCCTTCTATCTGGCAACAAAACTGACACCTTTTTACAAGGAGTCATGTTTGCATAGACCGCAATACCTGCAGTCATAATCCAAACAAAAGAACATAACTCTGATAATGTGCACTGTCCTTGAAGTTGATTGGTCCACACCCGAGACAGCTTTCCTTAGAGCCTAGTCTCACATGGGTTGGACCAGACGACGCCAAAAGGCGCACGTGTTTGGATTATGACTGCAGGTATTCCGGTCTATGCAAACATGACTCCTTGTAAAAAGGTGTCAGTTTTGTTGCCAGATAGAAGGGTAAAAAATCAATTATTCACCGTCGTCGTCGTCATCGGCCTCAACGCTGCGAACCGTTCATAGTTCGCCCACGTCCCAGGGATGGGTGCGGTGAAAGGGAACCTCGAGTGTTCTGGCACACCTTGAATTTCGATTTAAAGCTTTCGTGACTGCAGGGATTCATCGTCTTGGTTCTTTCGGTAAAGTCACGTAGAATGAAAAAAAAACATAATAAAATAATTCTCACGACGTTTCGGCCACAACGCAAGCAGCCGTACCGAAAGAACCAAGAAGATGAACACCTTGAATTGTCTTTGGTTCTGGGGAGTTCGTTCGGTGCGTCCTTGGGAAACTCGCTTGGTGTTTCATCGGGCGATTGTCGTTTGGCTTTCATCGTGCCCATTTAGTTTCGTTTGGTAGTGTGATTTAAAAAAGAGATGCACACGAGGATGTTCCCATTGCCACAGGGGTTTAAGAAGATTAACGTGCACGGGTGGACTTCATCTGTTCGTTCAAATTACGGGCTTAATGATTCGTCCCCCTCGTAATTCAATGAATTACCCCAATTCACGGTGATTAATTAATGAATATATATTTAACATTGTGATTAATGTAACGAACCCATTGGGTAACGAATTAAAAAATCGGAATAATTTTTTACACTTTTGACTAAAAACTATTTTCTTTCCGCGTGATGAAGACCGCTTGTGTTGCGATCGAAACGTCGTGGGTTTTTTGCTTTTATTTTTAATTTTAATAAAAAAATGTTTTATATCTATGTGACTTTACCAAAAGAACCAAAGAATATAACTTTTTAAACGCTTAGCATCAGAGGCGTGAACTGTGACCTCAAGAATCAAATACAAATTTATTTTTTTGTGCAAATAGTTGTGCAACAATGCAGAATACATTTTCATGCACAGAGCCTAAGATCCCCTGTGTAGCCTTGAACAGACCGTTGGGGCAAGTGCTGTTAGCGAGCGCCTATGAAGGCCGGCAGGGCACACAGGGGGTAGTTGCTGATGTGTTACACATTGCAGCAGGTGCTCAATTAAGGCTTCGTTGACCTAGGGGGGGCCCAGAACGAGTGGAAATATCCGCCACTGTTATCGGTAGTGAATGGTAATCGAACTTGGGCAACCGCGTTTGTAAGCGCATCGCTCTAAGCACTGGACTACCGCTACCCATTTACATGTACAAAAGACAAAAAACAAATATTCCTGTTATAGCCTTGATAGACTGTTGGGGCAAGTGCTGTTAGCACACATACACATACCTGTCAACCACCTCATTACAGACCAATTCAGACCTTATTGGTCACCCCGTGCCCTTTTAAATCTCAACGTTCATCCTACAAAGTCCCATCACAAGGGAGAAACACAAACAAATAGACAATATTTTGTTGCCCGTATTGAAACGGCTGTACGCCGCATGGACCTTAAAACTCAATTTCCCTGCACAAGAATACGGCTAAACCGTATGGGTTGACGGCCTCCGTTACAAGTATCACACTGCAGAATTAACAAATGCCGATCTAGCGGTCTCTGCCCAAGACCAGCCTCTTGGTTAAAGCTCCCTCCATCTTCTCTCATCTGACTGCACCCTCTTCCTCTTGTTGTATGGATCCCCTTTTCTTCAAGTAATCGAACAGTGCCTTTCTTTTTCCGAGCTCTTGGCCCTTTTCCCCAACAACCAGAAAGAAGCCTTCCCCTCTGCCAATACGTCTGCGAGGAAATATTGCAATCGCGCCTCTCTCCTCCCGAGCCCACTCGAGCACTTACTCGTTACTTCTATCCAGGTGGGGGGGGGGGGGGTTCCCGTTCAACGCCAAATCCGCAATGTTCAAGATTCCCAGTGGTCTAACGTGCGTCCTGTAGTGTGTACGACGTCGTCATTTATGTTGACCCTGCTTGTGTTTCTGTGCCAGATAATAATCGTAGACGATCTGTAAATACTCGGGAATATGTTACTCGTAATTCTTTAAAACCTATTTGATATAATATTCTTGGTTCTTTCGGTAAAGTCACGTAGAAGGGAAACAACAAAATAATAAAAATAGAAAACTTTTTTTTATTGCTTTATATATTTTTTATTGTTTCCCTTCTATGTGACTTTACCGAAAGAACCAAGAATACGAATCCCTGAAGTCACGAAAGCTTTAAATAAAAAATATTTGATATCCCTATGTTTATACGTAACTCATAGTACTATACGGGGAAGACGGTTGTGCATGATTACATTTGCCAGCGCAGTAGTTGGTGTGAGAGGGTGCGATGTTCACCGACAACGCATTTGTAGGAATCATTTTCTCAGGATGAAGGTGTCCTGTCAATCCTGCTGTTAACAGTCCCCACTGAATAGTGTCGTTCAACACTTGTTTGTCGTTATTTACGATTGCAGTGTTGTACAATTTATTTCTGAGGATGTTTGAATATTCTGCTTATGTTTCCGTGAATGGCATTACAGAGTGTCGGATGACACAATGAGTTCTACTTTACATGTTAAATTAATTGTTTTTATTTGCATGGCATTTGCATTTGATTGATAGGCAGCGTTACTCAAAATTCAAAAGTGATTTCCTGCTCAAATGAGCAATGCAGCGGTACTCATCCCCGATACCATAGTGGACATTCTACATTCCTATGGCTGGGGCGAGTCTATCCAAAGGTTAACCGCTATTGACCTTCCCGACAAAAATTGACCTTCCCGACAAATTGACCTCACCCAAACACATTCCTGCGGAGGGAGCTGGTAGGAACGTTGGGTTGCTCGGTCAATGGCCAGGGTCAACGGCGGCGTGGTGTATTCCGCAAATATGCCCGACTGTGAGGGCGGGCACAAGCCGGCGTGGGTAGGTTAAACGTTGAGTTTTATAAGGGCACCACAGGGTGACCAGCCCCTCCTCACCCAGCCCTACCCTTCCCACCCCCCACCCAGTCCCACCCTCCCCACCCAGCCCCTCCCCTCCCCACCCAGCCCCTCCCTGCACGACGGACGGACGGACACAATAATCCCCTGTGGGCTGGTGGAATCAGTGGGTTCCTACCAGCAGAGGTGTGGACTCGAGTCATGTGACTTGGACCCGAGTCAGACTCGAGTCATGAATTTGATGACTTCAGACTCGACTTGGACTTGCATAACAATGACTTTGTCCCACCTCTGCCTACCAGTACAAAAATCATGTTTACCTTCATTAACTCTCGGTGGTGTTCCAGAACGTCACAGGTCGTCTGCCATTTCTCCTGGTAACATTCCCATGGATCGACTCTGCAACGAAAGTTTTTTTGTTGCCGTTGAGAAAGTTCAGAAAAATATGTTTCCTCCAGTCCTGGTTAATGTACAAGCGAAAAGCACGCGGCAAGTGTGTAGGACATGATAGATGCCGCAGTATTACCTGATCCAGTCGGAGTTCTGTACTGCCAGCTGGCACATGCTGAGTCGATGTCGACTTGAAATGAGGCCCTGTCGTGAATTAGAGCCACAAATAAACGGCACTCAAAACTCCCCGTAGCATCACAAACATTAATACGCAAAGCAATGATTAACTGGAGGTCGATAATGCAACGATCGTATTAGTCAACTTCAGAGGTTGATGCTGATAATATTAACCTCCTTTATAATTATTATAATAAGTGTAAAATACTAATGTACATAATCACCACGCATAGGAAACAGGCCAGTCAGATTAATATTTATTTTAAAAAACATCCTTTTTCCAGCTCTGACATTTACCTGACCAAAACACAGCAACCAAATAAACAATTTCCTAAAATTTCGAGTTAAAGCTTTCGTGACTGCAGGGATTCATCTTCTTGGTTCTTTCGGTAAAGTCACGTCGAAGGGAAGTAATAAAATAATAAAAATAAAACATAATAAAATAATTCTCACGACGTTTCGGCCACAACGCTTGCGTTGTGGCCGAAACATCGTGGCCGAAACGTCGTGAGAATTATTTTATTATGTTTTATTTTTATTATTTTATTACTTCCCTTCTACGTGACTTTACCGAAAGAACCAAGAAGATGAATTTCCTAAAAGTGCTCCAATCATGCCCCGTAATTTGAGCACCGAATCAAAGAGTCTACCATATCAAGCGAGTCACCCATGGTTCCAAGGTTACGGCTACACATGGCATTTCTGCTAATCCCAAAATGTCTATGTCACTTTCCCATGACCACCGAGGAGTGACCTGGTCAAGGCGAGGCAAGCAGGCTCCCTTACCCAGAATAGCCATTTTGGGCCAACCTGGGAGGAACCCAGCTGTCTGGCTCGTGTCTAATGGGTGGCATTGACCCCCCTATCCTAAGAGATGCCCACGTATCTTACCCAGGCTTCTCTTCGAACCAGGCCTGACATCATGTGGTCAATTGAGAAACAGCACATGTGGTCATTTTATAGTCCAACTTCAAGGCTGGAATTCTTAGAATTGTCTACCATAATTTAGACGTAAAAAAAAAACTATATTTCAGAAATGTATTATTGCTTTCCCCTTGGGCTGGGAGAGGGAGTGATGTTGGGTATGGAGTGGTAGGAGCTGCGCCCATGAATAACTTTGAAGCGATGGGTCAATAAAAGAGCTGTGCAAAGCCTTTTCTCAAATGGGCGGGTACAGCGTGGGTCTGCTTTCCATTGACAGTAGAAACGAAGCAGGCTCAGAGGCGTGCGTACCTGCTTTCTGTAGCCATCGTGCACTGGCGAGATGATGCCTCCGATGACAATAAAGCGGCCGGACTTGTGCAAGTAATCCCGTGCATCCTCTGTGGGCGACACATCATTCACGAGTCTGGCCACTTAAAATGTCACTTTTAAAATAAATTAATGAAATATGTAAATGATCTACTATGGCAGAGTTTGAGCTGAAGCAATTGCATGCCGGTGGTATTAAACAATGCGAGGCATGTACAAAGTCATAATCATTTTAAAGTATTGATTAATTTGGTACTTAATTTGAATTTCAAATATGGTACAATACCATAATAAGTAAAAATAACATGCACACAACAACCCTGTTTAATATCATTGATGTGCCGTGAGGGGGGGGGGGGGCGGAGATAAATGTTATCAGGAAAATTTAAATCATCTGGGAAATGTGGAACAGAAATGTTTCCACACGTTTGAATATTGTCACTCCGCGTAAGGCTCAATGCTCGATGTCCGGCGGCTTGCAAAAACCGTTTGTGTCACCATCACAGATGTTGAACGAGGCGTTATATTCCATCTCTCTAACCCGCTTCGCTGTGGCACCCAGAATACCGTTAATCTGACACCGTTTTTGCCCTAAGCTGCGAGAATTAAACCTGGTATGAGAGAGATCAGCCGGGTGTAATAAGAGGATGAGTCACCAAGGCAGCTTGAGCATTCGCCTGGGGCGGGGGGGGGCCTGCACAGCAGTGGTTTCGTGGATGCACAGGTGGCTTTTAATAACTGGTGTGTTATGTTAGCACAAGCGTTCTATGTATATAGTTGCCAGCCGCGGCTGAGACTGTCTAAAAGTGCACAATGTATATCATGAATATTCACGTGAGATAATAAAACAAACCCGATAAGGTTACTGAATTGAGCGCACACATTTAATGTGAATAAATGACACATTTCTGAAATGAATAAACTAGAAAAACACGTCGGAGAGGGAGGCCGCCGCAGAGATGGAGCGATTAAATCGCAGTTGTGTGTAGGAGCCCGATGGATTGTTGCATCACGTGGCCATGAAGAACGGCAACCGCTTTGGGAAGCATTAATCCAGTCGTGGCTAGATCATGGCCGCTGATGATGATGATGGATTTACTGAAGGCCTATCGCCGCTGTAATTAAGTCTGCAACATGAACTTAGATTAACAAAAAAAATCTACATAATTGGATTCGTAAAGATCGCCATACATTTTCAGAGTTCTCTTTCAGCTATGCACTTGCACATCTCGAAATGCAGTCAAATCACTCTCATTTCTGTAAATGTCAGGCCATACATTGCAGTATGGGAATTGTCTTCAAGAGACACACAGCTCAAAGAGCACAACTCTACGCCGTGCCCAGTGCTGTCTGGTGAACCCTTCTCGCGTAACCGTCTTAGGTACGTTCAGCGGTGGAGCTATCGAGTGTGCAGGCGGTGTAACTGCACGAGGGCGCGTGTGTGTGTGGGACCGACCCAGGTGCCAAGGTATTGAAGAGGAAGTCGGCAGATGGTGGGCCTAATTTAATTCTAGATTTGAAGCTTTCGTGACTGCAAGGATTCATATTCTTGGGTTTTTTCGGTAAAGTCACGTAGGTAAAAAAAGTAAATTAATAAAAGTAAAATAAAACAAATAAAAAAATCACGACGTTTCGGAAGCAACACAAGCCTCCGTCTTCAGGTGGAACCGTCACAGCCACGACAGCTGTATCAAGTAAATGAGAGATATTTTACTTTTATTAATTTAAATTTTTTACCTACGTGACTTTACCGAAAAAAAAAACCTAAGAATACTAACGACATTCGGCCACTCGGCCACTGGGTACTGTGCTCCCAACTGCGTGGTGCGTAAGGGCTCCTATCGTGGATTACAAATCGCCTGTCCATGACATATTGGTGCATGTGATTGCACTGTCTCTGTTCTGCAGAGACATATACCCAAGGTTACGTCTCACACTCTGGGAGCTGACACCCAGTTTTTTGCTCCTTCACCCATTACCGTAGGGATAAAAAAATACACCACCACTAATAATGATAATAACGACATGTATTTATCAAGGAAAGCGCCGTTAAGTCTCAAGCCCTTTTTAGGAGGGTCCTGCATTTGGATGTTTAGCCAGTTCCTTTACGAAGCGTGCTTTTGAATGTAGAAGGAAAGCAGTATGCACAGAGAAACCCCACTTACGAATTTTAGTTTTCCTTTAAATAGTTATATTCTTTGGTTCTTTCGGTAAAGTCACGTAGATAGAAAATAATTATAAAAAATAAAAAAATAGTTGCCTATAAAGGAAGAAATAGCACACGCATTTGTAATCTGCACCTCATATCTGCTCCGTTCACTTCATCGTATTTGGTTACGCTTGGCACGGAGAATAGGAAACAAAGCCTGTTGCAGATCCATTGACTCTTCTCCAAAACAAAGCCTTAGGATGTCCACAGCACTGGCATTGGCTAAGAGACAAATAGCACCATTAGACAGACACTAATCACTGGCAATCATGGCTTGCTAGGCAATGGAAATGTTGAGCCTACACTATTTCTTTTCACTATTAATAAGGCTGGGGGATTTGAATTAATTGGTTGCAACACGTCTTTGCTATTGTTTATTTCCTACAAGGATAATTCAGATTTAGTGCCGCCCGTGGCAACCACAGTGCAGATGCTGCTAAGTGCACTGATCAGTCCCCCTCCAGCCAAGGAGTAAATTGCATAATAGCAGTGAATTACCAACCTGTTTTTATTGCACAGCAATAGCTCAAATGACTGCAGGGAAGCCGAGTGCTCCACTGCACCTCATTTCTCAGATTCTGGTACAGAGGTGCCTTTAGTCCAAGGACGTGCACGCATTGAGAGGCAACGAGTCGCTTTCTCAAGCATTTTGACGAGCCAATCCTGGCATTATTAGGTTGCCATGGGAGACATGCGTCAGCTCCCACAACATGCAATTTCCTGTAACATTGGCGTCGATTTTAGCGATGTGTGCCTTCACCTTGATTCATATCGAAAGGGTAATAAATCACGTAGCAAAGGCCACTTAGCTGAGCAGTTTAAATAGGATTGTATGGAAATAGTATCGTACGACCTCTGGTTGTATGAGGGCAACCTCTTTCCTCCCTCTTCAACAGGCTTCCATTTTGAATGTTCTTTATCTACAGTTGTAGGTAAATCATTCAATTAGACCCGTTAACTTTATTCAGTATTCGTTTCCAAATCTGGGAAGCAGCTTTTTGCCAGATTGTACATTACGGTCGGATGTTTAATAATTTAAGACATTATTGCACTTAATTTTAGTGTACAAAACTCCTCCTCCACATTCTCCAGCTTAGACCAAGGCCGTTTGATCAAGGCAAAAATAATCGCTATCAGAATACCGTGACTGGATTTAAAAAAAATTAATAATGTATATGTTTAATGAACAAACCAGTGTAGGTCGGACCTCTATGGTCAATTACAAATAAATATAAATGTAACAAAATAACTATATTTGTGCAACTATTGGTTCGATTACTGCACATTTTTTGCTATATTGTTGAGAAACGGCTTATACGTAAAACCACGCAATACATATCATCATCAGCCATTCGTCAATCCGCCAGTAATAAAAAAAAACCTGGTAACGTATTCACATTTATATTCAATTTCATCTCCGTTGTGAAACAAAAAATAAACATTTCTCTGCTGTGTAATTGCTGCACAATAATGCCCGTATTTATTAGCGACTGAGAAGAACAATGGCAATTGCATTTATAACACACATTAACACACACACACACACGGGTATTTACATAATCACAATCATTTGTAAAGCACTCGAACACGACAATAGAACACATCGTCTCTCGCGCGTTGCGATAACACCAGTGTAGAGAAAACCTAAATATCTCATAAATGACCGTGCCATGCACACGTACGTACGTACACGAACGCACACCGAGCATCAAAATCACCGTTGCCATTGCTTTACCGAGAACGGGCGCTGCAAACATTATTTCAGCACTGCGGTCGGTGGACAGCTCCCGCAGATGCCACACGCACACACACCGCGTGCGTTCAATTTGCCGTTCGAAAATACATAAGCCCAACGGTATTATTTCAGAGGCGCCTATCTATCTATCTGTTCCGCATTTGATCTATCAGGAAGCAGTCCAAACTCGGGTCACATTATTAAACAGCACGAGTGCCACGCGTTCTACAACAGCTAAAAACCAAACAGCCCTGGGTGGAGCGATACGACTAAACAGACACGGCAAAATCTGTGTCGGCGACCACGAATATGCGAGGAAAATTTCGAAGCACATTTTAACAAAAGTGAATCGCTTACTACACGACGCATCAGCATTTCTCGGATTTAAAACAAGTGAAGGTGTACGATTGATACTTATTTTAAACCACGTGTGTATACTTCACGATACTCCAGCACACAAAACGCCGAATTCAACGTGTAAAATGAGTTGCATCATTCACCGGAGCACAACCAAACGCGAACAGTAAACCGCGGTGATGGGGTGTTAGTGTTGTACGATCGGTCATTATAAAACTGAATCTCAGCTCCTACCGAACATCTGTAGATGGCCTTTGGTGACTGGGTTGAAGCTCCCGCAAGCCAGCAAGATCACGTGAGTTTTCGTCTGCTCGGACATGATGATGATGATAGGCCTTGGATGCCGACCGCACAAAGACGGCCACTCCTCCGGGTCCAGCCAAAACCAACACAACCAACCGAGAAAACCCTGCAGGAATCTAGCCGCTACTGTAAATCCTGCTTACCCGCCCCGCTCCTCCTATTCTGCAGACAACCGGCGTCGGAATTCCTCCGACTGCTATCGTAGCGTTCAATCCTTTATGACAGAGCGCGAGCGCGAGCAGTCGCAGCAGTCGCCGTCGGTGACAAGCTGTAATAACGGAGCGCACCACCAGCCCTCCTCGCCCGCCTGCGATGGGGGATGATGGTGCACAGCTCCTGACGCGAACAGTGGCCGACCCTGGCACAGCAGCTATTCCACGTCAGTGTACGGGGCGGGTCTGCGTGAGCCAGTTAAAGGGACCTCACGCACCCCCGCGCATGCATTTGGCTATTCGTGTATTTGTCTAATGCGCCCGCAAGTAATAATGATCGCACATGAGCAACCGCACCGGTATGCGGTGATCAACACCCAGCGGTTATTGTCAGCGTGTAATGTAACAGCACGGGCGAATGGGTCACGTCTGTCGAGACGCGTCACAGCAATGCTCGCTGCAGAGACAGAAGTGCCAAGAAGATGTTTGAGCGTGTGTGTGTTGGTTGGGAAGGGTGGGGCTGATCACGAGCTGACACAGTTGGGTCTCGATGTGTTTTTTTGTTTTAAACCTGTCCTGGGTTGAATCATTTGCAGAGTTCCAAGTGATTGAGGAGAGAGTTTTAAGAGAGGTAGGCACCGGGCAGAACACTTCACCTGAAAGCATGATGATGATGATGGCCTGTGGTCAAGATTAACGTTGGTATGGCAGCCAAATTAGGGAAAGCTTCAGAATTAGAATCTTTATTTATCTTGGAAAAATCCGATGAGCGATGAAGCTATTTTCACAGAAGTCCCCCCATGAAGACGTCGGTCATGGAGATGGAGCGGTAGAATCTGCTCGTGTTCAGGTGCTAGATGTATTGCTACATCGCAAACCCACGAGTAATGGCAACGACTTGCGGAGGCATGCATCCAGCAGTGGATTGACCATGGCTGACGCTGGTGATGAATCCACTGTGACTGGAAATTAACTATTTTAAGGGAGACTGAGTCAAATAATTTGAACACATCGTAGAAACAATACTAATTCCAATTTTTATGCGAAATCAAATACAAAATACGAACATGAAATTCTCACTATTACTGATTACGATGTCCCGGAGCTCAAAACAAGGTGCAGAGCTGGGCCCCTCGTGCACTCATTCCGAGTTTGATTCCCGTGATTTACAGCCAGCTCTGCCCCCTGAGTGTGTTCCACCATCTCTGCCAACCAATCTGAAACACCCAGCCCAGGCAAGCTGTCACTGTAGCACTCCCTAGCGTCATGCAAATGCACGCTGAATATTCAATTTGCCTGCATAATTAGTCAAGAAAAAACATATAATTAAACCGTGTGAGCTATTTTGCTCATGTTTTGACAAATGCACTTTTAATTTGTCTGCAAATTTGAATTACGCTATTGGCAGGCGGATCAACATTTATGCCAGGCTCACTTAAATTTACGAGCGCCAAATCCCTCTCCAAAAACCGGAACTACTCCTACTACAACTACACATATGCAGCATATCCCATTCCTCTGTGTGAGTGTGCCCTCTCTTTAAGGAAGCGATGTCAACAGTATTTGTTTAGCCTTCAGTTGCGATGCCTGTGGTTGTTGTAACACATTGGAAGCTTTAATGTGCACATGTGAAGTCATTTGCAAATCCAATATGCTGGATCCGAATCAGAATGTTTTTTTAATGTATCCTCGATAAATCCGATGAGCTATGAAGCTCTTTTTCACAGATGTCCAGTAGGGGCGGATCAGGTCATTGTCGAGGCAAATTAGTTCATTGGGATTATTTGACCATACTTCACCACGCCGTCTAGTGCGGGTTGGTGAAGGAGGGGAGCATTTACGTGGGAAGCATAGTCGAGTACACTTGTACTGGTAGGAACCTCCTGGTTACACCAGCCCACAGCGGATTATTGTGTCCGTCCGTCCGTCGTGCAGGGAGGGGCTGGGTGGGGAGGGAGGGGCTGAGTGGGGAGGGTGGGGAGGGGCTGGGTGGGGAGGGAGGAGCTGGGTGGGGAGGGGAGGGGAGGGTGGGGAGGGGCTGGGTGGGGAGGGTGGGGCTGGGTGGGGATGGGAGGGTGGGGAGGGGCTGGGTGGGGAGGGTGGGGCTGGGTGGGAGGTGGGAGGGGTGGGGCTGGGTGGGGAGGGGCTGGTCACCCCGTGGTGCCCTTATAAAACTCAACGTTTAACCTACTCACGCCGGCTTGTGCCCGCCCTCACAGTCGGGCATATTTGCGGAATACACCACGCCGCCGTTGACCCTGGCCATTGACCGAGCAACCCAACGTTCCTACCAGCTCCCTCCGCAGGAATGTGTTTTTTTTTATGCGCTGCCCTCTAATGCCCCATAGCCCCCTGACAACCTGTGTGTGCATGGTGGTCACCAAGCATTATCCAGGCTCAATGTTACTTAGCTTCCAAAATCGGACAGGAATTGGCGCATTCTCGGTGCATGGCAAAGGCGCGAGCTTTTATTCTTGCCAATTTCGAGATCGTGTCGCTGTGGAAAATGATTTCCGAATACACGCTATGGTTGAACGATAATGCCTTCAACGGCTGATACGAATTTAAGAAAGCATTCCTCAGAATTAAGATTGAATGAAGAATGCAGGCATTTGGCACAGATGATGACCCATCTGACTGCTTAATGTGTCGTAAATAAAAACCCATTCAGTCAATTATCACCATTGCCACCATGCGAAAACCCCTTTCGTGTTCCCGTTACCATGGGTATTAATGCACGTTATCGTTTCGCCAGATATGTGCATTCCTGACAATTACCAGTGAATAATTCCACATATAGCCCTTTCACAGCGACGCTGAAGAGTGACACTGTCAACAGTGATTCTATCGTGACACCGGCAGTGACAACGCCAATCTTTGTTTGGCTTAATATTTAAATATTCTTATATTCACAGCGAAATGTAAAAATATATTTTAATAATTCTATTGGGAAAATAAAGGCATGAATACAAATGGGAAAAAGGTAATAGCCTTCTCAGAATTGCTGGTGCCAGTGTCATTGCAACAACCAATGAGAAAGATTACAGGAAATTAACAAAAAAGAAGGGGGCAAGGTTGGGTGCAATATTAATGTGACCGCAAGATGCAATGTGCAAATCTTGTAGAAGTAAATGCCATCGTAGCATATGAATATAATTCAACTCATAATGAGCTTAACAAAACAATTAAATGCGCTATGTTTAGAAACTGTCGGTCGCTGTAAGTTGCCCAAACCACGATCCTCACAATTGAGTGGAAGTGCCAAGGGCTCCCACAGCCAGACCGAAGCAAGCTACTGAAGACCCTAAGAGTAGCGGGAGAAACGCCATTATTGGCCTGCCAATTATGTACATGTGCTCTGTCTGTGATGCACAAGTGATGTGTCTGTAATGAAGCTACCATTTGTCTGTGATGTATGGATGTATGTTGCACTTATTTCTCACCGTACGTAGGCAAGCGTGCTAATCGGTGGTACCTTGTGACAGGCTTGGCACCAGCTCCTCTTGGATGGGGGGGCAGGTGAGCTGTTATTTTGGGGGCAACCAAAACAGTGATTGATTACCAGAGGTGTGGACTCGAGTCATGTGACTTGGACTCGAGTCAGACTCGAGTCATGAATTTGATGACTTCAGACTCGACTTGGACTTGCATAACAATGACTTTGTCCCACCTCTGAGGTGTGGACTCGAGTCATGTGACTTGGACTCGAGTCAGACTCGAGTCATGAATTTGATGACTTCAGACTCGACTTGGACTTGCATAACAATGACTTTGTCCCGCCTCTGAGGTGTGGACTCGAGTCATGTGACTTGGACTCGAGTCAGACTCGAGTCATGAATTTGATGACTTCAGACTCGACTTGGACTTGCATAACAATGACTTTGTCCCACCTCTGAGGTGTGGACTCGAGTCATGTGACTTGGACTCGAGTCAGACTCGAGTCATGAATTTGATGACTTCAGACTCGACTTGGACTTGCATAACAATGACTTTGTCCCACCTCTGAGGTGTGGACTCGAGTCATGTGACTTGGACTCGAGTCAGACTCGAGTCATGAATTTGATGACTTCAGACTCGACTTGGACTTGCATAACAATGACTTTGTCCCACCTCTGAGGTGTGGACTCGAGTCATGTGACTTGGACTCGAGTCAGACTCGAGTCATGAATTTGATGACTTCAGACTCGACTTGGACTTGCATAACAATGGCTTTGTCCCACCTCTGTTGATTACCAAGGAGAGTGAACTTAGGTAAGTGGCCAAACGGATATTTGGTGATGCAGGGCCCACCCCAGCACCCACCTCGTGCAGGCCCTGTTCTGTGATGTGCTTGTGACGAAGCTGCGATGGGTTGTGATGTGCCCGTGATGTTACCTGTCATTTCATAAACTTGGCGAGGTCAAAAGCGCCCAGGCGACAGAGGGCAAAGTCTCACAAGGCTTCAGGTCACTCAGACAATGCAGTTTCATTAATTATTGAAAGTTAAATAAATAAAAGGGATTTACCCATCTGGAGGATGAGCCTGGATTGGATTGTTCTTAATAAACATTTAATAAATGAAATTGGATGTCATTATTTAGCTACCAATACACATCATGAAATCATACCAGTTATACATGTACTAGCTGTACTACCCGGCTTCGCCCGGGACTTGTATCCACCACGGCCGGCCGCCTTTGTCTCCCCAGTGGCGATGTTAATACGCCACACCAGTTACTCGTTTTGCGGCTGAGTCCCTCCCTCACCACTCTCCCTCCCTCACCACTCTCCCTCCCTCACCACTGACGCACGGCCGCCTTTATCTCCCCAGTGGCGATGTTAATACGCCACACCAGTTACTCGTTTGAGGCTGAGTCGACCTAGGGGAGGTTCAAATAATCGTCACCGGTGGTGGCCGTGAGCGGGAATGGAACTCGGTTCCCCGGGTTGGTAGCGCAGCGTAGCGTTAACCACTACACCCACCGCTCCTCACACACCACACACGCACAGACACACACACAGACACACACACAGACACACGCAGACAGACACAGACAGACACACACACACAGACACACAGAGAGCACGCTAACCACTACACTACCGCTCCCCACACACCACACACGCACACACACAGACACACACACAGACACACACACATACATACACACACATACACACAAACACATACACACACATACACGCAAACACATACACACACATACACACAAACACATACACACACATACACACACATACATACACAGAGACATACACATACACACAAACACACACATACATACATACACACAAACACATACACAATACACACACACATACATGCAGACACACAGACAGACACATAACACACATACATACACACACATACATACACAGAAACACATACACACACGTACATACACACATACATACAGACACGCAGACATACACATAAACACATAAAAAACCGACATACATACACACACACATACAAACACACAAACACATACACACAACAACAACCAACAACAACAACCGCCATTCGCCACTAAGTGGCGGTGACGTCACCACGATGCTTGTGCCAGGCCAAGTGCACCTTGAGGCCACGTGAAGTGTCGAAAGCCCGCTGGCAGGAGGTCACGGGGCAGACCCAGGTGCCACTGGTCGACTGACCGAGATGACCGAGATGACTGGCTGATGCACCACCTGTGCCCCCTACTGTGCCAACTTGCTGTGCTTTAGCCACCCGGCGCTCCGCTCGTTGTTGTGAGCGTCGCTCCTCCGCCCTCCGTTGTTGTTGGAGGGCGACTGCCTCCAACTGCCCAGTAGCGTCCTTCACGAGCCTCCTCCACTGAGGCCGATCTTGACACCGCTGGTACCAGTCATCGGCAAGTCCACTCAGCTCCACGTCCTCCTGTACCACATCACTCCATCTCTTCTCCAGCCCGTGCCGCGCCCGTCTAGCCCCCTCGATCCGGCCGAACAAAAGCTGTTTAGGCATGCGGTGGCTGGGCATGCGGGCTACATGACCCAGCCAACGCAGCCTTGCCTGCCGGAGGAGCTCACTGATGGGACTTTGCCCAGATCTTTCAAGGATTTGTGAGCTCCTCACACAATCCAGCCTGGTTAAACCCAGGATGGATCGTAGGCAGGCCAGCCTAAATGTTTCCAACCGGCGAAGATGCTCCACCAGGGGGGTCCACGTCTCGCAAGCGTAGAGAAGGGAGGGAATGACCGTGGCCGAGAAGACCTGAAGCTTCGTGCGGAGCGACAGACCAGGTAGCTTCCACACAGCGTTACGCAACCGATGAAAAGATATTGCCGCTCGACTGATTCGGAGTGAGACCTCTGCTGATAGACTGGAGCCGGTCATAAGCATACTGCCCAGGTATGGGAAACTCTCCACTCTCTCCACAACTGCCCCATCACCAATTGGGAGTTGTGGGGGTGGAGTGTCCGATGGTACAAAATACCCAGGCAGGTGCTTGGTTTTGGTGGGGCTGATGGTAAGGCTGATGGGGCATACACACACATACATACACACATACATAGAGACACACAGACATACACATAAACACATACACACATACACATGACCCGGCTTCGCCCAGGACTTGGATCCACCACGCCCGGCCGCCTTTGTCTCCCCAGTGCCGATGTGAAAACGCCACACCAGTTACTCGTTTTGAGGCTGAGTCCCTCCCTCGCCACTCTCCCTCTCTCGCCACTCTCCCTCCCTCACGACTCTGTAGAGGACGTGAAACTTTTATGAATTTACCTTAGATTCGCGTGGTGGGTGTCGAGGCCTAGCACCGTGCAGAGCCTCCCGCCTCGCCTGATTTTCCCACCCGGCTGACGCTGGGTACGGGTGCCGGTCCCCCCCCCCCCCCAGCGCTCAAACAATACTGAGTAATGGCTATTATTTAATTAATTACGGAGCCTATGAAAGTGGCGAAGGCGTGGCTAGCCATTGGCAGGGGCAACCGCCGTCCAATGAAACTGCAGCCCTTGGCGAAGGCGTCGCTAGCCGTTGCCAGGTCCAATGAAAGCGGCGAAAGCGTCGCTAGCCGTTGGCAGGGGCAACCGGCGTCCAATGAAAGTGCGTATGGTCCGGAGACACACAGACACACAGACAGACAGATAGACAGACAGATTCACGATTTTATATATATAGATAGAATGAAGATAACATCTAACATTGCGGACTGTAATTGAACCCATTTTCAGAAGCAATACTAATTTAATTATGCTTCGATTCGTAGCTTTCACAATCAATGTGTTACAGCAACAAAAAAATAAACGATAGTATATCCCAGCCGTTCTCAATCTACCAATGAAGGGCTCCCATGTGCCATGGGGTTGTTGGACCATGCGGATCTTGTGCCAGTTTGGTGAAGACGGGGAGGCGGGGGGGGGCTCACTTGAGATCGCTTCTTCCCCTGCCAGTGAGAGCCGTGGCAAGGTTGCTTGGGTTCAAGGCACGGCGCACCGAGTATGTTTTTAATGCATTTTAATAATTAAAGACCAATCGTACATTCCACCCGGCATTCTCGTACATTTGTGTAAGGGCAGCCAATGCGCTGTGTTCGCGATGCACGTAAAAAAAACGGGCATCACCCCGCATTACTCTTGAAATATTAATTCGTGTGGCAGCGCAACTCAAGGACTGGAACGATAACGATGTTTGGGAGGACCTTTAAGGAGCGTTAATGCAGACTCCACCATCTGCCATGGAAAGCGAGGGGGGAAACGGTAATATCTGGCATACGCACCGAGCATTTCACATCTTCTATGGTGCTGGACCTGACATTGAGCCGCGCGGTACGGCAATTATCGAGGATGTAATATAAGCTTAAATGGTTTGAGAGTGTGTCGAGAAAGAGAGAAACCAGATGCGATTGAAATAGGCGTGGAGATGCCACCGGTGCGGTGCAGGGCAAAAGTAACAGAGAAGGGAGATGGAGGGTGAGGTGGGAGATCCTGTGGGACTTTTGGATTTCAAAATGTTATGTCTATGGATCATGGACGTGTATGTTAGCCAGTGGATATGTATGTCAGTCTATGAATCATGTAAGTCTACGCGAGTCTGTGGGTTTGTAAGTCTATAGATAATGTAAGTGTGTGTGTGTATATAGGTGTGTGTGTGTAAGTGTTATGATTCTCAATATGAGCAGAGTGGAAGTGACGAGGGAGAAAACACAGAATGAAGCATATGGATAAAGTCCAAGCATATGATCCCATGTGATAATGGGATTTTTAGTTCAGATGAGGAGGTATTGGGCCACAGGGCTTATGAAGCTATACAGTGCCTCTATTTATTGCTCCTACGAGTACCATCCACGACCATTAGAGTTTAAATTGTTAATGCCCCGTGCTGTACACTGCATATCGTATTCAGCAGCTGCATCGTAATTCCTGAGATGGTTGGCACGATGGGTATGAATCAAACGGTCATAGCACAATTTACGTGGAAAACACTGCAATGTCATGCATAAGGAATGAAGCAAATGAAGAGAGATTTATTTGCAATACATTTAATCATTACATTTTGAACAAATGTAACCAAAAAATTAACCTAAATTCTGAATGCATGTGCATATTGATGATTAAAGGCATTGCTGCTTCAGCATAAACGAACATACAAATTGATTGATATTACACTTGGTTACATTTTAAAGCTGATAGATGTCCATAATATAATGCATTTAATTGCATATAGTCATTGAATGTCTGAATTGCTCATCGGGTACAACTCTTACGTCTTTCATAAGCTCAGTTGATATAGTTGCAGTGGTATACATTTATGAACATGGTAGATATGTTAAAACACAATTCGGTAGTTAACTCAAATGGCACCGTGTTAGTTTTGAGCACTTCCATTAGATGTATGTTGATATTTCATAGCCGAATTAAAATTTCCATAGAAACATCGAACCAATTAAATACAATCAACATGAGCGGTCACGACATGACATTTGATATTCTTTGGGTCTTTCGTTAAAGTCACGTAGATAGGTTCAAAGAAAATAACAAAAAAACTAGGACGTTTCGATCACAACACAAGCGGTCGTCTTTTCTTTGAACCCATCTACGTGAATTTACCAAAAGACCCAAAGAATATGAATTCCTGCAGTCACGAAAACTTTGTGTCTTGACATTTTATTTTCAGACAGAAACCAACATGTCTTATGTGCACAAGGTATTAACTTTTCTCAATAAATTAACCTAACTCTCTGAGAAAGTAAACTACATGCTCTCCGATGTGATGTCGTTGTTGCTTGGGCGCGATGTCAGACGTTTCGCGCCACGCGCTGGGAAGCTTCTACAGCAACCTTCACGAGATAAAAAAAGAAAATCGAAGCTCCCAGCGACATGGCGCGAAACGTCGGACGTGGCGCCGACACGAGCACCCGACGACACACCGCAGAGCCGTGCGGCACAGCCGCAAAATACCTACGCAAGTTAAAAGCGTGTTTTTTTTTTCTCTCTCTCCATGGGACGCGATGTAAATATCTCAAACATCCGCTTAGAAAGTGGCACCACAGTATTACCGCGAGATATGTTATCGAATGACAATTCGCACAGCGGCAAATCACAATACCCTGGTCCGCAGCCCTGTAATATGTCCAAATGCACTGCTTGTCGTGCTGACATTTTGAGGACATATTGTAAAATAAATTTCCCTGCAAGTCGTCGCTATCCCCCCCCCACCCCGCGTGCCCCCACATCGTCAGCAGGCTGATACTCGAACGCCACTGCTCGTGCAAGCTTCTCAAACGACGCTGAGCTGCAGCTCCTCGTCTCGCGTGGTTACATCTCTCGGCTCACCGCCACGCAGACGTCTCACGAAGCTTGTTGGGAAGATCCCGACGTTCCCACGGCAACGTCCCTCCAACCAATTACTGTTGACTGCGTGGACAAAGACACACACGCACACACACGCGCGCACGCACACACGCACACGCACGCGCGTGCGTGGAGCACAACGTTAAGTGGCATGACCGGTAAGGCGACACGAAAAATGTTACTTTCAAACATACTACGGTATATCTTTTTTTTTAAATCCTTTATATTAAGTTTGCTTGCTTTGCTTGCGTGCTTGCTTGCTTAGGACCGTGCAAATCTTTCGCTCGTTTTTTAACCCACTTCCCGTGATCCAATCGAGCTGACATTTTCCACACAGACTCGTTGTGCGTGACAATTAATGTTCGTGAAAAAAAATTCCCAAAATTTTACACTGTTTAGGGAAAACAAATTAAATATTTAATTACCAATTGCTTAATACTGGCAGACAATCATCTGACCCATAGGTGGCAGCCATCTGAAGCCAGAGGACGAGAGGACTCTAGCCGCCACGCATATAAAGGATTTAGAGTGAAAAACTTTGTTTTTACGGGTTTACTTGTTCAACAGCGAGAACATGTGTCGTGTCACCCACTTGTCTCATTTGTACCGAGAAGAGAGTATTTTTCTAAATGTTGTCCTGTCAATGCCCTGCCACTGCCCATTTCATGCATGAAATTCACTGTCTTGTTCCAAATCCGACCTTAAAACATTGATTTCGCACCATGCCTTCTGCATCTAATCTCATTCTTGGCACATTCGTTTTGATGTAGCCACACAACATTTCAGTGTGTGGGTGTGCGTGCGTGTTACTTGGGGTGCAATGATGCAACGTTCCGCTGATTAAGATCGACTCCGAAACTCACGGTATTTGGATCGAATAGTGTGCAATAGAGACCATTGTGTGTCGATGCGCGTGTCGTATCTGATGGGTCACGTGACCCCAGCAGCTGCTAGAGGCGCCATCATTCACCGCAAATGTTAAAAGGGATTCATTCGTGAATCAAATCATGACCGTGAATTGTGACAATTCGTCAATTTACAGTGGGAAGGCGCGTGGCTGTATCGTTCCACCCCTGTCTATTATGTGTCACCATTTGTTTTATTTACTACTATTATATGAAGGGAAATAAGGAAATAAATGTAAAAAAATATTGACTCCAAATTAAATGACGTATTTATTTTTGGAAAATCCTCTGTCAATCAACAGATGGATGAGAGCCTCTCCACGCCATGTCAGTCGTGGGGGCTTGCTTGATCACACATCACCAGGCTGGTCGGTACGAGTGGCGCCCAGAACCAGTTTGGATATCACTCGCCACCGACGTTAGCCGTGACCGGGACTCAAACTCAGTTCGGTGGGAACTGCTCCGACCCCCCACTCCAAATCAATTATCTAAATATTTGTTTCAAAACACTCAAGTGCATGTGATGACCTGTGGCCAAATCAATCGCCGGGAATGCATCCGGCCAGCTCGGATCTCGGAAGCTCAGCAGATTTCAGCCTGGATAGTGCCTAGATGGGTGACCTCCATGCACGCCAGGTTGTCGTAAGCCACCGCGCTGTGAGCATCAGGGAACAGTGGAACAAAATCCATACTCTCCTCTCTCGCCATCTCACACCGACCAGAACGATGAAGTATTGCCAAACAACCCACAACAGCGTTGGCAGACCCTCACCCAGCAGTGGATTGACAAAGAGGGCTGCACATGCGAACACGTTTAGACATCATGGGACCTCCTTTGCCAGTACCAAAATATACTAATAGGGTTTTTCCCATTTTTTCTGGCAACAAAACTGACACCTTTTGCAAGGCATCATGCTTACATTAACCACAATACTTTCAGTCATCAGAGTTTTGTTTTTTGTTTGCATTTGACTGCAAGTATTGTGGTTAATGTAAGCATGATGCCTTGCAAAAGATGTCAGTTTTGTTGCCAGAAAAAAGGGGAAAAACCCTATTAGTACGTTTAGACATCTTTACCCGATCCGGTTATATCCCCGCACCTTGCGGGATTCGGTTAGGGGATAGGAAAACAGGGTTGTCAGAGGTCACCTTCCGAGATGACGCGAATGATGTCGCCCTCTCGGAAGCCGAGGTCCCCGGGCTCCTTGGCGTCGTAATCGCAGAGAGCCACGACTCGTCTCAGCACGTGTTCGTCCGCAGCGGTCTCCCCCGGCTCCGCGACAATCACGGCACAGCGACAGCACCACAGTCTCACCTCACGGTTGCAGGGGCTCTGGGATTTTATTTTACGTTTGTTTGTTCCCTCTATCTATCAACGTGGAAATATCAAAAGATAAGCCGAGGCGATCGAAAGTCACGGTCTGGCCAGGGGCAGGGCAGTCCTGGTGGTTGCAGATGGTTGTCTCAGTATCCCTCCAAAGCTTTTGTGAAAATCGGTCTTTTGTCCCGGTGAACATTGTTCGGGCTTCACGCTCGACTCATGACACGGGCAAAGGGAGACATTGCCGGAGAAGTGGGTGGCGGTTGGCAGGGGAGTAGACGGAGCTAGTGGCCGAGTGGGCATCGCGATGTAAAACTGGGCAAGGCTTGGCAGAGGGGTGGGCCGCCAACTTAACTCTGTGTCCCCGTTGAGCCTTCCAGGAATGTGGCAGCCAGGTTTTATGTAATTGGGGTGTGCGGCAGGTGCTGTGTAGTTGCGCTGTGCACTGGACTCACCCGCAGCTGCTGGCAGCACAGAGTGAGCTTCCCGTTGCGGGCTCTGTCCCACAGCCTCTGCATCTGAACGTCTCCAGTCATGGGAACGGAATCACCGCTCCCCTCCATCCTGTAGCTGCGAGAGGGCGAGTGGGTGCGACGCGAGAGGTAGACGCGTGACTTTATGCCGCGCTGTAGGAATACTGGTGCTGTGTACAGCCACATTTTGAGCATACTTGACCGTGCCAGTCAGTGCGGGTAGATGAAAGTGGGTGCGGGTGTGGGGGGAAGAGGGAAAGACCACCATTAGAACCTCATTTGCCAGTAAAAAATATGATAATTGGTTTTTTACCCTTTTATCTGGCAACAAAACTGACACCTTTTTTTACGAGGAGTCATGTTTGCATAGACCACAATACCTGCAGTCATAATGCAAGCAAAAAACATAACTTTGATAATATATGCACTGTCCTTGAAGTTGATTGGTCCACACCCGAGACAGCTTTCCTTAGAGCCTAGTCTCACATGGTGTTGGACCAGATGACGCCTTTTTGTTTGCATTATGACTGCAGGTATTGTGGTCTATGCAAACATGACTCCTCGTAAAAAAGGTGTCAGTTTTTTTGCCAGATTAAAGGGTAAAAAAACAATCATCAGGAAAAGACCAGTTCTGATATCACTTGATGCTGATGTTATCCGTGGCAAGGAATAAAAAATATGGTCACCAGGTTCATAGCGCGTCACTCTAACAACTATTCTACTGCTCCACCGTAAACGACTCTAAATGAAGTAAGTGAAAGATAGTTTTGTATGTAAGTAGAAATCAGTGCAGCAGAAGCTATGGTACAATCATGAGTGCGCTGCGCTCTGAATCGGGTCATCTGAGTTCCATTCGTGGCCACTGACCGATGTGGTGAAGTATGGCCATGAACAACGTGAGTGCCGAGTGATATCTGCACCGATCCTAGGCTCCTCCTTCATCACCCGGCACTGACCGAAGTGGTGAAGTATGGTCAAACAACCCCCATGACCACCAACGCAGCATCGGGAGGCATTGGACTGCCAATAGAGCTGGGGAGAGCAGTATTACGTTTCTATAATGAATAATATTCATAATCAACGTTTTTGGGTTTAGATCGCGTTATTTATAAATGTGTCGTAACCCTCCACCACCCGACACGGCCAATCAGCAAAAAAGTGTCACGTTGACAAAAGACAAATAGTTCACTGCTTTAGCCCACCGGTGTGTTGAAGCGTGAAACCACAACATTTACAATTTGAGTACGACGTTTCGCTGGTAATTGCATCCAGCATCATCGGGTAATAAATGTTGTGGTTTCACGCTTCAACAAACCTGTGGGCTAAAGCAGTGAACTATTTGTTTTTTGTCAACGTGACACTTTTTTACTGATTGGCCGTGTCGGGTGGTGGAGGGTTACGACACATTTATAAATAACGCGATCTAAACCCAAAAACGTTGATTATGAATAATATTGGTCGCGAAAGCCTACGTGTTAAATTGAATAATATAATGATTATAGTCACACTCGCTGGTCGCGCGACTCCGTAATGTGTGCGTCACTGCATGGTTGTACTTTTGTATTGCGTTTTAAGGCGGTGGATGGCCCGTTGCTGTACAGTGTCACTTTAAAATTGGAGGCTTAGGTTACATGTGAAGGGTGTTCCATTATGTAAACTTTTACCACCACAAAATAAAATGTACCCCCACCCCGCCCCCCAACCCCCGCAAAAAAAAACAAGAGAGAATATTTGTTTTTAATTCATAAATCAGCAACGGTAAGATTACACAGGGATCATACAAAAATAATATTTACACGGCAACTACACTACTTTTTTTATTTAGTGAAATGCAACAATAATTACCACCCGGCACTGACCGAAGTGGTGAAGTATGGTCAAACAACCCCCATGACCCACACGGCGTGGGGAGGCCCTCATCCAAGCAGTCGTATGCTAAAGCGCTGTAAATTAAAGTTTTTTTTTTATATCAATGTGACCCAACAGATGCTGTTTCAGCAATATACCACAACTAAATTAAATAAAAATTGCTCATGAAAGGAAACAATGGTCTTAATGTTTCGACCAACTGGCCTTCTTCTGGTATAACAGTTGACGTATGTACTTGGTCTCCTCCATATTCTCCGTGCATGCAGGTCACTCGACTAAAATGATGATATCTTTTTTACCCTCGGGAACGCAACTCTCCCTGAATGTTCTTACGCAACGTGACACGCGCCACATGTATTCCGCTTGCCCTTCAGATGCACGTCACCAGTGCTTGCCTCTGCATTATGGTTATAATTTGCATTTTGATGATTGTGCTATTTTGTTGTTGCAAACTGGGCTGTTGTTAGATTAATTACTAGCAAATGCTCTCGACTGCTCCGCTATGCTGCCCAGGGAGAGAAACAGGAAAAAACACACCGAGGTCATGCAGAGGCCACAGTCCACAGCGCTCTATCACAGTTGAGAGAAACTAAATTGAAAGTGTTTCCACGAATTTTGATATTTGTATCCAAAGCACCGAGTGGATGTGTGGAGAGGACGGGATTGAGCCCCCATTCAATCTCACTCTGTCAAATATTAATTCAATGTAAGGCATCACAATGTACGGTACGTATCAGACAGTAAACTGATAAGATCTCGATCTTAGCCACAAGGTCCTATTTGGGAGGGTGGTGTTCTGAGTATGATTCCTGGCCACGACCAACATCAGTGGCTCGTGATAACCCAACCGGTGCTTTGCCCCATTATTCACAAACCGCGTTGACCAGCCAGGTTAACTATGGCCAAACAAACACCTATGATAATAGAGTTTTTTTGGATTAGATCCCCCCCCCCCCCCACTTTGTGCAAGAGCGCAGAAGCGTGGCCACCACATTTACGCCTCTATATAACGGACGAAACAGGTGGACTTCTCCAAAAATCTGGCTGTCGCCTGATGAAGCTGGTTGTAATTACTGGCGTAACGTCGTACTCAGATTGTAAATGTTGTGGCTTGGCTCTCCAACACACCTGTACTAGTGACGAATTGGCATGTCCTGTTTACATGACAAGTGGTGGCAGGTTTTAACGACACATTTATCTATTTACGCGATCTAACCCAAAAAAAGCTCTAATATGTATGATATTGGTCGCGAAAGCCTACGTGTTAAACAAACTCCCATAAGTGAATAGTGTGGGCAGGAAGGCCTTCATCCCTGCTGTGGCTTGATAAACGACCGTAAATGATTGCTATATATTTTTGGGGAGGGAAAACTTAACGGCTTTAAAGTATTGGCCAAGTGAATTGCTTTGTTGACTTTTGTCTCGCAGTTAATCTTGAACGCATGGGGCAGCGGTTTAAAAAAGAAAAAAACTACGATTGTTGCCAAAAGTAAAATGCTGCTCATTTGTGTGTTACGAAATGGCGCGGAGGGGGGGGGGGACTGTTTATGTAATTACCTGAGCTGGAGTCTCTCTTCGGGCTGCTTGACCTTTTCGCTGATTAATGCCAGGAAGTCCGCGTAGCTCATGCCAGGCCTGGCTCTCATGGTGACCGTTTGGGTGAAATGCAGCTCCACGGTGATAGGCATCTGCAGGGACACCTCTGAACGAGGGTCCTTCCATATTTATTGGGCACACGTCGTAAGTAAATCATCAAAGCGGTTATTGCCTCCAAATATTATCCACAACTCGTGGTGAGATCAAAGCAGTCCTCGCTGCCAAAAATTATCCCCAATTTTCACAGCATGTCAATGGATTGTCCCGAGGAGGGTATTATTATGCAATTGACAAAAGCTGGGACTTTTAATGTTCCAGGAAGACTTTATTTTATTTTCTAGAACAGCTGCCTCCAAAAGTGGACAATCCTGGGAAGACCAGAACAGGTGGCAACTCTAATTGTGACCAGAGAGAGATGGTGTTTATTAAAGATATTGTTTCTAATTAATTAGTTCCATCTTTCGGTCATATACTCTGCCCCAAAACATGCCTGTTTAGCTTTTTCTAAACAATATATATGGACATCGAAGACTCGTCATATGAAGTATGGAAATAGAACATCAATATAATGCCCTATACAGTTTATCATGCAGAATCGTTATTTGAGGTAAAATGTATTGTACGTTTTTTTCGCCTTTTTACAATTTAATTCCCGGGTGCTCTGTCAGCATTCCACATCAGGACACAAATAATCCATTCGGAAATCTCACTGAACTACGTGGCCCCGTGTATGTGTGTGTGCATGAAAAATGGCTGCACTGAGAGATTTTCACAAAACCTCGTCTGAAAAACCTCGTCTGAAAAACCTCGTCTGAAAAACCTCGTCTGAAAAACCCTTCCAAGTGGACGAATTGTCCCTATACAACAGGCGGTGGCGCTTGCGCACACACTCTGCTATGAGATTGGTCGATGAAGAATATCAGCTGAACCAATATATTTAAATTCTCACAGCTGGAATTCAGTCCGATTCCTTGATACATCATTATTTTGATGATAAGCAGCTTCCAAGTTTTGGAATGCTTTGTCTTTGCTAAGAAGACAATCAGAATTGTTAGATTAGTATCATGAATTGTGTTGACGTCTGCCATGAAAATTCACATCTTTAATCTTGATTTTAATCTTTAAATTGGCGTTTACCCCCTAGTTCTAAACCGTTTACTCTCATTCTGTTTATTTCATGCTTTCATATGTATGTTGAACTTGTTTTGCACCGTACGTAGCCGGCCGTGATATTCGGAGGATGTACGGATGAAATGCACCTTACAAATGTAAATTTATATTATTGCAGAGTAACAACTATAATTTCGAGCCAGGAGTCGTGGAGTAGCTGAGCCCATCGAGTCCCTATACCGGACTGAAGAACCCCCCACTCTCATCGCAAGTGTCTTGTAAGTTGAGTCACGCACCTGACTGGGGAATAGAGGCACAGGTGGAGCTCGAGCAGGTGGATTGGAAACCATCTTCTGGCGTTGTCCCTCCTCTTAATGTTGGGAGAGAAAAAAAACCACCAGCAACAGCAACAGCAGCGACAACAACAGCCATGAAATTAATGGGTGGCTGGCAAAATCAAAGGATGGTTCTCCACAAAGTAACCCTCTCAGGCACGTGCAACACACACAAAGCCACCACAGAATGTCACAAAGATCTGGATCATCGTCCGTCCCAAGAGGCCCACACTTGCATTAACATCTGCAGGTTGCTATTTTATGTTTTATTTATTTTGTACTGTGCCCCAAATGTATCCTGATTGTGCTACGGGCGTCGTGTCGTGAGATAACGAATCCCATTTGCAACTCTTGCTGGGGAAGGTGTTTTACAACGTGTTATAAAACAGTCGACGGATAGAGATATCACACAACTGCTTATGAGATCTCTTCAAGTGATCTCTAAGCTACACTTAAGAGACAAAGCTTCCCCACCTCCCCGTTATAGCGGGAATCATTTGCCACACGATTTTAAAGCCAATATTTTAAATTCTCAGAGCTGAAATTGAGCCAAAGTGCCAAACCATATTTAACATTGTTGTTTTTGTGCAGTCAGACTCGGGCTGAGATGGCAGCAGAGTGATGGATTCTTAAATCTATCTGTGCGGAGCTTTTACGTGCAAGTGCACCGGCAGTTTCCCTTACCACATGCCAAACATCCAAGGGCAGGACCCTGCTGAAAACCAAACGTGGTGTGGCTTCGTGAGTCTTTTCCAGATAAATTAACGGTTATCATTATGTATTTTAAATCGTTGCTGCTGTATGTTCATCCTAAGCTGTGGATATTACATATGTGATATATGTTACAATGGTATTAAAAGCTGAACAATCTATTTATTGCATGTACTGTGTAAAGCAAGCAGAATCCCAGGCGACATTTTATCTGGGGAAATTATGAACGGCATTGAACTGTTGTTCCCCCCACTGCTTTCCTCCGTCAAAAAAACTGCGGAGATCTCAGGACAGAAACCTACTGATTCAATGCAGCTGCATGAACTGTGTTTCATGGAAAAATGTGTGCTAAAGATATTCCGGGTCAATTAAAAATATATATAGTATGGCATGTATATAAATATATATAGCATGGTATATATGCAGGGGCCTCTTGATTTTGTCCATATTACAATCACCAAACCCTCTTCCTTCCTCACAGCAGAATCTGGAGCGTGTCCTTGAGCATATTTTCCACAGAAAAGCCACGAACAACAATGCTATCACTGACAAAGGGAAAATATTGGCTTCGCATGCGTGTGTGTGTTTATATATCGCAGGTGCACCCCTACCCATGCATGGCCTTCACGGCCTGTCCTCAAGGGCCCAGGGCAAGGCCTGCATCAAAGGCAGTTCCGCCCCTACCCTCCATCCCTCTTTCCCAAGACCAGACAAGACTCAACATTTCGATTTAAAGCTTTCGTGACTGCAGGGATTCATCTTCTTGGTTCTTTCGGTAAAGTCACGTAGAAGGGAAATAATAAAATAATACAAATAAAACATTATAAAATAAAATTCTCACGACGTTTCGGCCACAAGTAAACGTAACGTTGGTGGTGTTGACTCGGACGCTATCTTTCCGACAGACCTGTTCTTCACCTGAGGACGGCTGCTTGCGTTGTGGCCGAAACGTCGTGAGAATTTTATTATGTTTTATTTTTATTATTTTATTATTTCCTTTCTACGTGACTTTACCGAAAGAACCAGTGAGAATTAATATATTATTATAAAATAATAAAAATAAAACATAATAAAATAATTCTCACGACGTCTCGGCCACGACGCAAGCAGCCGTCCTCAGGTGGAGAACAGGTCTGTCGGGAAGACAGCGTCTGACGCTTATTTCCCTTCTACGTGACTTTACCGAAAGAACCAAGAAGAAGACCCAACATGGTCCTCAATTCCTAAGATCCTCACACTCTCTTGCCCCCTGTCGTCCGTGTCCCCCCGTCCCCACGATGTCGTCTATCTCTATCGCCACACCAACTTTCCAGCTCACGAATTTGGAGACAACGGCCAAAGTGTTGGAACTAGGACTAGAAGTCAAGGCGACTGATCCACATCGGCGTTTCTTAGCTCCATTCATCACCGTCCAACAACCGTCTGCTTTTGTGTAATTGTTGGAATACCGCATAGGTGAAAAAGCCGCTGCACACTGCACGCACCTGATGGTTGGTAATCATGGAAAGCTCCACTGTGAGGGGTCGTGAGGACTCGAGTTGAGGCAACACTGTTCTAAAGGACCCCTATAAACTATGGGTCTTAAACACTATGGAAATACTTTCCCTCCACCATAGAAATGTGGAATGGACACATCTGGCTCAGGACAATGCTCTTTTGATTGAGAAAGCACTATGATAAATTTTGGGTGGTTATTTGAAGTTGACGCCAAGGTTCCTAAGAAATTGGTTGCGCCCTTTCTCCTGTCTCTCCCAAGTGAAAGTCTCTTTTTACTGCGCAGAAAGCGTCCGATGCCTTGTTAATATAATAAAAAAAACGTTTTGTAAACCATGATAACGTTAAATTTCCATTTAACGCTGTCTTTCCGACAGCCCTGTTCTTCACCTGAGGACGGCTGCTTGCGTTGTGGCCGAAACGTCGTGAGAATTGTATTTTATGATGTTTTTATTATTATTTTATTATTTCCCTTCTATGTGACTTTACCGAAAAAACCAAGAACATGATCATGTTTGTATGTGATTGTTACACGCACACACAACAAAATCCAGTGTTTTGAGACCAAAATGTACTTGAAGAAAAGATAGGTGTAGGTGTGCCGACACAGTCAGTCGTGGGATCATGTTGAGAATCTCATTTCGCGGTATGTATGTCCCCTGGCAGGGTTAAAACAATGTTGTTAACATCACATGAAAGTACCGGACGCAGGGGGTCTGGGTGGAGGCTCCTTCACAGGTGGTGCAGGAATTTTCAGATTTCTTTTTTTCCCGCCCTGCAACCACCACAACAACAACAGCAGCCACGGAAATGTCGAGACAACACCCAGTGACAAGCCGCCGCTTACAGCCGCCACCGACAACAGCATCAGCAGCAGCCTCCTCACTCACAAGGAAACAGTGGCGTATACAGCCACAGCACTGCTGCTACTGTACTCTCAAAAGACACGGCACACAACATTGGTACGATGGACAGAAAACAATTAATAGCAAGAGAGCCTACTCTTTGCAACCTGAATATCAGCGGAAAGGGCTGCATGAATTATGCAGGGGAGAGTTACAAAGGCACCACGAAAATACACAAAACGCGATTACATCGGCAACTAACGCGGAATTGCAATGCAGCGGCGAATTCCTCCGACGCGCATTTTTTTTTTACCATTTATAAATCCACAAAAAAAATCATCCAACGACGGGTAATAATATACCTTCAAGGAATTCATCACAACTTCGCTCTTTGGTTGGGGACTTTCAACTCGGGACTTGCCGCCCTGATGTAATTTTTTTTTGCGCGTTGTGCGTGTATTTCGAACCACACCCCATGCAAGTCGCAGCATGCGCACATGGGGCGCGCGTGCGTGCGCGCGTGCGCGCGTTGCATCGCCCACACACCGAGTCAGGCAGGGGGCTGACAAGGGAGGAATAGAAAAAAAACCATTCCCATTGAGAGCCCAGACGGCGCTCGCGTGGCGCGCAATCCCCCATCAGAGCACGGATCGTCCTGCAGGGGGCTCTTTGGAGGACGTGGGAGATGGAGTGGGGGGGGCTCTTTGGAGGACGTGGGAGATGGAGTGGGGGGGCTCTTTGGAGGACGTGGGGGATGGAGTGGGGGGGCTCTTTGGAGGACGTGGGGGATGGAGTGGGGGGGCTCTTTGGAGGACGTGGGAGATGGAGTGGGGGGGCTCTTTGGAGGACGTGGGAGATGGAGTGGGGGGGGCTCTTTGGAGGACGTGGGGGATGGAGTGGGGGGGCTCTTTGGAGGACGTGGGAGATGGAGTGGGGGGGGCTCTTTGGAGGACGTGGGAGATGGAGTGGGGGGCTCTTTGGAGGACGTGGGAGATGGAGTGGGGGGGGGCTCTTTGGAGGACGTGGGAGATGGAGTGGGGGGCTCTTTGGAGGACGTGGGGGATGGAGTGGGGGGGCTCTTTGGAGGACGTGGGGGATGGAGTGGGGGGGCTCTTTGGAGGACGTGGGAGATGGAGTGGGGGGGGGCTCTTTGGAGGACGTGGGGGATGGAGTGGGGGGGCTCTTTGGAGGACGTGGGAGATGGAGTGGGGGGGGCTCTTTGGAGGACGTGGGAGATGGAGTGGGGGGCTCTTTGGAGGACGTGGGAGATGGAGTGGGGGGGGGCTCTGTGGAGGACGTGGGAGATGGAGTGGGGGGCTCTTTGGAGGACGTGGGAGATGGAGTGGGGGGCTCTTTGGAGGACGTGGGGGATGGAGTGGGGGGCTCTTTGGAGGACGTGGGGGATGGAGGGGGGGGGCTCTTTGGAGGACGTGGGGGATGGAGTGGGAGGCTCTTTGGAGGACGTGGGGGATGGAGTGGGGGGCTCTTTGGAGGACGTGGGGGATGGAGTGGGGGGCTCTTTGGAGGACGTGGGGGATGGAGTGGGGGGCTCTTTGGAGGACGTGGGAGATGAAGTGGGGGGCTCTTTGGAGGACGTGGGAGATGGAGTGGGGGGCTCTTTGGAGGACGTGGGAGATGGAGTGGGGGGCTCTTTGGAGGACGTGGGGGATGGAGTGGGGGGCTCTTTGGAGGACGTGGGAGATGAAGTGGGGGGCTCTTTGGAGGACGTGGGGGATGGAGGGGGGGGCTCTTTGGAGGACGTAGGGGATGGAGTGGGGGGCTCTTTGGAGGACGTGGGGGATGGAGTGGGGGGCTCTTTGGAGGACGTGGGAGATGAAGTGGGGGGCTCTTTGGAGGACGTGGGGGATGGAGTGGGGGGCTCTTTGGAGGACGTGGGAGATGGATGGAGGGAGGGGTGTGTGTATGGGGAGCGGTGGTGTAGCGGTTAGCGCGCTGCGCTAATGAACTCGGCCACCTGGGTTCGAATCCCAGCTCACGGCCAACACCGGTGACGATTATCTGAACCGGTCATGGGCCCTCCCCTAGGTCGACTCAGCCTCAAATGAGTACCTGGTGCGATGTGTAAACATCGTCACTGGGGAGACAAAGGCGGTCGGGCGTGGTGCTGGCCACCCACCCCCTCGTGTACCGTTCCGGCCTTCATAGGTGCTCGCTAACAGCACTTGCCCCTACAGGCTGTTAAGGCTATACGGGGGATCTTTGTCTTTATGTGGCTCATTGTGCTCCACGATTTGTGGAATCCCCCTTCCTCGGGTCCATTCGGGATTCTGAGTGTGTTTCACTTTTTTAAATCACCGTCTTAAAACGCACATTTTTGCGTGGGCTATTCCCTGTAACTTAGGATTTAAAAAAAAAAAGTCTGATTAAGTAACTCTGCGACTATAATTATTCGCTTTTATTATAGTTCTTCATTTTATTGGAATTTCGAGAGGAGTCATTGACAATGTTATTATCGGCTTTCGCTTCGATTGTATCTATGCTTGTGAGTACCAGTTGTATTTGTTTATATGTACGGCGCTTTGAGATACTTAAACATGAGAGTCGCTGTATAAACCAGAGGTTATTATTATTTTTACACCTACTACCACCACCCACCACCGCAGTGAGTGACCCCCACCATAGAAGCAGCGCCTGTTGAGCCCTGGAGAGGAGGCGGTCGAGATGGCAGCAGCGGGCGGGGAGAGAGTGGCCGAGCATTTGCATGCGAGTGGCATGCGCGGCGTGATACGCTTTTAGTAACGGCTCGAGGCTGCCCATCCCTTCCACCTCTCCCACAGCACCACAGGTATTCCCATCAGAGAACACGCAACGATTATTGATTATTACTGGCAGCGTGCCAGCGTCGTTTTCAGAAAATTCGCAAAAAAAAATTTCCGGCCCTCGTCTGCTTGCGAGATTCATTGCCCGTTGTGATTTTTTTCGTTTGTTTTGTTAAATATATTTTTTCATGCTCACCCCACCCACCCCTTCCATTTTTTTTTTTGCGTGGAAAAATCAGGAGCGGTAAGCATTGCTCACGTACACATGTAGGCAATGCTGGTAACAGCTTAAGGCATTAGTTTTGATAAATTGGGCAATTATTGTGAACAGGCAATGACAACACTTGCACCTAGTACCCATTACCAAGATGTTTATGGCTATATGCAGTGGTGAGATATAATGTTATGGCATTGCAATTCGTTTTGTTGCAAGCGTAAACAAGGCAACATGTGATAAACCAGACATCACAATCAATTTTTGGTCTATTTTTGTTAAACGTAGACGCTGCATGAAATGCTCTGTCCTGCCGAGGAAGAATGTTTTATTGGAGACACGCACACATTGGAGACATTAGAGACACACGTATTGGAGATGCACACGTTGGGGGCACGCATTGGAGATACATTGGAAACGCACACACATTGGAGACACACACACATTTGAGACGCACACACATTGGAGACACACACACATTGGAGACACATTGGAGATACACACACATTGGAGAAACACACATATTTGAGACGCACACACATTGGAGACGCACACACATTTGAGACGCACACACATTGGAGACACACACATTCCGGCAGGGGAATGAGTGATTTCCTGCCAAGCGATGCTGAATTCTTCATGAACCCAACCATGCTGTGAAATGACACTTGCAGACACGACTGCCAAATTATACACAATGTGCTTTTATTTTTTCTGCACAAAGATGTTATGAAAGAGCTACTGAAAACTGTCACCTGTGCATAAAAATTAAAACATCTGTTTTCAATTATCTTTGCATTGTGCATTGTTTGGGTGACACGGTGGTACGATTTGTTACTGCACTGCACTACGAACCTGGCGAAATACATTTTAAGATTCCTAAGCATAGTGGCAACCCACACTGACCAGCGTGGTGAAGCATAGTCACGCATGGCCATCAAACCCACATGCCTGACATGGCGTAGGCGAGCCTTCATGCAGCAGTGGATTTGCAAACAGCGACACATTGTGACTAAGTATTATTATACACGACACATATTAAGGATTGCACCTACCAACAGAAATCTTCCGTATGGAAGTGGAATAATTTTTTTCGCTCAAATATGAATTATGTAGAGGAGCTTTTAAACAATTCATTGGGCCTTTTGCGGCAGGACTACAAAAAGTGTGTCGGCCACGCATGATTGACAGCAACGGCTTTTGGGACCAGACTTTCTGAACCTTGCAAGCGTGCGTGTTACACTGCGACTGTATGCGTTCCCAACATCTATGCTGCCTGCCTTCACCAAGTCGCACTGAGCAGCGTGGTGAAGTATGGTCAAGCACCACCAAAGGCCTGCACAACGTGGTAAGGCCCTCATCCTGCAGCAGATGGACAAAAAGGTCCGGACACGGACATTTTGTGTAAGGCACGGGGAGAGAGAGGCCTATTAGCCTCGTGCACATTGATTTAATTATGTCCACACACATGCACACTTTGCCTCAGTCAAGTGGCTGCGTCTGTGGAGTTTGTTGCCTCGTAGGGGGTTGAAGGTACCTGGGGCTGCTGGGAGGTGATCTCCGGGAGGTCTTCGTTCATAGACAGTGACGCCACCACCTGCAAATGCAGCGAGGAAATAACAAAAGACCACAAAACTATGATCACTTTCATAATATTGGCATATACCTTGTTCGTTATTACAGGAACAAGGGCAGAAGGATACGTGTGTCAACTTCCAATGAGGAGGAAGCCACTGATCGAAGGTTGACTCGGGGGTCTCACCGTGGCTTTGCCCAGGTAGTCCTTCTTGCCCAGCTGTTCCACCTGCTGCTTTTGGGGTCGGAACATGACTCCGCAAGGCACGGCGCACACCTCCCACACCTCCTGCCTCTGTAAGAACAAACCGGGGGGGGAGGGGGGTGGAAATTCCATGAAGGCATTAGCAGGGAGCGACACGAGGAGTGTGTGTGTGGGTGACACGGACTCATAGGCCACATATTGGACAGAAACACAATATGGCAGATTCGCGTAATACGCGGAAACCGCTCAAATTCCACGACTCTTGAGAGGTGATCTTCGTTCGCAACAAATAAATCGAACGGGACGATTATTTGTATAATCAATATAACGTGACGTGGCAACCACTCGTACGTTTAAATGGCACTCTAAACTGGCGTAACTGTATGCCACGAAAAATACGAAGGAATTTGTTTTTGTCCATTAAAAAATTATTTTAAGTACAATCAATATAACGATCAAGTGTGCACACTCAAGTGACCCTTATTCTGTATTTGGAAGAAAGAAAAATATAACGTGATTGAATTTCCAGAGCCCAGCTTAATGCAATATAAAATGTAAATAAATCTCCCGAGATGCATTTAGCACGAGGTCACCTTTACTGCCTCCAAGGCTCGATCCACGCAGGTCTGATGCGGCTGCAACTCGGCCTCCTTCGCTTTCTGCGCCGTTTCCTGTGCCTTGACCCACTGGCCGAGAGAGGCATGGGCCAGTGCCACATTGTGTAGCACCTGGACGGTGAACATACGTCGGAAATCGTTACACGTTCGCTCGCACTCCCCCCACCGTGGGGATGGAGCGAAGACATCATCTGCAGGTGCCAGACATCGTTGCAAGGCCAGGACCGTGAGAGATGGTGACGGCTTGGAGGCACCTTCATCCAGCAGTGGACTGATAACAGCAGCTGATAATCATGATCCATGTAAATATTATTGGGTCTTTCGGTAAAGTCTCGTAGATAAGTTCAAAGGAAATAACAAAAAATAACAAAAAAATTGTTGTTATTTTTAACAAAACATAACAAAATATAACAAAAACATATTTTTGTCATTTTTTGTTATTTTCTTTTAACCTATATTTTAACCTATCTTTTAACCTATCTACGTGACTTTAAGAATATGAATTCCTGCAGTCACGAAAACTTTAAAGTCAATATTTATGATCCATGTAAGCTTATGTATTGCATAATAATGCCTGTTATTTAGTAACCAGAGTTCAATTGCCGGCAATGGCTAACATCGGTATCGAGTGGTATCTGAACTGGTCCGGTTCACTGCAGTCCCTTTACCCTCCAATGCTGACCAGTGTGGTGAAATATGGTCAACTAACCCTCATGACTGACATGGCATGAGGAGGCCTCCATCCAACAGGATTAACAAAGGACTGTAAATGATTACTATTATCATCATTATAATGATTTTTTATTCAAAAGAAAAGGGCAATGTTTATGGAAATGTCCATGGGATACATAATAGCTTGGAAGGTTGACGAAATGCTGATTTCAGATTGGTGGTTAAACTGAGTATATTGCGTTGATTTTTTTAAATTACCCAAATTTGTAAAAGTAGACAAAAAATCATTTAGCTGAGTTTTAGATTCAAGTGGACAGGGAATAGATAAGAGGGAATAGATAACAGAGACAAAGTGGCAACCGTAATACGAAAAGTTGTATTAAAATCCAAACACTGTGGCATGGGAAGGCTTTAGGACTCCGTGTTTGTTCTTTGCAATGTTTAAGTTTTTGTTGTGTTGCTGATGCTGTGCCCACACGCCACGGATCTCCTGTGTGACATAGCCGGGGAAATTGGCTTAACAGGATCATCCGTGGAACAAATCACAATTTTATAGAAACTTAAACTGGAGAAATGTATCTTCGAAGCATTGGGTGTGGGTTTTTTTTTTTTATAACAATTGCATTGTGGTAATGAAGCAGAGTAATTTATTCATTAAATACGTTTTCTTAAAATAATCCCATTTGGAGTTAGTTTTTTTACGGATTTTTTAAAATTGTATTTTAGCTAGGTTAGTTATGCAAATGAGATACAGGAAATGAATGCAATCATGAAACTGCACGAGATATTATCACACTGTACCCAACCACCCATCCGTTGTATTAAACAAAACGCAGAAGGTGAACCTGCTGCTGCTGCATTTTCTGCGGTGTACAATCACAAATTATACAAACTCAACACATTCACCAATAACACTGCCGGAAACACACAATAAAATGCTGAATGAAAGAAGGGCCACTGCTTAGAATGTCAAATACGACATTTTTTCCTTACAAGGTTGGTGTTGTTGACATATGTGGTGGGTTATATCATTATATTAACCGCGTGTTGCACGGTAAAAATATTACTTTATAAATGACGCCTCATTTGTCAATCCTTTGCTGGATGAAGGCCTTCCCGTGCTGCGTAAGCCATCGAGATTGTTTTGACCATACTCTTAGGTATTTTCAGTAAAGTCACGTAGGAAAAAAATCAATAATACAAAAAAATAATAAATTATAGAAGAAATAATTGAAATAAAATAATAAATCACGACGTTTCGGAGGCATCACAAGCTTCCGTCTTCAGGTGGAACCGTCACAGCACAATTGCTGTATCAAGTACCATACTTGATACAGCAATTGACCATACTTCACCACATGGGTGAGTGCAGCTTGTTGACGTACAGGGGATTCAGGGCAGGTTCAAATATCACTCGCCAACGATGTTAGCTGTGGCCGGGCATCGAACTCGGGTCACCAGGTTCATCGTGCCACCACTACCCCACTCTCCAGCAAGATAAGGTACACAAATGCAATTTACAATGATATTGTGTGTACGCGATATCAATTCTGAATGCGCCATTAAAAATGCAGGTGTATTGATCGTTACGTTTCTGTAAGCTCGATCTTGGGCAGTCACCCTGCTGCTTTACTCCTACTCAACTCTTTGTCAACCGCCCAGCCATACACATTAAACTAAACCTTGTAAAATTTCGATTTAAAGCTTTCGTGACTGCAGGGATTCATCTTCTTTGTTCTTTCGGTGAAGTCCCGTAGAAGGGAAGTAATAAAAGAATAAAAATAAAACATAATATTTTATCATGTTTATTTTTATTATTTTATTATCATGTTTTTATTATTGTATTACTTCCCTTCTACGTGACTTTACCGAAAGAACCAAGAAAACTAAACCTTGTATTTTACCTTGTAAAAACCCACTGCGCTATAACGCTCATTTTTAGAAGCGACCTGGCCACAAATCATAGCCCAACGAAGTGCCAATGTACAGCAGCCAAATACTCCAAACTTGTGTTGATTCTAAAAGTCGTGTTAAAAACCGGAGGGCCTGGAGGAAAATCCACGCGACCACAGGGAGAACACGCAGGATCGAAATCGAACCCATGATCTCCTGGACATCAGGCGAGCCAGTTAACATCTCGCCACTGCTGGCATCCGCATACACGATATGAGGCCGGTCCACATGGAGGAACTGCTCAGCGTTGGGTGGCGTTCTGCCAGCAAGCCCCGGTGAGACAAGGAGGCCTTTGATTTCTTTTCCCCACGCGGAACCGGAATGCGAGTAATAACCGCGACCCTCAAAATTGCATTGCAGACACGGAACACACAATCTTTGTTGTGGAGAATTCCACTTTACCATCCGCTGCTTGCATAAAACATTTCGTACCCGTGGAACACTCCGCGACCTCACCAACCACATACATCATCATCATATAAAACAAACAAAAAGTGAGAATTGTTCAGGTTAGATTAGAGGTTAATTTGAATATTATTCCCCTATGGGAACTGAAGATAGGTAGCTGAATAGAAGTAATGATAGAGGGAAATCGATAGAGAGGGTGCGTAGTTTTGGTGTATAGAAATTACCGGTAATCAATTATTGGGTCAGATTTAAATTCATATATTTTGAATACTGACCTAAAAATCATGGCGCTACACAGCGTCTGGGACACACACGAAGTTGGCATCCTACTAAATTTCCAGTCAGTAGGAAAGTAATGATTGTTTGACCCCTTGCGCAAGTATAACAAGTGTGCCTCAGATCTTCGACAGAAATTCGTTTTTTTTTTCTTGTCAATCGATGTTCTGCTTTTGTCCTTGATTGAATGAGAAAGCTGGCAACGCCGATGGACGGAGTGGAATTTCATGGCTGTCTTAAACCTCACCCCCAACAAAAAGCACTCATCTTATCTTACACATTGCATCGCTTTGTAAAATTTAAACCAGGGGGGTCGGCAGCCTGCGGCTCTTAATGAACCTCTTCGTGACGTAAGGCACACATTCATCTTCTTGGTTCTTTCAGTAAAGTCACGTAGAAGTTAAATAATAAAAATAAAACATAACAAAACAATAATATAATAATTCTCACTGGTTATTTCGGTAAAGTCATCACATAGAAGGGAAATAATAAAATAATAAAAATAAAACATAATAAAGTAATATAATAATATATTAATTCTCACTGGTTCTTTCGGTAAAGTCACATAGAAGGGAAATAATAAAATAATAAAAATAAAACATTAAATAAAATTCTCACGACGTTTCGGCCACAACGCAAGTAGCCGTCCTCAGGTGAAGAACAGGTCTGTCGGAAAGACAGCGTCCGAATGAACACCACCAACGTTACGTTTCTTGTGGCCGAAACGTCGTGAGAATTTAATTTTATTAAGTTTTATTTTATTATTTTATTATTTCACTTCTACGTGACTTTACCGAAAGAACCAAGAAGATGAATCCCTGCAGTCACGAAAGCTTTAAATAAATAAAAAAAGGCACGCATTGTGTATTCACATTGCATTGTGGCTCTTAATGAACTTATTCGTGACGTTACTTATTCAGGAACACCGTCTCACATTGCATTGTCGCTCTTGAATTGTTGAGTTTCGTACCGAATTTGAAAAAGAATGTCTACATATTGTTATTTTTAGTTGTCGGCCCCTGATTTAAACAAAACTCACACGGCAGACACAAAAACACCTCCACAATATCGGAAGGAGGAGCGTTTCCTACGACCGCAGAAGCGCATCCGAAAACACGCGATGCAGTGACCGTCTTTGTTCGATGGCTCGCCAAAAAATGATGAAGAAGCTCGTGATGACAACGCGTGGTGAGGCATGGTTGGCATGGGCTGTGGTGCAGGGAATTGAATGGTGCCCACCCTGTACAGTACTGGTTTTCCCAGGATCGTCCTCTCGTTGAGGACATTGTCCTGGAAGAAAAAAAAATCTTCCCTGGGACGTCAGGGCCCGTATTTAGTTTAGTCAGGCTCAAGTGAACCAGCTCTGGGCACGGTCGCAGCCGCGCTCAGCATTTCCATGAGCTGAGTTTGAGCCGAGCCAAGGCTGAGCCACTCGTGTGTCCTTTGGAAGCAACTTGAGCGACTCAAGCCTGAGCTGATCCTTGAGTGGTAAGAGCCAGAGACGAGCCGTGGCTATGAACACGGCCTGAAGAGCCCTGACTCTTGTTGGAGCTAAATAATACACCACTCCAGACAACGCATTCGCATGCAGCTCTCCCCTCTTCCAGTATATTGACGTCATCTTCTTCCCACGAATTGTCTCAGTTTTTATTTCACCCCAGGAGATGGGAAACCAAATACTCTTAGGTTTTTTTCGGTAAAGTCACGTAGGTAAAAAAGTATAATAATAATAATAATAAAATAATAATACATGAAAAATGTATAAATTATTTGGCTATTTTTCATTTATTGTTATTTCATTATAACTTTTTTACCTACGTGACTTTCCCAAAAAACCTAAGAGTATGTATCCTTGCAGTCACGAAAACTTCAAATTTGGAAAACCGAATCTCCCTCTAAAATCCCCCCGCCCCGCCCCCTCTTTGTAGCCCGGCGGCGGCGGGGCCCACTCTGACCGATGGGCACCGGTGCAGTTGCACCGCCTGCACACTCAACAGCTACGCCACTGATGATGCTGGTGACAGTGAATAGCGACGCGTCGTCAGCGAATACAAAAATATACAGATACAATTGTCCACCTTTGCGACGGTAGAATAAAAATCGGCAGCGTTGGTATCTGCGTGGGCACTCACGACACACAAGTGCAGCTTGTAGGCCAGCCCAAGCTGCTCGTAGTCGATGGTCGTGTTGCCTCTGAGCCTCTTGTGCGCCTCCTGGAAATCCCGCAGTGCCTCCTCATACCTGGCGACACGGCCAGACACCACCGGCAATCAGCGCCCACTGCCCCCATCCCTGAACCCCACTCGGCCCGGCCTTGCACGAAAGTGCCACTCTTTAGAATGTCAGTCGTTTCGTTGTTACTCTTGCAGCACGCCACCGTGGCGAGATGTTAATTACATCGCCTGGTATACAGGAAGACGTGGGTTCGATACCAGCCCTGACGCCTGTTTATTTGTGGAGTTTGCATGTTCTGCCCCGTGATCGTGTGGATTTATCTCTGGGTCCTCCGATTTTTGCTTCCACGTTTAGAATCAACTTGCGCATTTCGCTGCTCTAAATTTCCACGTGATAAGGGGCCGTCCATAAATGACGTCACGGGATTTTGGACGATTTTTGACCCCCCCCTCGTCATACGGCGTCACAAAAAGTCAGACCCCCCCCTCAAATATGACGTCACAAAGCTCTGCCCCCCCCCCCAAAACAATATTTCCATTTTGAAAATAAAACATGCTTAAAATCGCTTTAAACTATTATCATTGTAGGGCGTATTTAATGTGGCGCGTGACGTCCTCCAAATGAACAACCCCCCCCCCATTAAATTAATTAGTGGGTGACGTCACTCCACATGGGGGGCCGAGGCGCCTCCTCCCCCCTCCTCGGCGTCAACTCACAACCCTCACTACAAAGGCAGAACCCTCACGTCACGTGATCCCCGTAACGCTGTTGAGACATCAAAGTCAAAAGGACGTCGTGATGAACAAGGGATTATAACCTTAAAATGAAATAGATCTGTGTCACCGCGCCCTTACAAATTGCACATAAATTTATTGCAATGAATATATCACGTCCCGGTCTGCTTTTCGCTTGCAAGTTTCATATTTACTGCAATACACCCGTCGTTGGACGGGCAAAATGCTAGTTTTTATTCTATTTATAAGTTTAGGTGCAATTTACCTTTTTACTTAGCCTTATTCACCGTGCACCGCATTAATTTATTGTCAAATTTAGCATACATTTGAATGTTATTCAAATATTCACTTTTTAAAAAAGTATTCTTGATGTAACCCCCAGGTCTCCCTTGGACAAGAGACGCCGATGTTGTAGTTGTCTCAATCGGTTGAATTAATCTCCTGGCTAAATAAAGAACACAACAATCATGATGTCTCGAACGTGTGGAAGTTCTCCATTCCACTGGTTCCTCTTTCTGCCTTGCAGCACACTGGGTGGTTATTTATGGGAGTTTCATGTTACAGTCGATCAATGCCCTCAAACGGCCGAAAGTTTCACATTATCTCCCAACTTTAGTAATGGTCCCAACAAAACACACTCTTTACACCATTCGTTGAAAATAAATATCCTGTGTCTCATTGATCAATCGTTGCAGCCTAACACATTGCAGTATAAAGTTTGCACAAATTCTAAACTAAACTGTACACATATTTCATTCTCATAATGAGCCTTTTAATAACCAGCTAGTGACAGTTCCCGGTTGGAAAACGGCCAAGAGTATATCGAGTGCGGAGATTGAGTGGATGATATCTGCTCGTGTGCAGGTGCTGGGTGCATTGTTGGGGAGGCCTTCATCAGCCGATGGGAAGAGCAGTTATTTTGGCATTTAATGGAAATGTATTTATTTATTAAAATCCAACTCTCCATTGGAATAAAACAATTACCAATACAGACCAAGGACTCTCGATGCAGAGTGGGTCATCGCTGTTTAATTTAACCATACTTCACCACGCCGGTCAACGTGGGCTGGTGGAGGTCGGGAGCATAGAAATACAGCACAACAATGGATTTAGCTGCAGTGCCCTTTTGCTGCCCAACCGCACAGCCCTTTCGACTTCCAACAACATGATTTTTTTTTTGCATGGTGGTCACCCATCCAGGCTGAGCTCACAGGTTCTAAACCCCTGCTTGGCTTCCGAGATCGAACAAGAATGGGTGCTTTCGTGACTGCAGGGATTCATCTTCTTAGTTCTTTCGGTAAAGTCACGTAAAAGGGACAGACCTGGTCTTCACCTGAGGACTGCTGCTTGCATTGTGGCCGAAACGTCGTGAGAATTATTTTATTATTATATTTTTTTATTTTTTTATTACTTCCCTTCTACGTGACTTTACCGAAAAAACCAAGAAGAAGAATGGGTGCCTCGATCACAGCAGGCAAGCCGCGCCCAGCGTTAAGCCGTTCGACGTCGTCCCACTGCCAACCGCGGTGGAAGCCCCACGTATCGCGTGAACCGTGAGATGCGTGGCTTTGCGTGGCTGTGGACGCACAGTTGGTTTCGTAGGAAGGCCGCTCCTCTCTGGAAAAAAGCCACGGCCAGATGTTCGTCCTTGGCGATGGTTCGGTCAAAGGCCTGCGGAACGAAGGTCCAAAAAAAGCACCGCACACAGCGGGAGGAATTCACGTCAAAGTTAACTTTGACGCCGAAAGCCGACCGCCGCTCGCAACGAAATTGCGGAGCCGTCGTTTGAACATTGGGCCGAGCATTGCAGCCATGCTTTGGCGACAGACATGGCAATGCGTGGGAAGGCATATCATGCGACAGTTTTGCAGCGCTGCATTTGGCGCATTTTTAAATCCTTTATATTAAGTTAACTTGCTTGCTTGCTTGCGCGCTTACGACCGTGCAAATCTTTCGGTCGTTTTTTAACCCACTTCCCGTGATCCAATCGAGCTGACATTTTGCACACAGACTCGTTGTGCGTGACAATTTATTTTCGTGAAAAAATGTTTCCAAAATTTTCCACTTTTTAGGGGAAAAAAAATTTCATATTTAATTTTAAATACCAATGTGATAAAAATGAAACTCTTACTCAAGAAAAACAGAAATGAATAATAAAATAAAACCGATGCCACGCATATAAAGGATTTATAGTGAAAAACTTTGTTTTTACGGGTTAATTTTTTAACTGCCTCGACTCCTTACGCAAAGAGTAACAAGCGCGTGCGTACACGCCTCGCGACACTCTCATTAACACAACACCACAGGGTGCTGCGTACATTTGAGCAATTTTTCAACGATACAATGTCATCGCCGTCAAAGAAGTCAGGTGACTGTGCAGCGTAAAAAGTCCGTCAAATAAACCGTCCGTAGCAATGACACAAAAAATGGAGAATGTGGAAGTTTCCACACAGCCGACTTCTGCTTGGCGCTCATAATTTAATGTGCACTGAATTAATCGCGAAACGCGTGTCAACTTCTCCACCGGCACAAGTAAACATCGCGGCGCTCGCCGGGACGGGCGAACTCACTCTCACGGCGTCCCCGAGTCTGTCCAGCGTCATGCTGATGCAGCCAATGTTGAAGTAAATCTTGGAACTCGGCTCCATGATCTCCTCGAACTTGGCGAACGCAACGCGAAAGTCCTTTCTGTCGGCTGCCTCCACGCCCTCCGCCCACAGACGGATGGTGTCAACCAGAGGCATGTCGCCAAGGTCACCAACTCCCGCTGTCTTCGCCGTCAAAAAAATAATCTTGCACGCGGGCACGCCAGCGAAAGGAGAGGTGTGTGTCACAACGGTGGCTTGCAGTGAGTGGGGGCAAGGTCTGGGACTCGACTGATGGTGCCACATGTGCACCGTGGACTTGTAGAGGAGACACGCCTCGGTAGGAGGAGCGCTTTGGAGAGGGGAGTGGGGGGGTACTGTGGCAGAGGGGAAAAAAATTGGCGATATCGTGCCATCTGCAAACTCGAGAAACTTTCGGCGTGCCTCACTTCATTAAAAAAAGGGGACCCAAACATTTTAGGGGATTTTTTTGGGGTGGTGGGTGGTGGGGGAAATTCACAAATCGGCCGTAAAGCGCGAACCGCCGCAGCCGTCATCTGCGCGTTTCGTAAAAGAGAAAGCGGAATGAAAACAATTTAGGTTGAAGTCATCCCGTCTTGTGACTCAAGTTCAATGCCAACTTCGCGTCGTGAAGGCAACTCGTTTGTCGGCAGACGCCTACATCAGCACTCCCCCCCCCCCCCCAAGTTGTTTCACGATAGCATTGCACAAACCAACGTTTCCCCCCTGGTCATTTCTTGTTGTAATGCTCATTTTGAAAGCATCATTGTGAGTATAAAACAATTTACCCGTAAAAACAAAGTTTTTCACTATAAATCCTTTATATGCATGGCGGCTAGAGTCCTCTCGTCCTCTGGCTTGAGATGGCTGCCACCTATGGGTCAGATGATTGCCTGGCAGCATTAAGCAATTGGTAATTAAATATAAAAGCAATTCCTAAAAAGTGTAAAATTTAGCAAAATTCTTTTCACGAAAATTAGTTGTCACGCACAACGAGTCTGTGTGGAAAATGTCAGCTCGATTGGATCACGGGAAGTGGGTTAAAAAACGACCGAAAGATTTGCACGGTCGTAAGCGCACAAGCAAGCGAGCGAACTTAATATACAGGATTTAAAAAAAACGAAAAACAAAGTCTCCTTTGCGAACAGTAGTGGCGTTGAGTGGTGGCACAGCCGTTGGCACCCTGCACTGTAAACCCAGCAGCTTGACTGAGATTCCAGGCCGTGGCTAATGACAGTGGCATGTGCGATCGAGCCTTGCACCCCCATCCCTCGTCCACCTACACTAAGCTACACTGACCAGCGTGGTGAAGTATGGTTAGACAGCCTTCCATGACCGACACGGCATGGGGAGGCCTTCACCGGGCAATTGATATTGGGCTGTGAATTATTTTTCATATTAATTATAACCTGAACTCCAGAAAGATGTCATAAATCCATGCCAGACAAACGCTATTTTTCGTGACTTTTTATTTTTATTTGGAACGATGTGACATGATTACAATGGTGGAAATACAATAAGAAATCTAAAATTGTCTTACAAAATCGAGCGGTACAATTCAAGACGCGGCTAACTTGATTTTTTGCCTTATTTAAATCATATCTAAATTTTAAAAAGCCACATTGAGGTATTTGCAAGAATAACGTGTAGCGTACGAGAAAAGAAAAACATTGGCAGAACAGCGGGAGTGTGGTGTTTTCAAGATAGGGTCACAAATACAAAACACAAGACAGGGAAGAAGGCGACTCCACGCCTGGCTGACATAACACTGCGCATGATGGTGCTGTATCACAATCTCACCTCCTCCCCCCACCCCCCACTGCTTACGCCTGGCAAATAATCACAACTCTGTAATTAATCCATCTTCGCTTTACATTTTTTTAGACAGTGACATCCCTGGAAGTCAACAAACTGGGGTATAAAGCCAGTGGGCACGGTTTGCTCGTGTTTTTAGATGTATACCGCCATCCGTTGGAAACAAAACGCATTCGCCACCACGCTGAATGCGATGAACATTGTTAAAAAAAACGGCTCTGCGTGGGAATTTGGTTATCTCAAACTCCAGTCAGGGTTGGGAGAGTCATCTGATAAGGGTGGATTATCTATTTTCGGGTTTGTCCAGAGCAGAGGGGGTTTCGTGCGCGGCCTTGTGACCGCAAACGGCGATATCCCATCAGACACGGCCTCATCCGCTCCCAGCCATCACCCTAAATGTGTTATTTCAAACCTGTCGCTCGTTCGAGAAACCAAAGGCTCTTCTAATTTGAAGCCATGGAAAGTTACTGCAATACAATTCTATTTTCACCGGCGTCTTGGCACGTAGTTGCATTTAAATGCTACATAAAACCAAAGTATTACATTTTTAGAGGAATTAACTGCAAATCAAGTACTGTAGATTCCAGTCAACAAAATTATAATTTTTGTGCCGCAGCTGTTGGATATTGCCACACGTTCAAATTACAGGAAATACAAATCACTGGTGTATACGAACAAAAAAATATAATGATACGATTGTGATGAGGTGCAGTGTTAGCAGAGCGAATACATGAATACTCGAGGAACCGCTACATGAGACGCACATACGTGAGAACACTGCTGCTGCAAGCCACCCCAGTCAGGAAGTCACGTTAGGAAACGCCATCTCATTGTTCAAGATGCTTTGGCTGCAAGGAATCCCCTGAGCAAGTCCCTTGTGCAGCTCTTTATTTATTCATGGCAGTGCATTAGGTCTCAATGACCCACGTGCAAGTTGTCCGCTGATAGTCGAGGACAACTCTAAATAGTAGAAAAACCCAATCAATGCCTGCCTCAGCCGAATGTTTTTTGCAGTCAAAACGGTGTTGTGGTGTACATTGCACTCGCTGTTCTCAAGCCCTCATCTCTATTTTTAAAACGATCACGTTTCCATTGAAGCGTCGGGGCGAAACAGTGCATGATTATTCTGCTGAAACCACACCGACAGGTCTGTTAATGTGCAATGTACACATCGTCTGTCCCCCTCCCCCCCTATAAGACGTATAACGGCAGAAACTACGTATATCACTAAACCAAGCCTCTGATAATAGAGCGCGCAATCATATGACCCTATAATGACGCAATATAGTCGATGCCTCTGTGCAGTTAGCTACAAATAGGTGGGGGCCATGTGTTTTAACCAATACCGCATAATAACCAGAATGACCTCGCAAAGCACGAGGCGTGTTACTTGGCCACAGAGTGACACCGTTGATTTAAACGGAGAGATGTGGGGATGCGTTAAGGAGATCGAGCGGTGGCGCAGTGGTCGAAACACAACCTGCTACTTGAGTTCGCTTCCCGATCACGGCCAAACACGAATGGCGATCGAGATCCGATCAAGTTCTGGTTACCCGACCTTCACCAACCCGCACAGACCAGCGTGGTGAAGTATGGTCAAACAAGCTCCATGACCACCAACGCAGCATCGGGAGGCATTGGACTGCCATAGGGTTGGGGAGTGCAGTATTACGTTTCTATAATGAAAAATATAATGATTATAGTCACACTCGCTGGTCGCGCGACCCCGTAATGTGTGCGTCACTGCATGCTTGTACTTTGTATTGCGTTTTAAGGCGGTGGATGGCCAGTTGCTGTATAGTGTCACTTTAAAATTGGAGGCTTAGGTTACATGTGAAGGGTGTTCCATTATGTAAACTTTTACCACCACAAAATAAAATGTACCTCCCCCCCCCCGCCCCCGCAAAAAAAACCGAGAGAGAATATTTGTTTTTAATTCATAAATCAACAACGGTAAGATTACACAGGGATCATCCAAAAATAATATTTACACGGCAACTACACTACTTTTTTTTATTTAATGAAATGCAACAATAATTACGGATAAACATAACAAAATATAGCATTTATTTGTATCATACGAAATTAGCACCAGAATATCAGTTTGGTCTGCTAGGCAATTTACAAAGGTTTACAGGCCCACTGGTTAATAAATGATATCAATAGGCGCACTAGAGTCACTGAAGCGGCCAGGTATGCGGCAGGGTTTGTACAAAACGTCCAATAGCAAATCTGTCACAGAACGAGACCGTCCAACGTGATGTTTACAACATACCTTTGACATGTGGAAAGCACACTAATGATTTTTTTGAGATTTTTTTTTAACACATTTTTCACATATATATTTATATATAAGACTCGATAAACAAAACCCTTCCTTTACCTGCATAGTAATATTTCTAATCGATTAAAAAAAAGGTAGCACATCGGCTGGGGCAATGTTTGCGGGGAAATTGAACGGCACCTCTGCAGCGGGGAACACGTGAGAGCCTCTCGCTGGCGCCGACGGATTGTGAGCCGACTCGCCAAGGCCACACAAGCGTCGAGGACGGGCACGCACGAACCGCGACGCCACGGCTGCCCTCGGCAAGCAGACAAAACGGGCTCGCAAGGCGGCGAGCGCGGCTCTTCCGGTGCGCGTTGTCCTTCGGCACGCTGCCCGGCAGACGTTTCGCGCCGCGGCTGCTGGGGAGAGCGCGTCACGAGAGACCGAATCGAGCAGCGGGCATCGTGGGCTCCCAGCGCGCACGGAGCGAAACGTCTTTCGGGAAAGAAGCCGCCGATATTATGTGCGAGCGAAACGTCGGACAACGAGCTCGACGCGACACGCGCAACGACCCGAAGGCGCATCGGAGAGAGCTCGAATGTCGTTCAAAGAAGGCACCAAAAGAGAACGCCAAGTTCCTGCCCGTAGGAGCTCCCTGTGTGCCACTCGGATGTGCCCCGATGAAAGTCAACGCTGCGACACACAGCCTCCCCCCCTCCCCGACCTCATGCTGCTGCTGCCGCCACCGTTTAGGATTGTAATTAAACGCTACGCGTCGTAACGGGTGCAACAACAAAACCGCAGCGACAATAACCCGGCGTCTGTGTCGTATCTGAAAAGAGGTGTTGGGTAAAGCAGATGCCTGCCAAAAGGAGAGGCACACCAATTATCGTGACACAACACGTGTGTGTGTGTGTCAGATTGTAACAGCCTTTGTCAATAAGAAAAAACTTAGTTCTGCTTGTAAAATGGGATTTAAAAAAAAATACAAGATAAAAAGCAAAACGGTAATTATGAAACTAAACTTTCCACTTTTTTGTTTACTCAACAATCTGCCTCGTTGTTACACAGCAAGATTTGTGAACATCTCAAAAGTGCGTAACAATCTACAAAAAAAATATTCCCTTCACAGGCCTGATTTTTTTTCAGCTTTTCTCGATGGCTTTTATTTTATTAATGAACAAGTGTACAAAAAGATACACAGATAAATACTGAACACATTGTAAGTTACACTGAAATAGTGAAGTACATTTATAGTATGCGATAATACTCTTGACTGTTTGCTGCCGACCTAAGTAACGCTAAAATAACGGTGAAAAATGCTTACATTTTTTTTTACAAAAAAGGCACTCGTTTTTTTCTCTAAGGCACAATGAAAGTGGAAATGTGAAAAAAGCTGCATTGCGCATAAATATGTAGGAATTGACATTTCAATCGAGGGAAATTAGTGTGCATTTGTAACACCAAGATGCATTTTATTACACGTATAGGGGGCTATTGGGAGCTGCTGCTTTTGCAACTCTGGGTCACAATACAAAAAAAAACACCCCATCTTGCCAGTTTGTAAGCTGTCGGCGTCCCTATTTGGACGCACATACGTGCACAAATTAAGCCACAATCGGACCTCGTTTCTCCTGTGCCTCATTAGCACATCCGGCACATCCAGGGAACGTTTTGAACATGTTTTTTTTTTTTTAAACTGTCGTGTAAAAAAGCCATTTTTCTATAACATTTAATTTATTTTTCCTTCAGGGTCAAACATGTACAGTTTTTTCCTTATATAATTATTTAAAATTTAAATAACTTGAAAAATGGCAAAAGATTGTGTGGGGGGGGGGGGGGGGGGGAAACTCTGTGTGAAAGACCAGCTACAAACTAGTTTACGTACAGAATTGTTGTTGGGTCTTATCTACCGCTACTGAGATTGTCATTCTTCTGCAAAAGACACCAAAGCGTTGCTCCGAAAAACGCCGTTACATTCAACGGCAAACGTAGCTCTCTTTCATCAAACAACCGATCAAAAACTCCGCTTCAAATTGCAGAGCTCCCATCGAAAGATCCTCTTCAAAATTCACAGGACTGTCTATTGTAATCCACGTTCAAAAGCCTGAGTGATTTTGCTTCAAATTTTGGTAACGGTACAATAATGCCTCGACTTCAAAACATACACTCGGAAGCAAATCCTAGATGCACTGATTCTCATCCATCGACCACCTCAAGTAAAACGGAGGGGGGGGGGGGAACTAAAATCTGAAAATATAAATTGGCTAAATAAAACCCACCGGGGGTTTACATCCAGGCTCCCACGGGTGTCGTTTTAATGCAGTCGCCCCACGGAGGAGCCTACCGTGGCGCTGTGAACACAGCGCCCTGGGGATGTCGACCTGGTATGCATGCGAGGCATTGCTTCCTTGCCTGCATGCCTGCCTGCCTGCCGCTGAACAATTTTCATTTGACTTCACCTAAAAAAAAACAGACGACGCGCGCAATTCGTTTTTTACTTCCCATCATTTTTTCCAAGAATAAATAAATGTGTACGGTCAGAAAAACAATTCAAGGTGGAGATGGCCGAGCGGCTGTTTTAGTAAAATTGGGCATCACAAGACGAGCCCCTCTTAGTCAGCGGCCCACTGTCGTTGTGAAACAGCAGCAGGAGAGGATGCAGACGCTACACCCCCCACTGTCATCATTCACCACAGTGGAGCATAGCCTTTTAAAACATTTCTTTTTTTTCTACGAAGACCTTGGCAGCAATAACTTTAAAACAAAGTACAGTCTAAAAAGATGTGGCCGGCAGACGTTGCTTTTGCTGGCCACAGTGCTACACGCAATATTCCTCAAGCAGACGCTCAGGGGAATCCGACACAGCATTGCTTTATTATTATTCTGTTGAGCACCAATTCTGCGGCTGGCAAGTATATTATAAAAGTTATTCAGATAAGCAGCCCTTCGCGGATAATGGACGTAACAATAAACACGGGAGATCACTTACATATGTGGGACGGGGGGGTGGAGGGTGGGGGGCAAGGGCATAGAGGGCAGTTAATGGGACGCCAAGGTGTGGATGGGGACCATTATTACCGTAGTGATTTATTGTTAAAATAAACAAAACAAAAAAGGGCCCCCCCCCCCACCCCGATTTTCCCGGCAGCACACACTGCCACCTTCCTGTCCTGCTCGAGGGAGCGGAGGTTTACGGGTTCTCAATACTGGCAGCGTTGAAGCATCCCTGCGGCAGGGCGTCCCGGATGTCCTCCAGGTTTTTGATGTCGGCCAGGATGGTGCCGATGTCTCGCTCGTAGTTCTGCAGGGCGCGATCCTGCTGCGCGCCCGCATCCTCCAGCTGCTTGATCTTGTCGGCGAGCTCCTCGTTCGCCATGCGGTCCTGGTTGGCCTTCAGCTCTCGCTCCAGCTCCGCCAGCTTCTCTCCGTCGATGTCTTGCAGCTTGTCTGCACAAGATAACCGGCATTGCGCAACGCATTTACATTTGGAGAGCTTGAGGCTTTCCCCCTCATGCCATTGTTGGTAACCGACACGTGTGCCAAGGTACACCTTCAAGGGTAAGTGCTCCCAAGTGGAAAAAAAACCTGGGTCAAGTTCAGATACCCCGTGCCACTGATGTGTTTCATGTGCAGCCTTTTTTGGCAATTCACTGCTAGATAAAGGGCACCCCCCCCCCCCCCACACCATGTCTGGTGCAGGGAGTTATTTGACAATACTTCACCATGCTGGGTAGTACAGGGTTCAAGGGGTGGTGGACACCAAGGCCTGGTTCATAGATCACTTGCCACTGATATCAGCGCCATGGCCAGGAATAGAGAACTCAAGTCAAGAGGCTTGGGGGCATTAGCACAATACGGTGGATTTTCGTCACTGCACTCTGCTGCCCACAACAAAGCCCTGGGTGAAATCCGCATATAAAGGGTGCTTAAAAAAAAATTAACACTTACATGGGACTATCAGTATTTTTGCAAATTCTCGGAAGTGTTAACATTTTTTTGAAGCGCCCTGTATCATGGTGTTTTCTCGTCAAGCGGCATGAGCGGGGCATGAGGTGCGGCATGAGGGAGGGGGGTGGGAGGGGGCAGCGTTACGAACCGAGCTGCTCCAGGAGCTGCTTGATGCGCTTGAGCGTCTCCCGCACGGTGTTGCGCGCTTTGCGAGCTTTGTCCTCCGCGCTCTGCGCTTGTGTTGTGACCTAGAGTCCAGCACACGCGCACACACACACCGGCATTACAGCACACGCACACACAAAGACAAAGATCCCCCGTATAGCCTTTAACAGACTGTTGGGGTAAGTGCTTTTAACGAGCGCCTATGAAGGCCCGCACGGCACATGAGGGGGTGGGTGGCCAGAACCATGCCCGACCACCTTTGTCTCCCCAGTGGCGATGGTTGCACAATCGTACCAGGTATTCATTTGAAGCTGAATCGACTTAGGGGAGGCCCAGGACAGGTTCAGGTAATCGTCACGGGTGTTGGCTGTGAGAGTTTGTAGCGCAGCGCGCTAATCACTACGCCACCACTACCCACTCCACCATGTGCATAATGCCAGTGAACGCCTAAGTCGTAAACATCTTGAAATTCCAAATTTTCTCCACGAACGAGACTTATGTCTTAAATGGCTAATAAAAGTTTCAACATGTGCATCTGTAAGCAACCTGCAGCTATGCAACAAGATTTACCTTTTTTACCAATGAAAGTGTTTGTGAAAGCATGTCTCAAAAATAAAAGTCTTACGACAACAGAAAAAAAAAACCTGTCATTGTAAAATGTGGGCGAGTGTGTAGGTGAGTGGGGTAAGTGAGTGGATATGTGAGTGGGAATGTGAGTGGGTGAGTAAGTGGATGTGTAACCTGCCTACGATCCATCTTGGGTTTCACCAGGCTGGATTGTGAGAGGAGCTCACAAATCCGCTAAAAATCTGGACACATTCCTATCAGTGAGCTCCTCCAGCAGGCAAGGCTGTGTTGGCAGGGTCATGTAGCCCGCATGCCCATTCACCGCATGCCCAAGCAGCTTCTGTTTGGCAGGATAGAGGGGGCTAAATGGGTGTGGCACGGTTCGCAGAAGCGATGAAGTGATGCGGTACAGGAGGATGGCGAGCTGAGTGGACTTGCCGATGACTGGTACCAGTGGTGTCAAGATCAGCCTCTATGGAGGAGGCTCCTGAAGGTCGCTACTGGGCAGTTGGAGGCAGTCGCCCTCCAACAAAAGTAGAGGGCAGAGAAACGAGGCTCACAACAACGAGCGGAGCACCGGGCAGCTAAAATACAGCAAGTTGGCACAGTGGGGGGGGAAGCACATGTGGTGCGCATCTGCCACTCATCTCAGTCAGTCAACCCGTGGCACCTGGGCCTGTCCCTGTGACCTCTTGTCAGCAACTTCACGTGGCCTCGGAGTGCGCCTGGCCTGGCACAAGCGCCGTGGTGATGTCACCGTCACTAAGTGGCGAATGGCGGCGGTTATTGTTGTTGTTGTGTGGCTGAATGGGTAAGTGAGTGTGTGAGTGTAGTGGGGGGGGGTGGCTCACGTTTGTAGCCATGTCCATGTCTCGAATGGCATCCGCCTGCTTCGTGGCGAGCGTCTCCTCGCCGGCCAACAGCTCGTCCTGCATCTTGGCCATGTCGTCGTTCAGGGCCATCGACTCGCTGAAGAGGCGGCCGGCCTCCTCTTTCACCGCCGCCGAATCCTGCGAACATTAGGGACAGCGACGACGAAAACGATGACGGTGATGCACGTGCACACCCTACCGTGGGGCATCAGCTCATCATCATCGTTGCCGTTGGTCGTCTATCGTCATCATCGTCATGTCTCTCTTGACCACAGCGGGGGTCTTTGGGGGCGACACCACTTTCGCCTACCCTTCGCAGCCTGTGTCAGGCGGTGTGTTGCCTTATCAGTCCGTGTAATCACATTTGATGTCCAATTCATCTGGGATCACCGCTCCCCATTTTTTTCTTTCTGTGGTGGCCCATTTATGATGTTGCATTGTTGCAATTCACAGTTTGACTTAACAAAAAAGTGCTAACTGCAACTTCAGTGGAGAAGCAGCAATCGTGGCACAACATTATCCTCCTTAGCTGAAATTCTTGAAATTATCTAACATTTATAAATGTTAACACAAGATTGGGGGAAATAAATAAATAACCTATCGGGAATTTGCCTCTGGGCGACTGCGTCCGAGAAAACGTGGATCGATCCAATCGGCTCGGAATGTATGCGTGCATGCAGAACTTCTTTCATACCGTACGTAGCCAACCTTGCTCATCGGAGGTGCGAGGGGGGGGAAGGCCACCAAACTAAAAAAAAAATTTTGGCAACTTGCCGGAGCGTGCGGTCCTCCCCGCATCGCGTGCTTGGGCACGAGCTCCCGGTGCAAGCAATGAAGCTTTGCACGCCGCACTGTTGTCATTCCCCCGCGCCTCCGATTAGCGCGGTTGGCTACGTATTGAAAGAACTTCAACATTACATACTTTTATTGATTCCTTCTTCATAGCCTGGGCGTCTGGGCCCCTCGTGACCCGTGTGACCCCCGGTATAGTTTCTTATCCTTCCCCCCACCCCCACTCCCACGCACTTGCAATCAGCACGATTTGCTACGTATCGGTGGGAAAGAACTTCCACGTACGTACAAACGAGCACGCGCGCTACGCCACGCCGTGGCGAGAGAGAGAGAGAGAGGGAGATGGAAGTTGCCGGACGATGGCGGTGGCCGTACCGCCTGCGTCTGGTTGGCTATCCTCTCGGCGTCCTGCGCGATGCGGCGCGCCTGCTTCGCGTCGCGCTCTGCCGAGCCGAGCGCCGCCGTCGTCGCCTGCGTCTTGTTCCGCGCGGCTGCCACCTTGGCCTCGATCTTCGGGATCTTCTTGATGGCCTCCTCCGCCGCCGTCTTGTTGTCGGCCACGCGGCGGTCGAAATCTGTGCCCGGGGAAGAACGTCAATTTTTGTTTTTTATAAAGGTCATTTGAAATGTCGTCGTCGTTATCAGCAGCACGAGCATCACCAGCAGCAGCAGTATATACAAATGAGGTATTGCTATGCGAGCCTGTAATATATTGGCATTGGCATCATCATCATCATCAGCATTAACCGCACTTCTGATTAGCACAGTTGGCTACGTACGGTGCAAAATTATTTCAACGCACATTTACACGACGTCATTCCACGTCGAACAGCCCCCTCATCAATAATCATGAACAGGTGACGTCCTCCAAATGGACACCCCCCCTCCCATTAATAATAATTAGCGGGTGATGTCACTCCACATGGGGGGCGAGGCGCCTCCTCCCCCCTCCTCAGCGTCAACTTACAACCCTCACTACAAAGGCAGAACCCTCACGTCACGTGATCTCCGCTATTGAGACATCAAAGTAAAAAGGACATCATGATGAACAAGGGATTATAACCTTTAAATGAAATAAGTCTGTGTCCACCGCGCCCTTACAAATTGCGCACGAATGGATGCAATGAATATCACGTCGCGGTCTGCTTTTCGCTGGCAAGTTTCAGATTTACTGAAATACACAAGGCCTTGGACGGGCAAAAGGCTAGTCCATAATAAACATCACTGTCAATCACACATGAGGTATTGCAATGCAAGCCTATAATAATTCACCAATGGCATCATCAGTATCACCCATCATCCACATCAGCATTACGGTAAGCTGGACCACAGAGGGTAAGGGGGGTCAGGAGGGGGGTCGTCTCCTCCTTGCGATCGGCGTGAGTGGCGGGAATGCACCTTTGATGTAGTCGAGGATCTCCTTGGCCTCGGCGAGGGTTCGATTCCCGGCGGTGGCCGCCTCGTTGGCCGTGGCGTACGCGGCGTCGGCGCGCGCCAGCAGCTGGTCGGCCGTCTGTGGGTAAGGAAGGAAGGAAAGAAAAGCAGCGGGCGCAGCCCCGGAGGGAGGCGATAAACGACGGGGTGGCGGTGACGGTGCCAAGGGCGGTCGGGCGGGCGCAACGTCCGCCCGTCCTATTCGCCCCGAGGAAATTCGCCTCGATCGATGCGGAGCCTCGCCTTTGCCGGACAAGGATATTTACTTGGTGCTTGGCAAGCAAAGCCGTGGCCATGTTTCTCAGAAGCTACTGCGCGTGTTGTAGAATATTATCCACGGCCCTTTGTCAAATCACCGTTGGCCACAGCGCGCAACCGCACTCCTACGACACCTGGCAAGCCCCGGGGTGGGTCACCAATCCTGGTACCACTTGACCAGGCCCAAAATACCTGCTTAGCGTCTTGAGAGCTGACGAGGCCCAGTGGCGCATTCGGAGGGAGTGATTTTACCATGCCATTCCACTGCTGGATGACGGCCTAATCATGTCATGTCATGCAGGTCGTGGGAATTGCTTGAACATAATTCACCATGCCGACGAATGCGGGTTGGGGAAGTGGGGGGCGCGGGGGGAGTTAAAAAACCCCCACGCCCGACAAGGCAAGGGAAGGCCTTCATCCAGCAGCCAATTGACCAAGCACTGTAAATTATATATATTTTTTTAATGCTTTATATAAATCGCTAGCGTGCGTATCGATGATGTCTGCTGGTTGAGCCAAAATGCTGTTCACTGTTGTGGATGACATCACGAGGGTTTGCCATAACACCGAGCATCCTTTACAGCTTCTGCTTCAAGCATTAACAATGTTAGTTTATTGTCTATTTAGTTACTTAAACATTGAAGACTATTTCACTTTTCTTTAACAGCATCAAATTAATGTCCTTGTCCTCGTGCTTTCTTACGACTTGTAAGAAAGGGCATCGCGTGGCGAAACACAAAACACAATCGAGCGTTTGCTCGCAAACACAACCCCACCACCTGCTTCACTACCGACTAAAAAGTGCCTCGAAAAACCACGCAACACAACGGAAGCAAGCGTTGGATTTAGAGAGAGCGGTTGGCGCAGCTCCCCCCTGAAAGCCGCGAAGCGCACGCATGATTTGGGGCACACAGAGAGAGAGAGATCGCCACGCAGTTCAACCAAGCGGTGAAAGAACGCCACGCGCGGCGTCACGGCGTCACGGCGCTGATCAAGAACACCGGCGGGCAGCCCTACGCGGTGTGGTTCTTGAACGCGGATCGCTTGACTGGAAGAACCCAAGGCAGGAAAAGTCGACAGGAATTCAGCGACACCAAAAAAAAAACTAAGCTACCGAGAGGGCTTCTAATGAGGAGCTCCAAGGCAAAAGGGAAATCAACGTGAAATAAAACGGGACACTTCCACCAGCGCCAGCTTCCCGTTTTTTTTTTTTGCGATTTCCAACAAACCAAGCAGAGCGAGGTGCCAGCAGCGAAGGATGCCGACAGGTCGAGACGGAGCCACCAGGAAAGGCCGCAGCGCCGGTGCGGCGTGGCACCGCGTCTACCTGGCCGTAGATGCGAGCCGAGTCGAGCAGCCTGCGCGCTTGATTGTGGTGCACCTCCGAGCGCTCGATGCACATGTCGGCCATCTCGATGGTGGCGTTGGCGTGGGACGTGACCGCTCGCAGGATCTCGCCCACGCGCTTGTGCTCTTGCTGGTGGTGGTGGGTCGGCCGATTTTGTCATTGGGTACGGTTGTTGGTTTTTTTTCAATCCCGCACCCCCACGGACGATTATCCCGATTGTAATGTTGTCGTTTGTTGTCGTTCGTTGTCGTGACCGAAGACCGCGACACGTGCGAACGACGAAGGTGGTAGGGGGTGGGGGTGGAGTGTTAGGGGGGGTGGCAGCCGTACGGATGGACGGGCAGACGGACGCCATCGTGGGATTGGGGCGTGGGGGAGAGGAGGAGGGGGGGGGGGGAAATCCACAACACAACGGTCGCGTTAGTCACACGGGTCTCGGCGCACGCGCGCGGGCGCTACCTTCTGCTCCTGCAAGCCGCGCTGGAGCAACACGGCGGCCTTCTCCTGCCTGGACCGAGTTTCGTTGAGAAGGTCGTGCAGGTTGGCCTCCTTCTCCCCCGTGCGCTGCATTACCTCCTCCGACTTGGCGCCAATATGCTCGGCCCGCGACTGCGATTCGAGGAGATTAGCGGAGGTGGTTTCGGGGGGAGGGGGGGGGGAAGTACGGTCATCGCTGCTCAAAAAAAACAATGGCGATAGCGGACGGACAACGCGGGGGCCGTGGCTCCTGCGGATGGCGAGTGGAGGTTACGGTGTCCTAGGATCACGTCCGCGCCTCCGTTTCGTGAATGGGTGCGTTCAGAACTGAAGCACACGGTGCATCACTCGGCTGCACGTGGATATGATGGAGGGGTGTGGATTGTTCAGTGTGGGAATATGGGAAAGCGGTGTATGAGACTGTCATTTGACCTCCGGCATGTTGACTTGTGTAGTATAAGCGTGTATGCAGTATGTGTGTGTATTAATTGTGTGTGTGTGTAAAGTATGTGTGTGTACAGTATGTGTATGCAGTATGTGTGCGTGTAGTACGTCAGCACAGGTGGTACATCTGCCAGTCATTTAAGCAAGTCAACTCATAGCACGTGGGTATATCTCGTGACCTCCTGCCAGCGGAGCGCTTCGACACGTCACGTGACATCAAGGTGCACTTAGCTTGGCACAAGCGTCATGCTGACGTCACCTAATGGCGAATGGCGGTTGTTGCCGTTGAACATGGGTCTGTGCAGTGTGTGTGTGCGCGTGCGCTTTGTACGCTCGTGCGAGCTTCTGCGCATATTCTGTGCCTATGGAACAGTCACTCAACCTCCAGCGCAGAGATGTTGACTTGCGGCAAGGCCGCCTTGGCCTGCGTGTACAGGTTGAGGGCAACGTCGCCGACGTCCGTTGCGTTGCTCTGCACTTGGTTCGCGTATTTCTCGAGCTGCGACGTCAAGTTTTTGGCCTCCCTCAGCCTGCGTGATGCGCAAATAAATAAAAAGGCCAAGTAACATTTGACAGAGTAAAGAAAAGGGAAGGTTAGCTCGATTTTAGCAAAAAAACGAAAAAGCAGCTTCGAGTAGCGCTCGTGTGGGCAGCCGGGGGCCATGCGGCTGGGTACCCACTTGGTGGTGAGGTTGAAGGCCTTCTCGCCCAGCTCGTTCTCATCCACCAGGATGCGGGAAAGCAGGTCGAGCGCCGTCTGGGAGGAGTTGAGGGCCATGTTGGCCGTGCCCTCAATCTCAGGAGGCGCCGTTTTTGTGTCTGCCGCACACGAAGGCAAGCGCACGCACGCACGCACAGCGTTAACACACTGGACGACGTTGCGTACGTTATGGGTGTGGTGGTGACATTTCAGCAGCATCGCTCTTGAGCAAGAATATTGCTTGTGCCGCTCTCCTGCTGTGAAATTATACTCTGTGCACTGGGTCACATTCTTATTCTAATTTAAGCAGACGGACAAGGCCTGAGATTTGAACCTAGGATCTCAGCGGTGTGCACTCTGACCAGAGTCACGGATTTTCAAGGATTATTAACAAAAGTCTCTATTCTGATACTCACTCATCGGCAAGCTTCCTCGCTTCATCCACCAACCCCGTCAGGTTGTTTGGGTCCGAAACGTTTCTGGGATCAATCGTCTGCAACAGCAACAACAACAACAAAGATTACGACGTCACATTTTAGCATCATTAGCCCTTTAGGGAGAATACTGATGGTGGTTGGCACAGCACACCAAAGGGCAGTGTGGCCAGCAGCCTACCCGGCTGGCTTTTTCTCACATGTGCTGATATTTACACACCACAACAGGCACACATTTAAGGCCGAGTTTGACCCTGGGAAGGGTCACAACAACAGGTTGAGATATCACTTTGCACACGATGTTAACCGTGCCTGGAAAGTAATGCTAGGTTTGCCAGGTGTTGTTGCGGCAGTGTGCTAAGCACTGCAGCACCATTCCCACAGGACACACACACATTCCACAGCAGCAGGTGGAAAAGATAGGATGACATTGATTACCATGATTATGGTGGTGATGATGATGAATAGGATGACAGAGGAGAAAAACGAGCGATGATGACGATGCTGATGAAGGCGATGATGACAAAGACGATAAAGTAACGGACGAAGGCAACTCACGTAACGTTTATTGACTTTGAGAACGATGGTGATGAAGTTGATCATGACAACGTTGCCTAAAAAGCTGATGAGGATTTCAATGACATTCAATTAAACGATGATAACGATGACAACAACATGATGATGATGATGACGATGCTAACGATAAGCGATCGTAACAATAACGACTACGGTAATAATGATGATCATCATCACGACGTCAGGGACAATGCCATTGTTTGACATGACAACATTGGACAATAGCGACAGCATTGGTGCTGGATGTGCCACACACTGGCTGGCGCTCTAGCCAACTGTCTGGCTCACTGCCTGGCTCACTGGCTGGCTGGCTTCACTGGCTGACTCACTGGCTGGCTGGCTCACTGGCTGGCTAACAGCCTGGTTAGCTGGCTGACTGTCTACCTGCCTGCCTGGCTAACTGGCTGGTTGGCTAACTGGCGGGCTAACTGCCTGCCTACCTAACTGCCTGCCTAACTGGCTGGTTGGCTAAATGGCAGGCTGGCTAAATGCCTGCCTGCCTAACTGCCTACCTAACTGGCTGGTTGCCTAACTAAATGCCTGCCTGCCTAACTGGCTGCCTAACCGGCTGCCTGCCTAACTGGCTGGTTGGCTAACTGGCAGGCTGCCTAACTGGCTGCCTAACTGGCTGGTTGGCTAACTGGCAGGCTGCCTAACTGGCTGCCTAACTGGCTGGTTGGCTAACTGGCAGGCTGCCTAACTGGCTGCCTAACCGGCTGCCTGCCTAACTGGCTGGTTGGCTAACTGGCAGGCTGCCTAACTGGCTGCCTAACTGGCTGGTTGGCTAACTGGCAGGCTGCCTAACTGGCTGCCTAACCGGCTGCCTGCCTAACTGGCTGGTTGGCTAACTGGCAGGCTGCCTAACTGGCTGCCTAACTGGCTGGTTGGCTAACTGGCAGGCTGCCTAACTGGCTGCCTAACTGGCTGGTTGGCTAACTGGCAGGCTGCCTAACTGGCTGCCTAACTGGCTGGTTGGCTAACTGGCTGGTTGGCTAACTGGCAGGCTGCCTAACTGGCTGCCTAACTGGCTGGTTGCCTAACTGGCAGGCTGGCTAAATGCCTGCCTGCCTAACTGGCTGGTTGCCTAACTGGCAGGCTGGCTAACTGCCTGCCTAACTGGATGGTTGCCTAACTGGCTGGCTGCCTAACTGGCTGCCTGGCCAACCGTCCGCCTGGCTGGCCGGCAGCAGCAGCAGCAGGTGGTGCACGCACCACGGTGCTCAGGGCCTTGCGCGCCCGCTCCAGCTGCTGCCGGGCGTCGGCGGCGAGGGCGTCCACGTCGGCGGCGGCGGTGCGGGAGCGGCCGAGGGCGGCGGTGGTGTCGTCCACGCCCTGCCGCACGCGCCGCAGCCGCGTCATCTCCCGCGTCAGCGTCGCGTTGATGTCGGCGAGCCGGTCCAGAAGGCTGTAGTCGGCGTCTGGAATCGAAAGATGGAAATGTGTGGGTGGGGGGGGGGTGGGGGGAGTGGGGTCACGATTCGTGTTCTGTTGGGTCAAAGTCAACAATGGCATTGTGCTTGGCATCATGATGATCATCAGCATTCATAATAAAGTTTTTTTTTTGGGTTAAATCGTGTCAATATAAAATGTGTCGTTAACTCACCACCACACTGTAACAAACCTTACTAATTGGCTGTGTCGGGTGGTGGTGGGTTAATAACATTTATATTTATGTGATCTAACCGAAATAAAAACCTTATCTATGAAAAATATAGGTCTCCAAAGCAACTTGTTGAACTGATCATCATCATTACCTTAACCGTTATTGTTACAAATCGCTATTGTTAGTATTATCATCATCATGACGTTGTCATCTTTAACATAATTTAAGTCATTGTCATCCTCCTTGTCGTCAACATCGTCAACGTTGTCGAAGTCAATAACATTTTCCTGAAGTTTACGTATTTGGTGCAATAGCCACACTGTAATCGGTTTAAAATTTTTGCGACTTGATTTGTATATGTGTATTCTGACCAGCATAGAAATAACCTGCCAGAGCCGACACGCCACAGGGGAATTAATTCTGTGATGATGATTTGTGCTCGTGAAATATTTCAGACTTCTCACGCGACACAGTTGCTTGCTTTTAATTGTTGTTATTTTACGATTTCGGCAGCACGCACCCTGCACGGACTGCACCTCCCACAGCAGCTGCACGACAGCGTCCCCCACCGACTGCAGCCGCTGCTCAAAGTCGCGGTCGTTGATGGCACCGGGGTCACTGCCGATTCCCTCCAGGTAGCGCTCCAGCTCCCGCAGCTTCTCGCGGTGAGAATTCACCTGGGTACGGAGTGGGCAGGGGGGGCGGGGGGCGGGGTACAAGGACGCGGACGACGATAAGAAGGAGGTGGGTGGGTGAGGTGACGAAGTGGCGAGGGGGTGGTGAGAAAGAGGAGGATGAAATAGAAGAGGAGATGGCAGCATGAGGAGGAAAGGGAGGAGAGAGAGGAGGGTGGCAGAGAAAGAGAGAGAATATGGAATGCTACATGCCTCCTGGGCATTACATATGGCAACGTTTTTAGAAAATTACATTGCACAATGTTTTGCTCATTATTATCTTTGGCCCAACTTCGCAGCCTGACTATTAAGTGCTTCTAATAATTTGTGTCGTTTCATTCCCACTGGAGATGAAGCATGGCTGATGATGATTACTCAAAGCAAGCAGAGCTATTACATTTATATTCGTTGATGTCAGCCCTACTTAGGCTTTATCGTGTAATTTTACGTGACGTGTACACTGCGTTAAATGATAATCATCACGGTTATTATGATACGAACCTCGTTTTAACCAAAATTTCATATTTTGGCGATGGCAATCATGGTGACAGTGGGTGTTGATGATTACAGTGGCAGCGATGGTGGCGATGACAGTGGCGGTAGTGGCGATGGCAACAATGGAGGTGGTAATGGTGGTAGTGGTGGCGGTGGTGGTAACAGCGGTGAGCGGTTGTGGAGGTGGTTATGTTGCGCATGGCGATTTCGACAGCAGTAGTTGCAGTCATGGCGGTTGGAATGGCAACAACGGAGGTGGCAATGGCAGTAGTGGTGGCAATGGTGGTGCTGATTTTTGTAACGGAGGTGGTTATATGGTGCCAATGGCGATTATGGTGGTCGTTGTGGCGGTCGCAGCGGTAGTGGGAACGATGTTGGGAAAGGTGACGGTAACGGCGGCGGCGACGGCGGCGTGCGCCTCACCTTGCTCTCCACAAGCGAGTAGCACGGCGGGCACTGCTGGCAGCCCGGGTTGGTGCGGTTGCTGGTAGAAGTTCTCCCCGCACTGGTCGCACCGCACCCCGACCGCGCCGTCCCTGCACGGGCAGTGGCCGCCCTCGTCGCACTGCATGCCCCTGGCTCCGGCAAAGTCACAGTCGCACGCTGCGCCATTCACCGGGAGGCCGCACCAACGGTGGGGGGTGGGGGGGAGGAGGGAGGAGATGACCGCACTCAATCAAAACCCCGACCGGCAGTGGTATCGCTTCCAGTTGAATTGCAGAGTTCGTCGACTCTCCTTGACCGTATGATGGCAGCAGCAATATGTTCAGGAGCGAGATGCCAATGTCAAGGTCTGCTGCTGGTTACAACGAGAGGGCTTCAGCAGAGAGAGACTTCGTGTCGCTTTGCTATTGCCTCCTCCTCCGTTGAAGGATCGCAGACCACAGTTGGTGTACTACATGGTCTATAGTTTGAGTTGCAGGGCCAGTTTGTTGATGGTGTGCAGACATTGCTTCATGAGCTGCAGCTTGCTTGCCGGTTAGTTAAAATTCTTTAAACTTGGCTCTCTCTTGAATAATCTCTTGGCCTCAATGGGCTCTTACCTGCTTATCTATCCATCAAATCACCCAGAATGTGCCAAATCTCAGAATCGAAGCTGCGTTTGAGCCTGGGATAGTGCTTGGATGGATGACAACCATGCACAACAGGTGTTATAGGCTGCAGGGCTACTTGGGAAGCAGTGCAGCAAATTGCATTGTTGTACCGATCTTTTGCTCTCCCACATACGCACCCCCCCCCCCCCACACGTTCACCAACTTGCACGGACCTGTATGGTGAAGTATGGTCGAATAACCCCCACATCCGACGGCATAGCGGGAGAGCTCTAATCTTGCATTGGACTGACCAAAGGAGTGTGCATATACTTCTAACGCCATCCTCCGCTTCGAAACGACGGCCAAATTCGTACACAGAATGCAATTTGACTCTTCGTTATGGCCCGTTGCGTAATTTCCGTTGCATCAATCAAAACAGCCGCAGCGAAGATAACGACGGCGACCGAGCGAGCGTACGTGAGCAGCCCTTGACGGAGAAGCCGAAGTGGTTGGGGGCGCAGACTTCGCAGGCGCGTCCCTCCACGCCGGGCCGGCAATCGCACTGCCCCGTCGTGATGTCGCACTGTCCCCGTCTGGGAGCCCACGGGGTGGCACTCGCACCTGCAGGCACGCGCAGATGCACGTACAGACACGGGGCGACGCACGGAGGAACGCACGGTAAGTGAACGACGGAGAAACGCGCGCGCGAACGACCGCGTCGAGCAACGCATGCAGAGAACGCACCCAATGGGGGGGGGGGGGGGGGGGGGGGATACGCGTGTGGCAAACCACGTGGGAACGCACGGAGGAACGAACAAAATTTACCCATGCAGCAACGCATGCACTTTAGTACTCCAAGAAGCAATGCACGGAAGAGCGCATGCGGTAATGCACGGAGGTGCAAAGACAAACATCCCCCATATAGCCTCTAACAGACTGCTGGGGCGAGTGCTGTTAGCGAGCACCTATGAAGGCCGGAACGGTACACAAGGGGGTGGGTGGCCAGCACCACTTCCGACCGCCTTTGCCTTCCCAGATCCGATGTTTGCACACCGCACCAGGTACTCATTTGTAGCCGAGTCGACCTAGGGGAGGCCCAGGACCGGTTCAGATATTCATCACTTCGGCTCGCCGGGTTCGTAGCGCAGTGACCTAACCACCGAGCCACCGCTCCCCACCGAGACACAGCACGGAGGTGCACACACACACACAGAAATGCATGCTGGACCACACAGGAACACGCGAGAACTCGTGCAAAAATATGCACAGCAACACGCACAGAAACACAAACGAGAAACGCACGCAGGAAAGAAAGGACCCTTAACTTCACTGTACACCGTCGTCACAGCGCGGCAATGCTTTCCTTCGGGATGAAAACAACGGCGATAATTATGGTCATAATCAAGCTATTTTGACGGATAACTTGTCACGACGATGTCTCTTAACGTGTGGTGACACGGAGTCGTTTACGCAAAACTAACTCCCGGCAGCAACCCGACGTCTCAATGAGTTGCACTGTTGAAACGGAGGCGTTTTTACCTTTCCAATCAAAATGAACACAGTGTGGATTAAACCACAGACTGCAGACAAGTCACACATCTTGTTGCCATTACACACTTTCAGGCTGACTTCTAACTCTCACCCAGGAAATCAGCTCGTACCACATCCAAGCTGCCATACCACAGCAGTGAACATTGTTGATACTGATGATGATGACGAGGACAATGACAATGACGATGGTGACACTTAAGATGACGACGATGATGATTAATGGTAGTAATGACGATCGTGATCACATTGAGGAACGATGATGACGACATGTTGGACTACCTCGCCTGGTATGCAGGGGGTCGTGGGTTCAATCCCGACACCGACGCCTGCTGTATATTTGGAGTTTGCGTGTCTCTCTCTCCCCGTGGTCGCGTGGATTTTTCTCCGGGTACTCAGGTTTTTCCCTCCACATTTAGAACCAACATCACGCGTTTAGAGTATTTGGCTGCTCTAAGTTTCCACGTGGTGATGATAAGCCACTTCGATTGTCTATCATTTGTCGCCAAATTGCTTATGAAAAAGAGGTACATAGGTCAGTGGGCCTTACCTGGTAAAATAGTTTATAGTTTTAGTTTAGGGTGGGGAGTGTGGGTGGGTGGGTCGGGGGGGGGCCTCACCGCTTGCAGCCGTTGCCGCTGGCGATGTCGTAGAAGCCAGCCTCGCACTGCCGGCAGTCGCGCTCGGCCACGTGGGGCAGGCAGACGCACTGCCCCGTCACAGGGTTGCACGTGGTCTGCCCCTCCACCGTGCCGAGACGGAAGCATGCGCAGGCTGCACACACGCACGCACGCACACAGATGAAGAGACCCACACCCTCCCCCCCGTGTAGCCTTGAATAGACTGCTGAGGCAAGTGCTGTTAGCGAGTGGCACCGACGGAGGCTGGCACGGCACGCGAGGGGTTGGGGTTGGCCAGCGCACAGCCTTTGTTTTCCGAGTGGCGATGTTTGCACAGCCCCACCAGGTACTCATTTGAGGCGTTGTTGACCTAGGGAAGGCCCCAGCACGGATTCAAATAATCGTCGCTGATGTTGCCCGTGAGCGAAAATTTAAAGAGTTTGTGGGTTCGGAGCGCTGTGCGCTAACCACTCCCTCCGCACGCACACCCAGGCGGCACATCGGCACATATTGATGAATATAACAGCGACAAAGACCCAGCATGTGGCCATCACCGACTGCTCGGTCGAGTGCGGTTACCTACTTACTTGGTGCATTGGTTACAATGACAGTTTGTGGCATGCACAGCCAACGGGCACAGCTGTGTCAACTTCCAACTGTGTTTGTCTCTAGCAGTGCGATCGAATTAAATATCCCATTTGACTGCCGCGCGACGAACATTACTCTGCATATGCAGGACAGGTGCGAGGGCGCCTCCCCTCTATTGCGTGGGCCAGAAGACACGCGTGGTATCCACTTCCGTGGGCCACTCTCTGGTTGGTGGGGGCGGGCGATGAAATCGCTCCGGCACCGGCCACGCGAAGGGAGAGAGAGAGAGAAGCGGGGGGGGGGGGGCGCGGACTCACGCTTGCACTTGTCGGGCAGCGGCGAGCGGGCGTCGCCGTAAAATCCGTCGAGGCAGCGGTCGCAGTAGAAGCCGCCCGTGTTGTAGATGCACTTGAGGCACTCGCCTGTGCGCCGGTCGCAGTTCCCCACCGCGTTGGGGTCGATGTTCTCCGTGCACTCGCACTTGCGGCACGGCCGCGAAGGCCCCTCCTGGCCCGTGGGGTCGCCGAAATAGCCGTCGTCGCACAGCTCGCAGCGCTTGCCTGCACCCGGGGGCGGTGACGACACGAGTCGAGATTTGGTCATTAAAAAAGAAAATCTTTGCTCGGGGTGCTTTCCATCGTCTCGATTTTACACCTTTTTTTTCTCTCCACACCCCCCGCCCCGCCCCACGAAATAAACGTCGAAGCGAGATGCACGAATCACGAGCCCGTGCATCGTAAACACTGCGCTCAGTTTCTCATGCGCACCATTCGATGCGTGTATCACGAGTATACGAATCAATTTTAATCAATGACAATGACCCAGCTCATTGTTACATGCCTAGAGATAAGCCCCCTGCTGCTTTTTCTTCTTCTTCTGCTGATGTAGATGCAGAGCGGCAACGTCACAATCAGGTGGTCGTCGTGCCAGATAAGCCCCTGCTAAATTCAATTAAGCGATGGATGTCCCAGACACAGAGGGTGTGAGAGCGACAACAGAGTGTATGTGTGTACGTGTGTATGTTTGTGTGTACGTGTGTATGTATGTGTGTACGTTGAAGTTCTTTCGCACCGTACGCAGCCAACCGTGCTAATCGGGAGGTGCGATCAGCCTGCAGCAGAAAGCAGATCACTTCATTACTCATTAACAGTCGCTTACATTCTGAGATTTTCAAGACCCGCTTTGGGAACGACGGTTGCCTAGAGGGGGTATGGGGTGGGGGGGGGGGGTTCCATAAACAGCCGCCGTACGACCCGAGAAGCAGGATGGAGCGGGCGGCGGCAGAGTGTCACACCACGTGGTGCAAAAAATAAGAATTAAGCTTTACCGTCTCTGGCAATAAAACAGGAGCTGTTAAGATGTTCCAACGCCATTGACCACCCGTACTTGTGGCAAAACATAGCAAACGAACGTGCTCTGATAATGTCTTTGAAACCGACTGGTCTGTACCAGAGACAGCCTTCATCATGGATACGGAGCAACCAACGATGGGGAACGGTGGGGGGGTAGGGGGAGAGAGGGGGGGGTAGGGGGAGAGAGGGGGGGGTAGGGGGAGAGAGGAGGGGGATCCTCCCCACACGCGCTCACCGGTGGTGCCCTCAGGGCAGCTGGTGCACACCACCTCCCCAGCACGCGGCTCGATGGCGCAGGAGCTGCCCGAGGGGCAGGGGCAGACGGCACAGTCGTCGTCGCTGCCCTGCGTCGCGTCGCCGTAGAAGCCGTCCCGGCACCGCTCGCAGCTGCGGCCCGCCGTGTTGTGCTCGCAGCGGCACTCGCCTGCGCCGCGCGCCGCGGTTCACGAGCGTTAGCGATCCGTTCGGCCGCAGCGGCGTCAGCGCGGCGAATGTCATAACGGGTCGTCGCGAGCGAGTCGCGTGAGCGAGTTGTCCTGTGAGAAGGCGAGCGTGGAGCGGTTGGGTGGCAGTGACCTAAACTAAGGTAAGGCCCACTGAGCAATGAGGCTCTTTTTCAGAAGTTACCTGACCACAAATGATAGCTCAACCAAGTGGCTTACAATGTGGAAATGTATAGCAGCCAAATACTCTAAAGTGGAGGAAAAACCAGAGGACCCGGTAGAAAAATCCAAGCGACCACAAGGAAAACATGCAAACTCCAAATATGCAGGCGTCAAGGTCGAGATCGAACCCACGGCTTACTGCATACCAGGCAAGGCAGGAAACATCTCACCATCGCAAGATGTTATCCTTTCTCTCGGTGGGCCCCCGAGTACATTGGTGGGGTAAAGGCTACATCTGCACGGCTGAAACCAATTTGTCCGCTGGAATGATCGTTGTTAATTTTATTGGCTGTACCAGGGATGATAGAGTCGATCCCCAAAGAGGAATTTTACATCTGCCCTTCCAATTGATAGCATTTATGGACACGTACAGCGTGGATGGTAGCATGCGGCCAGGCAGAGCCGTGCACCTGTTTGGCAAAATTACGTCAAAGAACGGAGTGAGGAGGAGTGGAGACAGATCAGTTGGGTGAAGAAGAAGAGCAGATAAAACAGAACTTGAGGAAGCAGACATGTCCCAAGTCAAAGGATTGTGTGAACTGCCAGCAAAGACCGGGGGTCACGTCGCGATTACCGGTCTCCGGGTGGCAGGTCGCACTGTGGCTGTGGCAGGCACACGGCACGCAGCTGCTGAAGGGCCCCTTGCTGGGTTCCTCCCGGGTGAACCCGGGCGCGCACGACTCGCAGAATTGGCCCTGGTACCCAGGCGGGCACGAGCAGCGCTCCACCCACGGCGCAGGGGGCCCAGGCCCCCGCCGTGCGCTCGTCAGCGAAATGCCCTGCAGGTGGCCCGCGTCTGTGCGCCACGCAGACAGGAGAAACGGACAGCACAAGGGGGATGGTTTTTTTTTTCCCGTTCGTTTCTTTTAATCTCCTCCAAACCCACGATGCTCCATGTGCGTGGAAGAATAACGGCGTCCACGAGCCAGTTCTTCGCCTGGGAAAATGCTCACCGAGTCTCAAGATACATTTCTTTTTCAGGAGAGGGTCCTGCATTGGCGTCGTTTTGTATGTAGACAAAAGACGGAAAAATAATATGGACAGTAGACAACCACAAAAACGTACTTGCTCTACTGCACCACCTCGTTGCACAGCGGGCGGTTTCCTAACGTACACCGTAGCTCTAATCCAGGGCTTAATTACTCGCAAAAACTATTGAAGTAGGCATGTCACTAATAGCCACTGCCATAGCGATATGTATACTGGATGTGGTGTGCCGGGTCCAGAAATATGATTTTTGGGTCTCTGACACAGACCCGGCTGGAATGAGGGACCACCGCCCATATCGGTGTGTGAATTACCATCCCTGCCACCCAATTAATATAATTTTGGGCACGGCCCACCAAATACAAACACATGCAAAGCATGCAAAAGGAAAAGACAAAATGCCCTATTTATCCACCGGCCTAGAGAGACAGTAAAACCCTCTCCATCTGCGAGGGTTTATGTTCTTGAAAATGTTCACGAATGCAGAATTTTCCGAAAGACCAACTGACACAGGGAATGCGGCGGAGGACTTAATGTTTTTATTTTTACGTCAGGACTCACTCTGGGCATTGTAGGTGCCACGAATTTTGACGGACGTGAGGTTAGACAGGAGGCGCTGGAACTCGGTGGTGGTCAGCTGTGGACGCCATGGGTACTCAGCAACCTCGTGCAGCCTGAAAACACACAATATAAAGATCACACACACACACACCAAGAGAACACCACAACACAGAGATCCCATTTGATGATATGAAGTCACTCCTGTGACTTCTTCCTCGCCCCCCTCACGTTGCTACGATCCTACGGAGATTTCCGCTTGCATTCTACTCTCCTCTCTGCCGTAGGCGGGGCTTAAATCCTCGCCGAATAGAATTTCTAGACCGCCGGTAGAATGGAGCTCGTAGCGCGTGACTGGTATGCACGGCCCATAGCGAGAGGTACGCTGGATGTGGGGTGTTCCATGCTCGCCGAAATTTTCTGGACAGATCTATCTAAAATTGAGCCCAGCCTTGCATCTCCCCCAGGATTGACGGGTCACACGCTGTCAAACAGAGATATAACCCCACAGCGTCGGGTGGGCTGAAAGGAGCTGAAAGGGGCTGAAAGGGGCTGAAAGGGGCTGAAAGGGGCTAAGCCCCCCCCCCCCCCACCCCTCCATCTAAATTAAAATGTTGGTACAAAACATCGACCGGAGCCAAAATCTGTAGCAGAATACATGACAAAGGCAGATCGTATCATCACTCCTACCGCGTTTTTTTTAACATTTGCCTTAAGTTAATTCGACGTTGAATGTGGCAACATTCCCCGCCCCCCACCACACCTCCTTTAAACCGAGGTCACGGCGATGCGGCGGCAGAGGGACTCACAGGAAGTGGTAGGTCTGGGCTTCTTCCGTGGGGTAGGAGTTCCCCTGCGCGATGAGCGGAACCGACACGCGCAGCTCCGCACCCTCGAGCACCAGGTCCTCGGCCGAGAGGCGCACGTCGCGGTTGTCCACGCGGAACTTGAACGTCAGGTTCTGGCCGTAGCTCAGGAGCTGGTTCCCCAGGAATTTGTCTGCAGAACAAAATGGGATAATGATCATGATGGTGATGGCGAAAAATCCGACAGCGTTGTCACATTAGAAGCCATTAATTACTACAGCGACGCTAAACAAGAAACGAAAACATTGAACATCACCATTGGAACCTCATTTGCCAGTCAAAAATATGATAATTGGTTTTTTATCCTTCCATCTGGCAACAAAACTGACACCTTTTTTTTTACAAGGAGTCATGTTTACATAGACCACAATACCTGCAGTCGTAATGCAAACAAAAAATATAACTCTGATAATGTATGCACTGTCCTTGAAGTTGATTGGTCCATACCCGAGACAGCTTTCCTTAGAGCCTAGTCTCATATGGCTTTTGACGTGCGATGCCAAGGACTGTTCCAGGCACAGGAGGCCGGCAATGTCAAAGTTGCGGTCGCAAAACATTCATTTGATGGAAACACGCAGCTCACCGGATCGATGTCAGGGTGTTGTGCAACATTAATCAGTTTACTGTGCTAGTGCATCGGCTGCCTGCCACCGATTCGAACTGCCCCTGAAAAATAACGAAGGCCTGTTTTAACGGTTAGTGACAGCCAAATGTATCAAATTGTCAAGCTGTATTTTGACACAAATAAAATCAGCCACGGTGGCGCCATTGACGTCGTCTTGCAACTGCAGGCCAGGTTGCACAGTAGCAACAACCCCTTCCTAGATGTTGTTATTGAGTTGAAAGCGGAATGACAGACGGACGGACATCTTTTAACACATCAATAGTAGTATGATTTGAAAAGTATCACAATTTGGCCATTCATCAATAGTTTTTTGCTTTTTTTGTTTCGTTGCTTTTTAAGTTTAGTTTGTTGTCCCCCCCCCCCTCCCGCACCTCCGATTAGCACGATTGGCTACGTATAGTGCGAAAGAAGTTCAACATACAAATACATACGTAGCTGTCTCTGTAGCGAGCAATCACAACCAACCAATGGTTCAATTAAACCCAGCTCTGCTAATCCGGTCACGTCCTCTCAAAAAACAAACCTGCCAATTGGAAAGGCAGATTTTTTTGCATATTTTTGGTCTACTTCTACTGCCGTTGGTTCTCGAGTCATAACGCAGTGTGGCAAAAAACACATTTCCATAAAATCGCTAAGTCATCTAACGGACAAAGCTTTCGGTTCCTTTCGGGAGGGGGGGGGGGCACAGATGCACGAACGCACCGGCAGCCAAGAAGTAGATGGGATAGAAATCCTCCGAGGAGACGGAGAGCTCTCCCGCGGCGGAGTTCCACGTCAGCTGGAAGGCGTTGCCGTCGCGCTCCTCCGCGAGCCACCCGTCCTGACCTGGGCGGCAACAGAGGGCGGCCAACCGAGCGACGATGACGTCAATAAAACACAAACGAAAGAACTGAATTCCATTTTTTTTTTTCAAAAAAGCGCTATCCCGTCACAGCGCGTTGCGTAGCTTGCTCGATCCGACGACGCCGTTCGCACGAGACGATCCCAACGCAGCCGAGTCAGCCGATGGGGGAGGGAGGGAGGGGGGGTGAGGGATGGGGGAGGTGAGGGCCGACAGCCCCTCGAATTACATTTTTAAGAGGAAACAATCTCGTTCCTCTAAGGTGTGACATCAACAGGAGGGGGGGTTGGTAGAGAGCTTAGTAGCGCGTGCTTTTAGACAGTCAACACTGTTGAGATACAGTCGAGCGATGGTTATTGTTACTGAACGGGAAGGTGTTGGTTGTTGCTTCCAAAGTTGTTTAATTAAGACTAATTCACGGTTTCGTTACTTATCATCAGGAGACTTTAAAACGACTTCACGAGTAAGACACCGAGGAACAAAGAAAAATAATCAGAGGCAATAACAGAGGCAATAATGGTAAAATCAGCTGGTTAATAAAATGTGTGATTTTAATTACATTTTATATTTATTGAGGAATAAATTGCCTTTAAACGATGAACACAACTCATTAAGTAATCAATGACTGTAAGGCATGACAGCTTCTTCGGTCATTATTTTTCTAAAATAATAAATTTCCTAAGATAATCATTATTTTCCTAACATAATGACATTGAGATACTCTAGAAATCAGTTACAGACTTGTACACCGGAAGACCTCTGCAGATGATCACTGATGCAGATATATTTTTTATTAACGGCACAATAAAAAAAAATTAATTGACTGACATGTCACACCACCGTATTTAGCATTACCAATTGGTAACGATGACCCCTTTTGCCAAGCCAATGCTTCACCATACTGGTCAATGCGGGTAAAAATAAAAGGGTGGCCTCTGGACTGGTACAGATATCACTTGCTACCGATGGTAGGCATGACTGCAAATCAAAATCAGGCTACTGGGTTTAGAATGCACATTGCGCAAACACCGCACCACCTCTCTCCCCAAGGCTCTGTTAAGAGGCCTCAAGTTATACCGATGCAACTTCCGACATCTCGTTACTTCCTGCAATAAGAAGGTAAAAGGTGCAGCCATGAAATTTCTTGTTTACGCCTCGGCCTCGGCAAGGTAAGGTAATTGTACCCTTTTTACCAGGTAAAAGGGTAAAAGTGTCGACATGCCAAGGGGTAAGGGTAGGGTAAAAGGTAGGCTCGTTGCTTTTTACCTTTTACCTTACCTGCTAAAGGGTAAAAGGTAGGGTAAAGGTAGGCTCGTTGTTTTTACACTTTTACCTTACCTTGCCGAGGCCTATTTACGCCACTTGCTGGCAGAATGACATCCACTAGAGAGAGAGCTCCAGAGGGCCCCCTCACTCGAGGGAATTTTGGCCAACTCTTTGCAAACTGACCAGATGTCTTAAAATGTACCCACACTTTTCCCCACCGCGGACAATCTGCCGATGGTGATGTATCCAATTTACGCTACTGGGTAGGCAGAGGCGAGGACATTTAAGAAACCTGTTCCGCTGTTTCAACTGTCGCGTGGGGAGACCCAGGGTGCCGACACCCGTTTTCACCACGGTGGCATTGAATCCCTCCCCCACATCAGCCATGAAAGTCGTGGCACGAGGCTGAGTGTGCTCACCGGCGTGGAAGTCGGAGGAGATGGTGTGGAGGGAGTGATCCTGGGCGCTGGAGCACACCGACGAGTGTCCGTAGCAGAAGCACGCCGTGCAGCCCTTGCGGTTCAGCGCGTTGAGGTTAAAGAAGCCAGGCTTGCAGCTGGGAAGGCAGGGGACAAGCGTGCCGGAATGGCTCGCGTTAAAAATCGCAGCTCGCCAACGGTGACATTGGTAAGAATCTCGTGTAACTGTAGTGTAAAGTTAACGTCAATATTTCCGTGCATTGACGTTTCGTTCATTTATTAATTGTTGTAGTTGTATTCTTGGGTCTTTCGGTAAAGTCATGTAGATAGGTTTGTTATTTTCTTTGAACCTATCTACGTGACTTTACCGAAAGACCCAAGAATATGAATTCCTGCAGTCACGAAAGCTTTAAGTCAATGTTGTACATGTTTTAACTCTGGCTTTTGACACTCTTGCAACCAAGACTCATCAACTAATCTCTTGAGTGGTCAAATCAAGGGATTTCGGAGGACGTTTGCCATCTCATCCAATTCATTGAGACAGTTTTACTCGACATTGGCAACCAAGAAAAGGCAGGAATCGAATCAAATGGGGGGCGAGGACCTTTGCCTACCAGTGAGAAGTTACAGGCCGATGACAACAACAACAACAACAGATGGCGGAACAACGACGTTCGTCTGCAGCCGACACCAGCCCAGCAACTGGTGCCGCCCGGAGGAGGCCGGGGGGACAGGCGTTGAGCGCGTGCGAGTGGCAGAGGTCGCAACCGGGTACCCGATACCCGTACCCTACCCGATACCCGGCTACACGTACCCGGCCGGGTACGGGTACCCGTTTGCGACCCTGGTGTGGCCGGGTACGGGTACGGGTAAAGAATCAAAACCCGTTTGCGACCTCTGGCGAGTGGTGGGTTTGCGCCCCTGCCGCCGCGCGCCGTCACCTGTCGCAGTTGTAGCCTTCCACGTTGTCCTTGCACACGCAGCGCCCCGTGTCGGGCTGGCATTCCTCCAGGGTGCCCGCCGGGTTGCACGTGCATGGCCTGCGTTGCGCGCACAAACAGCGAGCGAGCGTTCTCCCGAGAGTCCGCCGAGACGCGTCTGGTATAGGCGTACGCGTTGCGATCACGGTTGTGACCCCCCCTGAACATCCTTCGGTTAGGCCATAAGTTCACAGTCACGGATAATTTAACCCAACTACAAAAAGACGTATAAAAAACAAGGACCACCCGAATTCGTATGGTATAGTATGGCCACATCATTACCGGCTTTAGTCAGGGACAGTCCTGGTTTTCAGAAAGGCCGGGTGTCCCCTGCATGAAGCGTTTGCCAAATGTCCGATTTTTCTTTCCCCAGCTGACAACAAAACAGGTGGGGGTGTCCTCTATCACAGCTCCCTTTTCTTACATTCGGAAGTTGTCCCACCACCCCCCCCCCCCCCCCCCCCCCCCCGTGACGTAGCATGGCTTGCATTGGCCCTGGTGCAATGAATTAAATGGGCCCCCCCCCCACCGCTGTCTCATTTACCACCACCCTCCCCCCTTTCTTTGTAGCCCAGCGCCTGCGCCCTGGTGCAGCAGCAGCACCACCTGCACGCTCAACAGCCACGCGCCACTGGTCCCCCCCCCCAACCCCCACGAGCAAACCGTGTCCTCCGCGCTCACCTGCATCCGGCCTCGTCCATGGAGTGGAAGCCCGGCAAGCACTGGTCGCACCGCTCGCCAATCACGCCCTGCTTGCAGCTGCAGCGGCCCTGCTCGTCGCACTGACGGCTGTACGAGCCTGCGGCGGCAGTGACGGCGACGTGGACATTAAATGGAATCCGCCCTTCTCGCGGCTGGTAAGCCCACTAGCTTCGCGAGTGGAAATTAAAATAGAGGACCCGGTGTGCGATCGTGGAAACGCCGACCAGGCCGTCGACAACGTAGGAGTGAATTCGCCGTGAAACTCTAAATATTCTACGGGAGGCACTAAGGCAATCAAGCACACGTGCACCTACTAAATCATCTGCACAAACTTGTAATTCACAATTCATTGATTCTCAAAAGCAAATTTCAGTATGGTTCTGCAGTGGTATGTTTGGCCAATTCCATTCACGAGCGTTTGGGTTCACATTGGGATGATTTTCAGCCCTGCTTAACGTCCGACACCAAACAAAATTGGGCACAAATTCAAGATAATTTGATTACTTTGGTCAACATTGAATTAGCAGCACCCCATTGCCTCCATCGTTACTATTGCCACGACGAAGGATGTTTCGTTTTGCGGATGCCAACGATGATGATGCCCACGACGCCGATGAACCACCCGCCTCCGTTCGACGCCTTACCCACGGGGTTGCAGTTGCAGGGGAGGCAGTGCTCGCTGGCGCTCCTCCGGTAGAAGTTCTCGAGGCATCGCTCGCAGTTCTTGCCGTCCGTGTTGTCCCTGCAGTTGGTGCAGTGTCCGCCGTGGCCCGTGGCGCGGTACAGCTCGGGGTCGAAGTAGCACTCGTCCGCACGGCCATTACAGTCGCACACTGCACGGGGGGAACCATGAGCACTCGTCGTGAGAAGACGGTAGACATACATGGATAATAAGAACAATCGTCATCATGATAAACATAATAAAACACAAAATCTACTGTGCGAATATTTCACGAATCTGACGCATTGTTCGATCGAAAGCGCCGACGCGCGGTGCCAGGGCTCAAAGTTCCTCATGTGTCAGCCTAACCAGGTGAGAACCTGGACAGGTGAGAGATTTGAACTGTCGCTTGAAGGTGGACGGCGCTTTGATGCTGCGAATGTGCGGCGGGAGAGAGCTCCAGGGATGCTGCCATGGTGTAACGGTTAACGCACTGGATTTGAAATCTAGAGGTCACCAGACTTCATCTCGCGGAGTGGGCAGTCGAAGCAAAAATCTGAACATTTGTTCGTAAATGCCCGCTAGTCTCTGAACGCTGCACTCCCAGTGCCCTGATCCCCAACACAGAGAGAGCTCGTACGGAAGAGCGCAGCCTGCTGAGAGAAATACTGCGAGCACAAATGGGCTCCCGGAATCAAGGCTCGTGGAAATGAGGGATTATGGGACTTTACGGAATACAAGAGGTGCGGGAACAATACCCATCGGTCACGCCGTGCAGCGACAACGCCAAAGCTTAAAATTACTTCCCGCCACATCGAGTCTTTATGGTCTCTGCTGAGCGAATGTAATAGAAAAAATAAAATCTACACAAAGCGTTTATGCAGGTAGGGTACCTCCTCACTCCAGGAATACTTCCGAGTGCCCCGGTCAGCCAAACCAAACCTGTTATTTACCACGGTCCCCGACGTCGCTCAACTCCGCGGCACATTAACAACAAGTTTCAACTTAGATCTCTCTGCGGGCCGGGCCTCCGCACAGCGGCGTAACACTGCGTCGCCTCGGCGAGGCAAAAAACATGGACCCTTTACCTCGCCGCAGTCCTCCCTCCCAGCAGATAATGCCGTCGCCCCGGCAGCGGAATGCCGAGCCGAACGCGAACGCAACGAGGGCCGGGCTCAGGATCCACCCGCGTGGGCCCGTGGCGGTCACAGGGTGGCCCCACGCTATACCGCCCGCGTACGAGTATCGGAGGCCCGCCCACCAACGCGTATCGGAGGCCCGCGGGAGGGTTGGGGGCGGGGGAGGTGACCCCCGAGTGCGTTGGCCGCCAGTCAACGGGAGGTAGCCATTTGTAGCGCAATCCTGGGAAACGCGTCGAGGTGCGCATGACCGCGCGGGTGAGCGCGCGCCGCCGATGCGAACGGCGGGATGAGGGCTTCGCGGTTCCATCCTTTATTTATTTGCCCATTAAAATAAAGCCGGAGGCCGACGGCGCCACGAACCGTCACGTCCCCAAAAATAATTTGTTTTTGCTTGTTTATGTTTTATGGCTTGACCCCATAATACTGACAACAAAGAGGCAGATCTTTCAAACTCTTCCCGTTAAAACTACTTAGAGGGTGCTAAAAGGCGACCATGAGGCAATGAATGTTCAATAATTAAACCAGAAAAAAAGGATTACATTTTTAAAATGTGTGTATATGTGTGTGTATGTGTGGGTGCGTGTGTGTGTGTGTGTATGTTTGGGTGCGTGTGTGTGTATATGCATGTGTGGGTGTGTATGTATGGGTGCGTGTCTGTGTGTGTGCACAGAGCAAAACGCCCGTGACATCTGTTGCAATAGCTGGAGGGGGGTAGAGATGTCTCAAAACAAACGTCCCAAAAATGTCTAAAATAAATAAAATAACAATCGCGACCGCTCCAGGCGAAGATGTTGCTGATACGCGAGGCAGGGGGCCAAGGTCTCCAGAAGAAACGCGCGCTCGCCGTCCCAGCCGCAGCCGCTATCGTCGTCACGGTTATCGTCGTCATCGTCACGGATATATCGCCTACGTCGCGGTCATCATCGCCGTCGTCGTCGTCGTCGCCATCGCCACCGTCACTGTCGTCACTGTCGTCACAGCCGACACCGCCGTCATCGCCATCGTCACCGCCATCGTTACCGTCGCCGCCGTCGCCGCCATCGTCGTCGTCACCATCATCGTCACCATCATTGTCACCGTCGTCGTCACCGTCGTCGTCACCGTCGTTACCATCGCCATCGTCGCCATCGTCGCCGTCACCGTCGTCGTCACCGTCGTCACCATCGTCACCATCATCGTCGTCGCCATCGTCGTCGTCACCATCCTCGTCATCACTGCCGTCACCGTCGTCACCACCATCGTTACCGTCGTCGTCACCGTCGTCGTCACCGTCGTCACCATCGTCACCATCGTCACCATCGTCACCATCGTCGTCGTCACCATCATCGTCATCACCGCCGTCACCGTCGTCGCCGCCGCCATTGCGAGTGGCAACGCCGGCATCGTGCGGCAAGACGCGGCCCACCACCGCTCAGGGGTCCCTTTGCTCTGACGCAAGTTGAACTTGTATAGCTCATCTAGTTTGTTGTCCTTCCCCGCACCTCCGATTAGCACGGTTGGCTACGTACGGTGCGAAAGAAGTTCAACATACACACATACACTCACCACAGTCTGGCAGCAGCAGATTGCACAGCAACAAGTTACGGTGTTCCACGAAGCCCATATCCTTGGCCTGCTAAGTGTACTCAATAATTTTCAAACTCACTTTTTTATTTTACTTTCCACAAGAGCGCAGAAATGTGGTTACCACATCTACACCTCTATACAAGGAACGAAACAGGTGGACTTCTCCACAAATCTGGCTGTCGCCTGATGAAGCTAGTTGCAATTACTGGCGAAACGTCGTACTCAGATTGTAAATGTTGCGGCTTGGCTCTCCAACACACCGGTGTGCTGTACTCGTGTCGAATTGGCCACGTTCTGTTTACGTGACGACCCTTACTAGTTGGCTGTGTCGGGTGGTGGCGGGTTTTAACGACATATCTATATATTTACGCGATATAACCCAAAAGACCTATTATGGATTATTTTACTGTGCTATTAGCTCTTTTTCAAAAGCAACCTGGCCACAAATGATAGCTCAACAAAGTGGTTCATCACGTGGAAATTATGTATTTTATTTATAGTCATCGGTTTACCTTTACTAGACTTTGCACTTCTATCGTTTGTTTGTGTTGTGTAGTTGTTGTAGCTTTCCTGAACCGCCCTTAGTTGACATCTGTGAAAAAGAGCTTCATATAGCTCATGGGATTTCTCCAGTATAAATAAATATTTTGCAGCTATCCTCGCTAAAAACGCACCTAAAAACTAAACGCATCTTCCTGATCATGCGATCATTGGTAAAAAAAAAATCTGATTCCGTTGACCCCAAAATAATCTACATTCGGTTGTTTTATATCAATTACTTGGCATGCCAAATAACGGCGATGCTAAAACGATAAATTTTTCGAAATGCTTTTCAACTAATGTTGAAAGCATTTCGATTTCTGTAACGCATGGGGGGCGGGCAGGGGGGCAGCCACGCTCGTAAACGTGATCGAATTTGAACCAACTTGTACAGCTAGTATTGCTATTCGGTACTTACCCTATTAAATAGTGGCCAGATTAATATAAGGGTTGTGCAAAGATAGGGAGACAGGGAGACCCCAAACAAGAGCAAAAAGGAGTATTTGCAAATATGGAAACGTCGGCTCACAGCCTTTCACAATCTCGAGCAGCGCACCCTACGGCTGAGCCACCTGACCGGACTGAGATGAAAAGTCAGCGACGTAAGGCGTGTGGGGTTTTTTTGGTCATTGGTGGCCTGGGCTGAGACCATATAACCCGTTACACATTTGAGGACGTAGGTTCATCACGGATGGCTCAAATCCAAATTCAAACCCAAAAACTCAGCAGTGTCTAAGTCAGTGTTCTGAGCCACGCACCCGACACCGAGACATCAACGTATTATTTCTCATCAGTCAAGTCTAGAACACACACGCATGTACGTAGCCAATGCCGAGGGGAAAACGACAAACGACGAGTATTCTAGACAGCCACATAATAAGCACAATCTGAAAGTGCGCGATGCAGTGCCCACAAAACCACCAAATAGTTTGCTCTTTTGCGTGAGCCTTCCAGGGCATCGTGACCCTTTAGAAATCCGTCCCCAGAAGGTGTGGCCGGGGTGGCTGTGGCTGTGTGCGGCAGCTGGGTGGGGTGGGGTTAGGTAAGAGGGAGGGCGTCCCACTCACGCGTGCACTCGTTGGCGCTTTCCGAGGTGGCGCGGTGCCACGGCCGGTCGTTGTAGAGCGGCAGACACTTCTCACAGTCGGCGCCCATCGTGTTGTGCCGGCACTTGCAGGCCAGCACGCCCAGCTCGTTCTTCACGCACTCGCTGGCGTGCCCGTTGCATTTGCACCTGCCGGGCGCGGGCGGGCACGTGGTTTACTTTGCGAGCGGCAATAATAATTAAAACGAATTACCAAACAGAATGCTCGTTTTGTAATTCGTATATCACATTTAACACACAAAAAAACTCGCCGAAACAACAAAGATAATTGACAACAGAAGGTTTAAGCACTGGGCATTGGCGGTGGCAAAACAATAAATGGAAGCAACCGAACATGCAAAGAGGAGCCCCCATAACTACGACAGCCCTGGGTCCCTCGTCAAACTTAGCTTGGCCGTTTAGATAGGACACGATATCCACGGAGCTATAGAGCTCTCTTTCAGAAGCGACTTGGCCATCACTAATGAAAGTTCAACCAAGTGGCTTATCATGTGGATATGTAGAGCAGCCAAATACTCTGAATGCATGTCGAGTCTAAATGTGGAGGGACCCACTAACCGCCCTCCCTATCACCCATCCCTATTCACCATATCACTTTTAATTACCCTAATTGTACCACTCATAACACTTGTCAAGCGCCTTGGATAAAAGCGCTATATAAATATAAGATAAGAAAGATTGAAAACCGGAGGACCCGGAGAAAAATCCACACGACCACCAGGGAGAGACACACGCAAACTACAAATATACAGTAGGCGTCAGGGATCGAACCCACGAGACCTCCTACATACCAGGCGAGGTAGTTAACATTTCTCCACCGTGACGGGGCAAAAGCCACCTCTCGATTGGGATGGTACGAACCTGCCGCCGACAGCGAAGTCGGAGATGGCGTAGTAGTAGGAGCGCAGCACCTTGTGGTCGTTGAACACCTCGTCCCCGAAGGTGTTGAGGCGGTTGAGGGTCACGCGGATTTCCGTGGACGACACCCAATCCTGCGGCGGGCAAGACAACGAGGCGAGGTCACAAGGCCGTGTGCGATCGCACGAGCCTCGGCCGTCCATCCAGCAGCGGCATCGCACGGCTTGCCCACGTCTTGCGAGCGGCGCGGCGCGATAGAATGAATGCCGGCGTGGAGAATAGGCTGCTACCTCTGGAGGTACTTTACACACCGGCCACTTATCAGTATCTCACGACGCTGGAGAAGGTGAGGAACTGAAAGGTCAATGCAGTGTTGTCTTGAGCGGCGTATTATTACGCCAATCGACAAAAACTGAACTTTTAAATGTCACAGGAATAATATGCTGTGCAGTATTTCCCAAGATAACTACCTAAAATAAAGATGATCCTGGGAAAACCAAAACAGGTGACTTTTTTGGAAGATTTGCTGGTTTATCCAGGATGTTTCTGTTTGCGCGTCGTCGCTTTAAGATGTTCTTTGTTCTATTTTGTTTGTTGTGGTTGCACCCGACTCAAGAGCCGCATGGCTCACTGGGCTATACCTAATAAATGAAACTTGAAATAAATAAAAGTTGAAACGTACACGGGTATGGATCGGTCTGTCTGGCAATGACCAGTGGCCTTGGTAAGTGGCCACTATATACGTGCACGCGTTTTCACCGTGCAATTAACGTGAAAGCAAAAGATAGGAACCGATGACATCAGATACAAATCTGTCGCTCCATTGGAACCTCATTTGCCAGTAAAAAATATAATTGTTTTTTTACCCTTCATCTGGCAACAAAACTGACACCTTTTTTACAAGGAGTCATGTTTGCATAGACCACAATACCTGCAGTCATTGTGCGCCGTTTGGCGTCATCTGGTCCAACACCATGTGAGACTAGGTTGTAAGAAAAGCTGTCTCGGGTGTGGACCAATCAACTTCAAGGACAGTGCATACATTATCAGAGTTAATTTTTTGTTTGCATTATGACTGCAGGTATTGTGGTCTATGCAAACATGACTCGTTGTAAAAAAGGTGTCAGTTTTGTTGCCAGATAGAAGGGTAAAAAACCAATTATCAAATCTGTCGCTGTGACAAGAAGCGTGAATCATCGCACGCCAACGGATAACCTCGCAGCATCGACAGCGGTGCCGACACAAGCTGGTTTTCGCTTTGAAAAGCCTCGTTTTTTTTGCTTTTGGACACCAGGTCGTCACGCACCGCATCGGCCTCCAGGTGACAGGGCCCACGCGTGTGAGCAACGATCTGGTGAAAGCTCCGCGTGTGCATTAGAGGTGTGAAATAAAAACAGGAAGTTGGGTTGCCCCCATCGCGGAGATCTCTTCACGTTTCACCGAGCAGAGCGTGACCGATAGGTGGCAGCCTAACCCTTTGTCCAGCCAGCACGAACAATTTCGATGTTCATCATCATCTTTTTTTAATGACCTTCAGAAATTGAATGGAGATGTTTATTTTGTCGCCGTTGTAAAAATGTAAAACGAATTTCTATGTTACGGATTTTGTTTGTGTCGAGTACGTTGTCCTTCCCCCGCACCTCCGATTAGCAAGTTTGGCTACGTACGGTACAAAAGAAGTCCAACATAAATGCAACATATTATCACGTACACTGCAATGGAATTCGGATTTGTGCAACGTGTAAATGCAACTGCATCTCAAGACGCCGTGCAAAACAGTAAAACACGTTCATCACGGGGAACAACGCTTATATTAAATTTCGATTTAAAGCTTTCGTGACTGCAGGGATTCATCTTCTTGGTTCTTTCGGTAAAGTCACGTAGAAGGGAAATAACAAAATAATAAAAATAAAACATAATAAGATAATTCTCACGACGTTTCGGCCACAACGCAAGCAGCCATCCTCAGGTGAAGAACATTCAGTCACTGTCTTCCCGACAGACCTGTTCTTCACCTGAGGACGGCTGCTTGCGTTGTGGCCGAAACGTCGTGAGAATTATTTTATTATGTTTATTTTTATTATTTTATTATTTCCCTTCTACGTGACTTTACCGAAAGAACCAAGAAGATGAACGCTTATATTGCATATTTATATTTAACGTATACATTTAAGATGACAGTCATTAGGCGGAGGAGAGAAGGGGGACACAGTCTTGGGCCTGGACTTGAACAAGGGGCAGGGGGGGGGGGGGGAGTCAAGAGCATGGGCAGCTGGGGACAAATCGTTCGAAAGTACGGAGGCAGCAGAGGAGAAGCGACCTCACAACGAGCGAGGGAAGCACCGAGGGCGAGCGATGAAGAAGCAGAACGAGACAAGAGAGGAGAGAGGGAGGAAGGGACGATTCTACGTGAGATCTTGAAGATTCCGAGTGCGTCCTGAAGTTGATCCAATGGCTCTATTGGAAGCCAGTGGAGGGAATTGGAATACTGCGGTGGGGATGTGATCACGATTCTGGGTGTGGAGCCTGTTGTCTTGGGAGGTGACCGCTATATGTTTTCATGTGTTTACAACGTGCTGCAAATAAAGAGAAACAACGGCAGGAATCTGTCTCCCTCTGCACAAGACCATGCCAAAGGTGTCTAGCCAATGTGGATGTTACCATGTGGTTGTAAAAAGGGAGTTCCACATGCAGACTTGGAACACTAGTCTGTGGGACTCATGACAGTGTAACATCACGATACCATTACAGGCGGGATGATCAAAGAATGACCAAAGCACTCAAGAACACAGAAAAAATTAAAGAAAAAGGCAGATAAAAAAATTAAGCAAACCCAAGATTACAGGCCTTTATTCTAACGTAACTATTTTTCTGTTTCCGATTCCATAATTTAATTTTGTTATAACTATTTATTATGGGTTTTTTTCTTTCGAGCAGCCAATCAGAAACCATTAAAAAAGGTCTGAGGTAATTGGGGAAAAAAGACTTGCGGAATGCACGTTAGTGGAAGTTAACGTGAATGAAAACCCCGAACAGGTATCGGGTTTCGTTATTAAAAAAAAATGTGCAGTCGTTACGTTGCCAAGAGCACGCAAGCCACTTAATTCCAACGCCTGGCAATGGGCGACTCGGGTTCATACAAGCTGCAGCGGCGACGACACTCTACCTCATATTCTTTGGTTCTTTCGGTAAAGTCACGTCGATGGAAAATAACAAAATAAAAAAATCGAAAATGTGAGTTTTTTTATTTTGTTATTTTCCATCTACGTGACTTTACCGAAAGAACCAAAGAATATGAATTCCGGCAGTCACGAAAGTTTTAAATCAAAATTTACACTTTACCTCGCCCTTACCGCAGTCACTGGCAGCCCCCCTTTGCTCTTATTATAGAATCTACCCATCGTGAAAAAATATAAGAAAGGGTGTCGATAGGGATATCACCATCATTGTCATCATTGTCATCAGCCATGTTCAAAAGCCACTGGCCAAAGTGAAATTGTGGCCATGCGACCAACATTATGGACAACATCGTAAATCACGGAAGACTGTGCGCTCCTTCAAATGGAGGGGGAGATGAGCAAAACTACAAAACAATATCTCCTGATGATGCCCTCTTGTCATGGCCAGCAGACCTCGACCTTGGCCTTTAGCTTCTGAGCATATTTGCTCCTGCCACACGCAATAGGAGAATAGCATCCACCGCTGGATGAAGGCCTCCCCAATCTGCCACCATCTCTCACGATGTAATAATCCACACAGCACCTGCGCATGAGCCAATTTCATCATCACTCAGTAGAGGGTATCATCCATTAAATCAGATCATTCTAATTATATACGGTAGTAGTTTGAGCTACTTTGATGAAGCTGCACACACACACTCGGTAGTATAAAGATGTTATCATACGAGTGTCTGCCTTCGTGACATACAATGCATTGAAATTTGAAAGAGTCCCCCAGGTGTTCGGCAACATGTCACGGGTGATAGTTTGGAATTCTTCCGTCATGCGCTCTTGAAGTTCAAACAATTTATCTTCAACATAACCCCTGACCCTGGCGGTTGCCGCTTGCTGCAGAAGTTACGGTTATAGCCCAGTGGCCGCCACGATTCATACTGTGGGCGTACTGAGCAAAACTACGCGTCCGCCTGCTTCACTGCGGACGTTAAATATCCCGTGATGTTATTGGAAGTTAAAAGATGCTGTGATGTTACATGCGAGTAGGCCGTGTGTGCCGGCGTGCCGGCTCACATTTTTTACAGAAATGAAATGTTACGCGCAAGTTACTGCATTGGCTAAAACCTCTGAGCAATATCGCCCCCCCCCCGCCACCCCCAAGCGACCGCACACTACGCTCGTCTGCGCTACGCGTCCGCGACAGCCTCGCGCCACGAGTACGGCGTGAGAATACCGAACGTCGCCGGTGGCGCGACGCAGCCTAGCGAGTGAGCGTGTCGGGGGGGGGGCACCTGCAGCACGGGGCTGTTGTCGAAGTTGTAGGCGCTGGGCCGCCCCTCCAGCGTGGAGAAGGCGACGTTCCCTCCCGTGAGCGGCGAGATGTCGCTGAACTCGTCGGTGCACAGCGGCGTCTGCTCGTCGTCGCCCGAGCGCAGGAAGCCGCGGTTGCGCTTGTCGTAGGTGGACTCGCAGGAGCCGCTGTAGTACTGGTACGGCGTCCACGGGCCGTCCATCGACGCGCGCTTGTAGATGGCGAAGCTCTCGGGCCGGCTCGTGTGGAACTTGAGGCGAACGTACGTGATGTCGAACGCCTTGCCTGCGCGACACGAGCGGAACGCCGTCCATCAGTACGGAACACGGTGTTGCGATGTCGGACTCCGTGCCTTTCCCGCGCATGACAAACCACGTGTCGCGGTCGGAGGAACACACTTTATCCCCACAAAACAAATCATCCTCCGTGAAGTGAACGTCGCGATGTCGCACGGAAATCGAAACGCGCGCGGGCGTGCCGAGGTAGGCACAACGTTATCCCCGGCGAAGCCAAACGATCCTTGCGAGATCTCAGAAGCCGAGCAGGCTTGAGCCTGGCTCGTGCTTGAATGGCAGGCTGCCAAGAGGTACTTAGGTGCCGTATGCTGTAGGCACCGATCTGGCCAGGAGATGGTAATGCGATCAAAAATTGCCAAATGTTTTTTTTTTAAATCGCCTTAAAATTATTTAATTGGACAAAACCACATTGCCAACATTGACCAGTATTGGAAGACTATACCCATCTGTGAAATCTAGCGCCTTCTTTATAGCCTACGAATGGCATGAATAGCAGATATAATACGGCAACCGATATTTTTTTGTAAGCCATACGTCTGGATATTTTAGTGTTATCTATCGCTTTGTATGGGTATGTCTTGTGTGACCCAGCAAGGCTTTCCTGGATAAATAAAAACGTAAATAATGGGCGTTGGTTGTTTTCTCGTAATTTACAGATTTGAAAGGGGACGTGCCAAGGAAATTCCTGGCAGACTCGAATAGCATTTCTTGCATTTGTATGGATGTAGAACTTCTTTCGCACCTTACTTAACCAATTACGCTAATCGTAAGTTTTTGTGCATTTTCTATATTGAAGCGGGCACTTACAACGGTGACACTTTGACCATTTCTATTCACGGACATTAAAAAAAAATCAACTAATACACTTTTACAGAAAACATTGCACGGCACATTACAGAGATGTTCGAAAAAAATTTACGCAAACACCTTAAAGCAAAAGGACATTTCGGGTACTTTGAACCGAGTGTTGCAGTGTAATTTAGCAAAGTGTCAAAATATTTTGTCGCTTCCCCCCAAACGCAGAGTTATTTTCCCAAGTGTACTTATTATCCTTTAAAAAACAGAACACAAGTCAATGTTCCCAATCAAGAAGGATGACAAAAAAATCCACCCATTGTCATACGCCAGACGAGCAAAGCCATAATGACCTGTCATTACAATCATCGCCATAGTTTGCGTGGCAGGACATTACACAGCTAATCATCGCGCGGCGCTCGCTCGCTCGCTCGCTCGCTCGCTCGGCGATGACATCTATGTGCATCCCCCTCCGAACCGCCGGGAATTCGATGTCAACAAACACGGAAGACGCACGGCACATTTCACTTGACGAGTTTGAGGCCGTTGCCGTCGAAGCTTCTCACGAGTGGGGGGAGAGCGGATGTGTGCCACAGACTTCATGGACAGGCCAGGGTTGATGGGGAGGGGGGGGGGAAGTGCTTTCCCTAAGGCACGGTTATTTTTTATTATTCCTTATTCTGCACAAATAAACCTGATCACAAGGCCCTTTAATCCATGCACAGCGGCAGCTTCCTGGCCCGGGAGCTAACAGTATCTCTCTCTCGCTCTCGTTGATGCTCTCGGCATGCATTGACGCCGGTGGATGCGATTCCCCCAGTGAATCCTGCGGTCCAGCCAAAGCTTCCACGAGCCAACTTCACCGTAAACCAATTCCAGTGCTTTTCCGTAAATGGTGAGAAAATACCGTCGGGCCTTCGGCAGTGCCAAACTGTCCCCGCAGTGTTCAAATTTACTACGTGCCATTAAGGATCATCATGGGAAAATTCAAATATAAACACAACTCTGTCCTTGGGCCGATGGTATAAAATAATATTTACATGTAAATATGGATGTCGATGGTCACTTGTCATGCAAGGCATGATTGGAAGGACTGATCCCATGGTAACAATGACGACTTCCGCTATCAAGACATCCAACTTCTTGCTCTTATTTGTTTCCAGCCTGCACACCGCATCTTCGTGCCCGATGAGTTTCTCATCATTGGCAGAAAGCGTTCAAATAGTTTGTTAACTTCACTCTGTAATGGGCCAGCTGGGTCCGTGACCCCCGCCTCCTCATGACCCCCAATCCTCCCCATTCTCCCCCCAGTTTCCACAGGAATAATGATTAAACAACACCTGCCAACTGCACCTGAGTTCCATTTGGTCATGTTGTCCTTGCTGCTCTTTGTGTTGGAACCGTGGTGTTTATTTGTAAAACAGCGGGCGAGTACACACCACAAACATGGCTACTAATCCCTACGGTGGATTCTATAGGATGAACGGAAGAAAATGGTGGGGTGGGTGGGTGGGAGAGAATGTGGGAGGCGGTGATGGGAGAGGGCTCGAGAGAGAATGGGAGAGTATAGAGTAAAAACATGGGGGGGGAGTAGGTGAGTAAAGATTAAAACACAGAGAGCTTCAACAGAAGAGTCGTGGTGGCTGATTGCAGAGATTCTTTCACACAATGCCTTAGTCATGGACTCTAACACTGCTTTTACAATCAACTAAAACAACAACAAAAAACCCTCCCCAAGAGCAAAAAAGGAGGTTTTCGTTTAACAGAAGCCGGATTGTCAAAAGCAGATGTTGCAGCACTAAACCTTTTCGAGGCTGGAAGATAAATGTCGGAAAGAAACACCAACATGCCTGCGCAATATTGGGCGACGTTTTATGGCCACAGTTGAAGTGAACAGAAGTTTTTGGGGGGCGGGAACTCCTCCTTCTCCACGTGTCTCCTCTCAAAAGAAAAGTTGATTCTGCATCTGGCACGGAACTCTGCTGGCCTGGCGTGGGGGTGGGGGGCTTTAAATGCACAAACCCAGCACTCGAGAGATAAGTGCGTTTTAGACCCTGGCATTCATCTATTTGAAACCTCTTTGAAATGTGTTTTTTTTCATTCATTCATAAAACAAAACAAAGGTAGATTTTTTTTGCGCTTGCCAATCGATTGATGGATGGGGGACTTCCTCATACCTTGCAGGCGACAGAGGTTACGTGGTCATACTTCACCATGCTGGTCAGTGCGGGTTTGCGAAGGAGGGGGAGCAAAGATGTGGCAGCGTGCCGTACAACAATGTATTGTATTTTGCTGACCACCACATATAGCAGAGCACCGCAGCTGCCTATGACAACCTGGTGTGCCATGGTGGTCACCCATCTAAGCAATATCCAGGATCAACCCTTGCTTAGCTTTACGAGATCGGGTGCATTCTGGGTAATTGTCACTGGCATGCAGATAATTGCAGATCTAAAAAATCGTAACAATTCTCGTTAAAATGCAAAAAAAAAACGCTCAGCGGAACACGGCAGTGTGCGTGACATACGATAATAAATTCCTTCTTGACGAAGCGAGCTTCGAGTGGGGGGGGGGGGGGGAGGTTGGGGAACCTTAACCTCACTCATGCTCTCCGTGTTGATGAAACAATCCTATTTAGGGCATTCCTCTCAAGAAGCTGGGGAACCTCCAATTTGTACGGTTGGCTACGTACGGTGCGAAAGAAGTTCAACGTATGTACATGCAGAGTAGTGTACGAGTGGCGGAGGGGACACGATAACCGTGGAGCCGGGATAGCGAACCACTGTTTGCTAAAAAGCAGACTCCGTTCGAGAGGCCCGCAGGGCGTTGTGGGGTGGCATTATGGTGTCATTTCCTGCCGTAATGATGCCACAAAGTCGCACCCAGGTGTTTGATCAACGTGACCTCTCACGCCCACCCCCCCCCACCAAACACGAGCAAATCATAGAAGTAAATAAAGAAGCCGAGGACAAAAGCATCCCTTTTGTTTACTGGAATCCCAGGGACAAGGGTTTGGAGGAGAAGGAGGGGGTGGTGGTGAGATGCCAAGGCGGGATGGGCGAGCAACTCTTTGGGTGACCGCTTTGAAGCTTTTCCCCCAAGGCACATTTAAACCAGACGCCGCAGATTGCCTCCGCTTCAAGGGCCCTCCGATTTGAGCACAATCACCAAAATCCGCCGATAAAAGGGCCTATCGACTTCAAATCTTTTGATCCCCACCAAGAAATGTGAACTCTCCGGCAGAAGAAACACGTAAATACGGGAACCGTAGTGAAACGCATGTCGTCGGGTTGTCAGCAGGCGTATTGACCCGATACGCACACTCTGTTACATAACAAAGCGCCGCGCCACTCATTGACCTCCCAAATTATGGATTTCTTGCAAAGAATTTTGTTTTTTGGGGGAGGTGGGGGCGGGTAGAGGAGGACCAGCGGAATGTGACAATTGGCAGCTGCTTCGTGAGTAAAAGGGGACCAACGATGGGTTTTGGAAAGTGTCAAGGCACTTTCTCAGACCCTTTCCCCTAATGATTTCCGTCATTTGCTCCCAGCTGTTCCGAGTCTCACACACGCGATGAAAATTGAGGCCCTGAAGATGACCAGCTGCTAAGCGGGGGGTGTGGTGGTGGTGGAAGGAGGCTTGTAATTTTGTTCCGTGGCACAATGCCCACCAGACAGCCCAATGGCGGCGATAAACACAACGGGCTTTGCGGAACTGGCCCATCCCGGCCTACGTACGAGCCGAGCTTGCGAGCCGATAAACAAAGCAAAGGAGGCACAGAGGGAGGTGTTCCGTTTAAATGATGTGAACGTTTGTATTTTCAGGTGTTTATGCAAATTAAAAAAGACTCCCAACTGAATTCCATTTTGCTTTTATCCTGAAGATCAATTGAGCCGTGAAATGTACGAACATTAAAAAGAAACCGCTGCTGCATTTAGGACCTAATTGTTGTAAAAGTATTGCTTTGATCGGTGTTGTCGCGCGAGTAACCCTTTGCTGGGAAGGCGATGCTTTTTCTCGGCGGCTCAAGATCAGCAGTGCTGCTCCGACGGTGCAGCCTGTGAGAAGGTTTGTAATGTTTTGTAGTTTCGCATCTCAAGGTGCTGTGTAAATGAAAAATAATGAAACTCTGTGGCCCCTATTATGTGCTATGAAGGGCCATTGACTGACACTTTGCCCATGGTATATATTGCC